CACACCCCAACCAGGCACCCAGATGAAACCTAGCTTCCTAACAAATGATAGCCGTCCATTTACTCGGAGCCAAGCTGCACTAAAAGCCTCCAATACAGGAACACAATGTTTTCAGCAATCAAGATACAAAAAAAAGCCACAAAACAGACAGAAGATATTAGAAACACCAATCAAGCAGAACACAGCAAACTCCAAGACCAATAAAGACAGACCAAGACTCCCAACCAGTCAGGATGAAGGAAAAACCATTCTGGCACAGCAGTAGGCTAGCCCCAAATTTAAAACTGAAACAACTGTAAAAGTCTGACTCACAGATGAACACAATACAGAAGCCTGATGATGGCAGATGAGATTCTACTGAAATGTTGCTACAACTATAAAAGCACAACTATAATGACGTGGGAAAATACCCGAACAAAGCTGAATACCATACATGTAAGTACCTGCGAAAACTTAAGAAAACAAATATATATATATGTATATATCTCCCCCATGGAATCTGGCATTTGCTTCCAGTTTCTATTAAAATGACCCAGCAAAAAAAAAGGTGACCTGTTTAACAATCGGCCTAACTAAGTAATTCAATGCTCAACTATACTCATAAATTGAGAACTAACTATAGCCAGGTTTTCAGTGGCTTTTGAAATATCAGAGTGGGAGCTATGCCACTCTGGGGTAACATTATTTCAAAGTTCTGGTGCTACAGAAGAGAAGACATAGCTCCCAAACCCCAATTGATGACATTGTTAATATTCCAATGTTTTTATTGAGGTGTTGTCATATTCCAAAACCAAGAAAATCACATTGAGGTTCTTCTAAGCAGTTTCCTTTATGGATCAGACAGAAATCTTATGAAACTGAAGCAAACTACTTGCAGCATTAAACATGCATTCTGAGCAATCCTAGAGATGAGCTGTTTTAATTATTTTTTCCCCACACAAACACTCTATGCCACTCTCACGCTCCTCTCTCCCTGGAACCCGGGACTACATTCTACAGTAGGTATTTTCTTTGCCCAGATTTAGATGCAGATTTGAGCCAGAATCTGTAGTTTTAGTGACCACTTCAGTTCAGGAATATAGATTTGAAATCCTTAGTTGCCCTTTTTTTGGTTTAACTATCTTAAATAATTTTAAGTTGTCAGAAATTAGTGTACCTTATTATTCACTATTTGTAAACACATAAGCATTATTAGAAAAAAATTCTTTTATTTCTATGTGATAGAATCCAGTTCATTGATGTAGTGATTGACAGCAACTTCAGATAGAGAACCTAGATCATTAATAAATAAAGTTAGAAATATATAAGCTTGAGTACAAGGGCTGGAAACCTCCAGTATTTACATACCTCTTGGTTTTCAAATTGAATTTGGCTGTAACTGTATACCCAGTATATCAGATTCTAATTTTATTTTTGATAATTTCAGCGAGACAGATTTTTTTTAAGAAATATTTTTCTACTTTGTTAGAATACTAGCTGCATTTAAGCAGAAAATGATTGTTCAGATATCACATATGATATGATCATTTAGAAATACATCCAATACTTCTCTTGTACTGCTATGTTAAGCACTGAAATGTGGATAGGAAAATAAATTCTTATTTATTAAATTTGTGTGGCCGTCCATCTCAACTGCATGACTTTGGGCAGCTAACAATAAAAAAACCCAACACAAACAATATGCTAAACTATAAATAACATAAAATAGCAGCAGCAGGGAACAACATATAGCTAACATTCACTCTTAGTATATAGCAAAGAAACAAGCTGACCTACAATAGCAAGGATCCAAGCTCAGTTGCAAAGCCAGATCTTTCTTCAAGGCTTTCGATAAAGCTAGCAAGATCGGAATGAATATGATCTCTGTAGAATGTTATTCCAGAGGGTGGGCAACAAAGGCTTCTCCATTTGAACAGCCAAAGGCCATCTTTTATTTACAGTTTTTTTGTTCAACATACAAAATGACTCGAATGCCCTTATTGAAAAACAAAATAAAAGCTGATTTCTGTATAATGTATCCACTTTATATTTTAATAGGCTCAGACTAGGGTGAAACTGAATTTTCTGGACCAGATAGCAAAGTTCTGGGAACTCCAGGGATGTGCATTGAAAATTCCACATGTGGAAAGAAAAATTCTAGATTTGTTCCAGCTTAACAGGGTAAGTTGTGTATTACAATTTTTGACAAAATTTAGAAATAGTTCTTAAAGCCACTGAAAGGATGCATTTTGTAGCCAGGAAGGTTGGGGATCGCTTGTCTAGGGATTATAGAATAGTTTTTTGTTTTCTATTAGAAAGTGGTAAGAAATTGTACCTTGAGTCATTTTGCCAGAATTAAGTGGTAAACTTGAAAAGTTCACCCCTGTTGTTTTTCTCTAGTATATCAAATTACTATTTTAAAATTTTCTTATTCATAACTTACAGATTACTGATAAAGCAAAAAAACTACATACTTAGACAAAGTAATTGCCACTGTTTTCATGCACACACATAATTAACTACACATTTTTACTTTATAGCTAGTTGCAGAGGAAGGTGGATTTGACTTGGTTTGCAAGGACAGAAAATGGACTAAAATAGCTACCAAGATGGGATTTGCTCCTGGCAAAGCAGTGGGATCACATATACGTGCTCACTATGAACGCATTCTTTACCCTTACAACTTATTCCAATCTGGAGCTAGTCTTCTGGTAAGTTCTGTTTTTTAAGTCCAGATTTTAAATCAACTTTTTCCCAGTCTCCTCTAAAACATGCTAACAGTGCTTTAAAGTATAAAACATTTGTCCTTCATTTAGATGTTTTGGTGCTGGCTGCTGGATTCTCAAAGTGATACATAATTCAGCGGGGTTTGGGAATTTTTTATAAAACTTTCAAGATATCCATGATCCCAAAATGCAAGCATTATTTATCAAGAAATTGATTTTTATAGAGGCTATTTGTATCCTGTGAAAAGAAAAACTGAATGAATTGCTTCCTGACATTTGGAAGGAAGATTGTCCTTGAAGTAACCTAAAGCTGCTGCTGTTCTTTAGAAGTCTTTGCCCTGCAGTACATGTGTTTCAGTGCGCTAGTTTTCATTTATCGTTTTGAACTGGTTTAGGTATTTTCATTTTCATTATGCAGGCATAAAAACTTTTTCCTCTTCTCAAATGTGAGAGCTAAATGTAAAAGCAATCTTCTTAGATACAAAATGGATATTGAGTAGTCTGATTTTCTCTGAAATAAACATGTTCAGACGCAGATTTTGGTTGTCTAATAACCTTGTTAAAGCATAAATTTCTTTATCAAAGTGAAGGTAACTTTTTGTTAGACTAAATCTTTATGGCCAGCTTAGTTATGTCTGCACAGTGCTCCTTTTCTATGGCTGTCTTGGAAACTTCATATTAATAAAATTCATCTTTCAAGAGTATTTGATAAGCACTGTGATCACATCATTCCAATTTTGCATTGGTTTTATTTATGATCAATTTCTGGAATGAATTAAAAGTGCCGATATTGATCTTTGAAGTCCTGAGTTGTTTTGGATCAGTCTATTTGAAAGATACTTGGTTTCCAAGGACTTAAGGTTGTCCTTAAGCTCCGATATCAAACCTTAACTACAGTTGATGAAATTAGAAAATATTAAAGTAGCATTTTATTAATGTAATCCCATTTTTCAGAAATGTTTAAACATTTATGATTCTGTCATACTTGTAGTCTTGTGAAAGAACCTCGAATGCATTTTATTTTGCTAAGCTTTTCTTTTTCATTTATGGCTGGCCTGGTTTTATCTGTTCTTTAAACAATTAATAGACTATTTTGTTTACATAAGTTACCTTCTGTCGAGACCATTTTGAGAACTTATCCTAAAGATGGACATAGTTAATAAAATGCATAGAAAGAATACCATGATTAATCTTAGTCTCCATGTGTATATACAAACATAATCCATTCATATGTGTTAGAATTATGATTTATTCATGGGCTTTATGAATTATGATTTATGCATGGGCTTTTAATAACTAATTTGTTATGATGAATACACTTTTACAAAAATGAGGTAAAGTGCATCTCTGCTGAACCTGCCTTTTCTTTTTCCCATTTTTTCTTAATCTTTTTTTAAAATATATGCTGATGTTTCTCCAATAAAAGAAGGAAAGAAAAGCAAGATAATTAGCTTTCCTTTTACAATTAGACAGTATCATTGATTTAACTAAAAATGGGTGTTTTTTAATGGAAACCTACATTTATCAAAATAAATTGTCACAGTAAACTATATGCTGTGTTTGCATTATCACACATTTGAGTATAATATGGTGTGCATACATTTTTCATAGTGAATAGGTGCTTAGAAAAATTTTCTAATGGTCATAGTGTTATTGTTCTGAACTGAGGACTAGTTATTCTATATAGCACTATATTCAGTTTATAATCATATAGATAAGACTTTGAATATAAAGTAATAAGTAGTGGCAATATAGCTGTGCTTTGTTCTTTGCATTATTAGGGGCTAAGTCAATTAAATGTTAATATACCGCATTAAAGATTACACAAAATATTTTAATTGGGTGGTGCTGTTTTTTGAACCATTGTGTTGAACATTTAAGACCATTTATGTTATGAGTTCAAATTCATTAGTCAGATGGTGGGGAGTGGGGAAAAGAATATCTATTAGACTCTGCAAAATGAAAGAAAGGGATAAGACATGAGATTCATTCAGTTTCCATGTTGTTTATACAAGGAAACTGAAGTCCAATTTCATTGCAACTTTCTCATTCCATTGGAAGACAGTTTTAAATTGAAAAGAAATAGTCCTTGTATATTACCAGTAGATGAATCCACTGAAAACTGGTTGCTGTGATGGTAAAATTGTAAGTGGACTGAATTTAGTCAATTTGCATTACATATTGCTTCACTGTGGGAAATCACAATTGTGAACCCTAACCAGCTGAGATCTGTAGCAGCTCATATCTTCCTTACAGTGTTTTACAGTTAGATACTAAATATAGTATTTAAACATGCATATAGTATTTAATCTTTCTCAGTTGAGCAATATCTGTCTTTTGGGGGAAAAGTGAACATTTTGGTTAGTATAGAAATATTAATAATGCAAGACTGTCTCAACAAAAATGTTTGGTTTTGGACCAGAAAAATGATCTTCATGATTCTGTCATGATCATTTCCCTATATTCCTCTGGTTACACTAATTAGGCAAATGATGCAGTTCATTTAATCATGTTGTATGTGTATAGTTACCGAAGCTAATAGAATTGGAGGGGTATTTTGTGCACATTTTCTTCATTACCTCTTGTAGTCATAGTTACTGTGACGGAAACGTATAAACCATTTTCCATTTTCATCCTAAAAAGTCAGAGCCATTTTGTTTACTGTTACTCAAAATCTACTTTTTGCAGATATGTTTGAAAATAAAACCTGAAGGATTTTTTAAGGGCCATTCTAAAAGTGAATTATTTTTAAATGACTACTTGTGGCCTCCATTTACAAGGTCACCGTTCCTTTAAGTTGTAACTCTCCAAGCTCTCTCTTGCAATAGGCACCAGACATTTGTTCCAAACTGATGTGTTTAGTGGATGATGCAGTTCTGGAAAAGGTATGTTTGACATGACTTTTTGAATGAAATCCCTTCCCATCTTTGTTCTAAACTATTTTGGATGCTCTCTGAATCATCCCCTATGCAAAATATTCAAATTGTATATTCTGTTAAATAAATCATTATTTAAATGAATCTTAAATGTTTTTTTTTATCTTACTCCTGGTTCAATTCTACTTTTGATCATAAAACATTTTTTTAAATTTTATGCTTATATATACGGTATATAATCCAAGGACTTGGATCTATAAAATCTGTTTAATTTATTTTGTCTATGTACCTATATTGATGAAATATTTCTACTAAAATAAAAGATCAAATTCTGCTGATCAATACAATATAGGCAAATGCTCGTCTAATGACATTTTAATACATACACATAAAAAAACTTTGGTACAGAAGAATTGTTGAAAAGAAATAAATTAGTATTTATACTAATTTATATCTGCTAAATTTACTTGATACAGAAGAACATTTATGAAGTTAAAACATATATTTCCTTATTTCAGCAAGAATTATGTTCAGCTATTAAAATAGAAGAATGCTTATGGCTCTTACTAATTAGTCCAAAAATTGGAGCCATTGGGCTATAGCAATTTATATCTCAGATTCTGATATTTTCTCTGAAAAATTCTAAGCATTTAGTTTCCTCTGGTTTTGTCATTCAAATTCTAGAATGAGAAAAGAATATTTAGATCACTGAGTCATACTTTTCACATATCCAAATTAAAACATTTCCGACTGGTAACTGTTTTTTCCTCAGTGTTGAAAATGTATTAGAAGAACTTCTAATTTTGAACAATATGAAAGCTTATATGCACTTTAAAATGAATTGCATCAAATATTCAGTTTTAAAGTATGCTTCTGAGTTAAATTAGTGTTTCTGATTTTTTTAAAATAGAAAGATTATAAACAAGATACTTTTTAAAATGTTCAGGGAATTTGTTTTCTTGATAAGAATAGGTTGCTGAGCTGAAGCTTATACTTAGCTTGATTGTTCATTTATATTTCTTTTCCTGAAATGTGGTAAAGAGATGAACAAGTTCTTACTTGTGATAAATATTTATCAGAATTTGCATATTTGTATTTTAATTGTTTTATGTCAAAAGAGATGTATATTGTTGATATATGTGGCTATCTTTGTCTCATCTTTCTGACCCTTTTAACTTGGCAATAGTTTCCCCATTTCATTCTCTTCAGTGTTACATTTTTAAAACTTGGCAAAATGAGGTGATCTTGCATTTTGTAGAACTTTGTTATCGTTTCCCTCAGAATAGACAGATTTAATTTCAGTTGTTCTGATACTCTTAGAATGTAATGATTTACAAAAATAACATGCATAAAAACATCTATGTTATTAAGAGTATGTAATGTACCTTTTTAAGGTACCTTAAACAGGCAATTCCTGGGTCCTCTTCCATGTGAAATACTGTAGATAGTTTTAACAGCATCAGTAGCATCATTCCATTCATGAAGTAAAAGTGGTTAGCTGACCTATGGAGAGACCTCTTTGTCAACAGTAATAAGGAATTTTATTTCATAAGTCAGAAACTAGAAATATGTTTATAAGCAAATAAAAATGTAAATAAGGGGCATTAAAATGAGCAGGGTTTTTGCTTCATTTTTAAGAATCCAGTTTGGCATATATTTTGCATCTGTCATGCATATTAATCAAATAGTATGGGAACAGTATATTGTCACAGCAGATAGCAGCATCTGTTCTGTGGCTAAAGAGCTAAGGAGGGTTATTTTGATTGGTGTGTGGATAAGATATTTCCAGATAGTAATGGGGATATAGATTAGGCCAGCGCCCCCCCCCCCAACCTTTTGGGCACCAGGAATCAATTCCATGGAGAGGCTTTTCCATGGACTCAAGGGGGTGTGGGTTCGTGTGCTGCCTACATCCCGCAGATGGGACTTCACTTGTTTGCATGGTCCAGTTTCTGACATGCCGTGGACTGATATCAGTCCAAAGACTGGGGGTTGTACACCCCTGGATTAGACTGAATTAAGTCCCAGAGTGAAAGCAATATCATACTATAGTACTTCTGTATTATTGTCCAGAAATTTACATGGATTTGTCTTTGTTTTGGAACATTATTTATACACTTGACACTGGTAAAAACAGAATTAAACGTTCTTTACTGTCACAGTGTAAAAGCATTTCAAACAAAATGCTTGTTACTATGATGGAATGTCAGTATATTTCCAGGTAATATGTTTCACAGCTCAGGAAACTAGATACATACTATAATACTCAAGATCAAGTTGAACTAACACAATTTGTGATGCATGTCAGGAAGTCATATGGCAAGGGCTGCCACAACCATGCTATCCCGTTGTCCAGGTATTGCCTATTCATGGGATCGTAAAGGTGGGGCTGCTACATAGCAAAATATATTCTAACCTGTACTTGTGTCCATTTAGCATCTGTTCGCATTACCAGCACTGCTTTGAAGTAAACTTGGGAGTAAATATGCAGTCAGTGAGGATATCAAGGACTAAGAGTGATTTGTGTGTTGTTCGGTAACTGAATGGCAGTATTTTATATTGGTTGGTGCTTAATTATTTTAATGGTTTATGCATAAAACATAATTTACTTAAAATGTATTGAGATATGAGCAACTGTTGCCTATTTTGATGCAGAAAAAGCTGCCAGTGTGATTTTTGGGGGGGCTTTTCAGTGAAAGACTAGGTCCATTTCCTGCACTCCAAGGTGCAAGAGGGATTCTAACAATAATAATGTGCCTTGTAACTGTTAAGCAAACAATAATAGATGAGCAGATTGATCCAACTTTTAGAAGAAGAATGCTATCCTCTTTGTTAACACTGAAATTGCAGAAAAAGAAAGCCAGAATCTAAACTTCAAATTCCCTATGTATAGGTCCTATATATGAAAGCAAAGTCACTTGCTGAAATTCTGACTTTAATTTTCTCACTATCTTACTGCTTTGAACTCAGAAAGAATATTTTTAATCTTTATTGTTGTTAAGAAAAGTTGATATAAGACTATGTATGTATTCCTTCAGGGAGGAGTAAACCCCATCCAGGTTATGGTTTCTTCCAGTGCTTAATATGAGAACATAAGCCTTTTAATTTATTAAGGTGTTGTTTCTCATACAATCTTTTATTGTCTCTAGGCACTGATTTAGACTCTTTAGTGTTTTACCTGTTTCAGATTGATCACACTAATTTGTTGATCAGTGACATATTGCCCTGTATCTGCAGATAATCTTGTTCAATAATTTTATAGCTTTATTATTTTTAAATCATAGCAGTTAAGTACTGTGTGGGACAGGCCATTACAATGCAAACAGTATTTTGTATGTAACTTTCCAGAAATAGATCTTCAGGAAAGAGTAGTATTGTACTATCATTATATATGACTTCCATCATTAGCCACTCCAGCAAATTATATGGTCAGCACTATTAGAAGTGATAGGGTAAACCAGTATCATTATATTCCTCTGGTCTCTTTCCAATATTAATCAACCCCAATTTAGTGTTGGTGCTAAAACAAAGCATTAAATTAGATTTTAATCATTTCATTTGAAGTTATCTAGTACCCATTTTACAATCCAAACTTGTCCCAATGAGGATACTGCCTACTAGGCACTACCCCAAAACTGTTGGGTACAGTGGGGGACTCTTATGAGTGGGGTACATCAGTGCCTGTTTCAGGAAACTGAAATTGTTGTATCCCTTCAAAGAAATGTTAATTCTGCCTAGAGTCCTACTTCATCCCATTTCTTTGATCAGCTTTCATTGGCTATTGAGGGAAAAAACCTAATGCTCAATTATGTCCCAAACATTCTTTTTCAAAAGACATTCCATTATAGCCACCTTCCTGGAGGCCTTAATTTGGAAATACACAGGCCTGAAACATTTGGCACACCTCATGGTCCCAAGAACCCTGCCCATTCTCTTATGGATAACTGACTCAAACTCTTTCCAGGTAACTGAGCTCAGGTGTATTCCTGACATTTCCAAAGGATTTGTCCAGCTGGAATCTATCTCCAAATGAAGTTAGGTGACTTTATCTGATAGATATACTGAAAACATTCCTCACATTGGCCCTGCAAGATTCCCTTAGTTCTTATTTGTGCAGAAGGAACCTGGTCATATACATGGCTGCTGGCGACTATCTGCAGACACAGCAAGTGCAGAGAAGTGAGCATGCTCTTACCATCACAGAGTAAGCCCTCACAAAGGTTCTTACCTTGGGATAGTTGTCTGTATCTAGATGTCCCTTGATTCACTTCACTTTCTGTAGCTCCTCAATAAACTAAGGAAGCCTGCAGGAGCCACAACCACAGTTTTGGATAGATACAATCCTGTCCAGGTTGTATGCTCATTCCAAGCTGTGACCAAAGTCTTGACCAAACAATATCTTTCTGTATCTTCCAATTTAGAGTGAGTGAAACTCAGCAATGTTATTTAAATGAGAGCAATTGAGATTCAGTCATTCATTTGTGAATAAAATGCTAATAATAAAATGCATTGGAGGAAGAGTGGTTTGAAATTAATTTATAGTTGAAAATTTCAAATAAGAAATCTGATCATGTAATCATTATAAAAAGATTGAAGCCTTGCACGAAACTTGAAAAATCAGTTTTTATGTTTGTTAATTATCAACAATTGGATATGCTATATACTTTCTTAATTTCTGTTATTAAATGTAGTTTTTTTGTATCTTAAATTTTACTCACATTTTCTAAATGTTGGTAATACATCTTGGTAGCCTTTAGCATCCGGTTCAACTGGTTCAATTCTCCATTCAACTATGAAATGCTATTTGATGATCTTGGGTCAGTCGTATACAATTTATTCAAGTTCAGGGTCATTGAAGTGCTAGAAAAGAAAATGTGTTTTCTTGAGCTCATTAGAGAAAAGTTGGATATTGATATAGTAATAACACGTGAATGAATAAAAATGCATTATTGATATTATTACTATTATTTATCTACATACTACCATACTTGACAAATGTTCTTCTCTAATAATGCTTTATGATTCTACTGCTTGAAGCAGTAGCGCAGCCAAACACAGAGTCATTTTTCATTATACTGTTTTGGATAACTTCTTAGTCAAACAATATCCCATGAGTACAAATGGCTAAATCAGTGATACCCTAAGTGGGGTTCAGAGTAAGGGCAGACTTATTTATCTCTTAGCTCAACCATCTGCTCCCAAAATCACTAGTGTTTAGATATTTGGGGAACAGTTGAAAATCTTGAGTTATTGCAGTGCTCGAGAGAAATTGAAAAAAATCCCAGACTCTACAGGCCTCAGTTAGCATGGTTGCAACAGTTGGAATGGTTGCCAGGAGAAAGCCTCTTATCTCTAAAAAGAACATGGCAGGATGGCTTAGGTTTGCAAATTTGCATCTGAACAAATCACAAGACTTCTGGAACATTGTCCTTTGGACAGACAAGACCAAAGTGGAGAAGTTTGGTCATGTTTGACTATGTTTAACCAAACATAGCATATCAGCACAAACATATTACCAACCACCAAGCATGGTGGTGGAGGGACGATAATTTGAGTTTGTTTTACAGCCACAGGACCTTGTAGTCATTGAGTCGACCATGAATTCCTCTGTATACCAAAGTATGCTAAGGTGAAAAGTAAGGCCATTTATCCAACAGCTAAAGCTTGGCCAAAAGACCAGTTGATTTTTACTATATCCTGATACATAAAACCATATAACTTAAAAAGGATATACTTACTTTTTCACATGACTGTAGGCAGTCATCCCAGTTCAATTGATATAATCATGTAATAATAGTTTCTTTCAACAACTTAACATAATTTTAATGCCAGTGGGAATTTTATATGAAATGGAAAGAAATAGTTCACTTTTGCTTGCTTTTTTAGTGTTTTCAGAAGCCAGATATTACCAGTGGCACAAAGGAAAAAGAATATAAACCCCATGATATTCCTCAGAGACAATCTGTTCAACCATCTGAAACGTGCCCTCCTGCACGTCGTGCAAAACGCATGAGATCGGAGGTAGGATTGACTTTTTATGTGTGATAATTGTAAGGTAATTGTAATATAGAAGTTTCACCCATTACCAGAAATTAAAGAGCGTGATCTCTTATGTTTACAGATTAAGTCTGCAGTTGTTATGATAAATACTGATTTCCAATTCAGCCACATTTGAGATTATTATTATTTAATTAAATGTATTGGTGGCCCAATTCCAGTGCATGTCTTAGAGATAGCATATTCTTTCTACAGTACAGAATTTCTTTGTGGAAACGACTACTTTTACTATAAACCGGGGCGTCAAACTCAATTTCATTGAGGGCCACATCAGGGTTGTGTTTGGCCTTGGGAAGGAATGGGTGTGGCTGGGGTGGGCGTGATCAGGGTAGGCATGACCAGCTCAATGTCCTGCAGCCCTCTGCCATTGAAAACGGAGCCCATTGGAGCTGGCAGAGGCACAACGGGCAAGTCCTTTGCTTTTTCCAGGCTGGCCCTGCAGGCCATGAGTTTGACACCCCTGCTATAAACTATTTAGCAGTAATGTTTTGTGTGAATATAATGATTCAAATCAGTGGCCATCTGAGACCAGATCTGGAGTATTTTGCCTGTGTTCATGACATGGAATGCTGTTTTTGCAGCGCTTTGGTGAGCACATCATATTAAGCTGTGTAATGATGTGTTTCTTATTGGCTTATAATGTGTAAACTATGGCTTATTTAACATAAAATATTTTAAGAATTATGAATTAGCATAATGTGTAGATTCAATTTTTCCATTGTGTAAAGATCTCTTACAACAATCGCATATGGCAATTCATTATTATTACTAATATTTCTAAGTCATTATTTCCAATCACTCAAAGTGCTGTACACAGAAAAATAACAGGATTCAAAAAATTAATGACAGTGTATATTACAATGGGATGACTACTGGAGATGTCAAAATCTCCCAAATTCTCTATCACTAAGTTAGGGTTTTTACAGAAATTTATTAGATAGGATCTAGTTTTTATAATCTGCTTTAAAGAGAGCAAACTAATTGAGAAATGTTGATGTCAGAGTAGAAGTTGAACAAATTTATAATCCCTTGAAATCTAGAAGCAATTTAATTTGGCTTCTACTCTTCAGAACTGCTTTGAGTTACAGCTCTGATCTATGACCAAATTAGCTTTACTAAACATTCTGGGTATTTGAAGCCCTGATTTACCACTTATGTGAAATGTTATTTTGTAATGGTAACAGTGTACAGATTATTTAGGGGAACCACTTCATTATAAATATTTTAAAACATTTTAAAATATTAGTTCAGTACTTTTGAATTAACTACCATCTTGATTTAAGTGTACTCAAAATCCTGTGCGTGAGCAGTGTAAGTATATGGAATTCTTGGCTATTATAAAGGTCCTTGTCTAAGTAATGACTTATGTTTTAGATTTAGAAATGAAATGCTAAATCAGAACTATGGGATGCTCCATGCAAACATTCTTCAACATTGTTATTACATTACTACCACAAGAAGGCATTAATTGGTAGCAGCTGAGAAAAAAAGCCAGACTCCCCATCTTTCTTTCTTTTCATATTAATTTTATTTGTGTTAAGTAGTTTAATTATAGAGTAATTCTTATTCACGATAAAAACTGAACTCACACAAGAGTGACACATTAAATGCAGATAGGAGAAGTCTCTTTTTGGCATGAAACCAAGCTTACAGCAGGTTAAGAGTAAACAAATGTTAAAATGTTAAATTTATTTTTTTTCTTACAAGGCCACTAATATTAAAGCTGAGATTGAGGAACCTACAGAGACCAAAACTCATAATTTGAGGCGCAGAATGGGGAGCACTCCAATAAAGCCTGACAATGGTAAGCTTACAAGTGAAAATTACATTGTTGTTACATAGTTTCCCCTTAAGGTTGGAGCTAGGTCTAGCAGTGTATATTGCATGAAGTTCTGCGTGGTCTTTCACTTAAATACAATTTCAAATTTTATGAATATTTTCTTATTTACAAAATTGGAAGAACTTCATTGTTATAAAAAGAAATTGTTATACTCCAATTAATTTTTTAAAATCACTTTTCTTTTAATGTGTATATTTCTACAGATTAAATAAAAATCACCTTTTCCATTTTCTTTAATGGATTTACTTCTATTCCAAATGCTTAGACCTGTGTTAATGTTTTGCCTTAATCAGATAAAGAATCTCAAGCTATAGTGAAAAAAGAAGTTGTTGAGAAAAAACAGTGGCTTTGGGAAACAGATAGAGAAAAATCCAAGGGACGTTCTAAGAAAAATTTTAATTCTGTGAGTATGTTTATTTGGGGTTTTTCATGCTAATTATAAAAATACTCTATACATTATTTAGTGCAGATAACTGAAAGATAATTCTTCAAGTTTTAGAAAAACGAAGTGCCAACACTAATAGCTTGATGTTAAACAATTCTGCTTGGTTACAACATATTTTTCTAGAAAGCTGATTCGCTGTTGCATTTATTTAGAACAAAATTTTAGTTTAATTTGATATTTAGTTACTCAATATTTTTCAGATTCTTTCAGATTTTTTGAGATCTACCGTGTTTCTCCAACAATACGCCCCCCCAATAGGAAGACCCAGCATGTTTTCGAGGCATAAATGAAACTAAGCTCTTCCTCAAATTTAGGTCTATTTTCAAACATGCGAAATTGGGATGGGGAGAGTGGGGGCCAGCCACCAGCCGCTCCTAATGGCCAATTATAGCGGAGCGCGGAGGGCTCCCTACCCCTGCCAAGTGCCTTTGCTGCAGACCCGGGTCAGCAGGCGGGCGGTGGCGTTGTGGATGTCCGCCAGCAGCATTTCAGACGCTCCTCGGGCCTCCGTAGCTTTCACGGTTCCCGCCAGTGCCTCTCTTGCCAGCGCCGTCTCCAACAACAGCGTCTGAGTTGCTCTCACTTTTCCCCCCGTCCCCGCAACAACAGGGAAAAAAAAAACATTTTGAGATAGCTGGGAGCACCGTGCACTGCATTTTCATTTAATCTCGAGCAGCTGGTTGAGTGTGAGAAGAGGTGAATGAGTGTCTCTGCCGCTGCTACCCTTGGTGCTCCAGCCTCGGGCTCTGCAAGTTTCCAAAAGCCCCAGTGCGCAGCCCATTCCTGCATTCCAAGTGTGCCCAGGCCGAGCTGCAGCTTTCCCTCTTGCCAGCACCATCTCCAACAATGCGGCAGCAGCGGAGGGAAGCATGGAAGTTATGGAGGCGGCTCACCCACCCGAGAAGTGGCTGAAACGCTTCCACGGTTCCTGCTGCTCCTGCCACTGTTGGAGGGGACCCTATAACATGCCATTTCTAATCTCATATCGCTTCAGAATTTTTTCCACCTTTAATATAACATACTGTATAATCTGTACAATTCATCTGAAAAGCAAATTAAAATCTTGGGGGAAAATAATAAAACTGTACAACCATGTGGTTGCATAAAGATGCACACTCTTAAACTAATACTTTATTGAAGCATCTTTTGATTTTATGACCATAAGCAGTCTTTTGGGGTAGGAGCCTATCAGCATGGCACATCTTGCTTTGGGAATTTTTTCTCACTCTTGCTTGACAAAGCATTCCAAATCTGTCAGATCGTGATTGAATCTTCTGGGCACAGCTCTCTTCATGTCACCCCACAGATTTTAAATTGATTTAGGCTTGGGCTCTGGCAGGACCATTCCAAAACTTTATTCATCATCTGGTGAAGCCATTCTTTTGTTGATTTGGAGGTAGGCTTTGTGTCATAATCAGTGGTGGGATTCAAATGTTTTTACTACCGGTTCTCTGGGCTGACTTGGTAGGCGTGGCATGGCTTGGTGGGCGTGGCAGGGGAAGGATACTGCAAAATCTCCATTCCCTCCCCGTTTTCCAGCTCCGTTCCTCCTGTGCAGGGCAATCAGCTGGGACTCTGGAGGCAGAAAATAGATGGGGGCGGGGCCAGTCAGAGGTGGTATTTGCCAGTTCTCAGAACTACTCAAAATTTCCACTACTGGTTCTCCAGAACTGGTCAGAACCTGCTGAATACCACCTCTGGTCATAATTGTGTTGAAAGGTGAAAATCCCCTTCATCTTTAGCATTTTAGTGGCCTGAAGGTTTTGTGCCAAAATTGATAGTTGGAACTAATTATTATTGAGATATTAAAGGTGGAAGTGATTTATTTTGGTCTGATTTTTTTACATTACAAAAAACACATTTTAATGGGTGTGTGGACTTCTATATCCACTGTATGTTGTTCAGAAAAAAACAACTAAATATGTTCTAATATAAATAATGAGATTTTTATATATTTGTTTTGGTCTGGTTTTTGTATTGTGAGTGGTAGAATAAAATATTAAATATCAAAATTTTTCACAACTTTCTTTTAAAAGGTGGATTTGTATGTATGCCTATTATGTGGCAGTGGAAACGATGAAGATCGTCTGCTCCTATGTGATGGCTGTGATGATAGTTACCATACTTTTTGCTTGATACCACCTCTTCATGATGTTCCCAAGGGAGATTGGAGATGTCCCCAGTGTTTAGTTCAGGTAATATAGCTTATAGCTTCCCCCCCACAAAAGATAAATTATCAGTATTAAAAAAAATGCTGTATGTAACAAAATTACATTTTTCTTTGATTCAGTTCTTATTTTGAAAGTGATCAATGCATCTCACTTTTTACTTCTCCATAACACTGTTTAATAGGTAATCTCCCTCATCAGTATGAGAGCCAATCTATCCACATTTAATTATTAAGTTAATTGATTCCAATGGTGGGATTGAGTCCAATGCCCCAGCTTTGTAGGTTAACTCTATACTCCTCCTGAACCAAGTTAGCAGGTACATGAAGCTGCTGGGTGAGGTATCTACAGCTCACTCAGCAACTATTCATCTCTGCCCTGGGTTGATCAAATGATGCCCTTAGGATTCTTTACCAGTGTGAGAGGCTGTGGCAGCCTAGGTGGAGAAGAATAGGTTTTAACGTCCTGGCAAGACCAAATTGGTGTAGGTCCTAAGCCACCTGAATTTGGAGATTTTCTATCTTTAAGTGGAATGGAGTAGTCCTCTCTAGGCAGCGTCAGTGAGCAATTTGCATTTTTCTTAGACTCATGGTTCTTGTTCAAGCAACAGATGGCAGGTGTTAAGTTTTGCAGAAGATTTATCTTCTGTGCCAATCATGTCTGTTTCTGGAATGGGAGTCCCTATTCATGGTTACTCATGTCCTTTGTCACCACCCATTTGGTGTACTGTAATGCGATCAATATGGGGGTTGTCCTTGAAGATCATTTAGGAGCTGCAACTGGTTTAGAATGTGGCAGTACAAACAGTTTTGAGTATTTCACAGAACTCTCATAATATCATTGCTCTGTGAATTCCATTGGCTTCCAATGAGCTGGTGCAATTCAGGATCCGGATTGTCATCTACAAAGCCCTGTACAACATAAAACCAGGCCTTTTGGGGGATCACCTATTGTTTCTGCTTATTTCACCAGTAGTGTCAAGGTGGGCATGTATCAGGTCCTTTCTATTAAGCTATGCCTTCAAGTAGGATCCAATATGCCTTCTCTTATCATAGCACCTATTCTATGGAATAGAATTCCCCTGAATATCTTGATGGTCCTGACTCTTTTGGCCTTTGTAAGACCTGATTGTTTACTTGTACGTTTGGGTCAGGGTGTTAAGGTGCACTAGTAGTTGGTTGTTGTTTCTTACTGATGGTAAGATGGAATTATCTACTTGGGCATCTGCCACATGATATATTGATTCATTGTAGCTGAATGGTTTTTTTAATTAATTGAATGTTTGAGGTGATTTTACTTTCTTGTTAGCATCCACAAGTTACAGAAGTGAGATGGATTGCCATATAAATTCTTTAAATAAATGTATGAGTGGTGATAATGCTTCTAGAAGAGAGTAAAAATAGTTCCCATAATAATATCATCCATAATTTTACTCCTTTCTTTTAATTTGAGCATTGCAGTCTCTGACTATATTATAAACCCTGGAGTCTGCAAATTTATTTATGTATTTATTAAATGTATTTGTTGCCCATCTCACCGCAAGTATAATCCATAGTTATATATTGCATTTTGTTCAGTATTGCACCTACAATATTAATTCATTGTTATGTTTAACAGGAATGCAATAAACCACAAGAAGCATTTGGCTTTGAACAGGCAGCACGAGACTACACCCTTCGTACGTTTGGAGAAATGGCAGATGCCTTTAAGTCAGATTATTTTAATATGCCAGTGCACGTACGTTTCTATTTTTATTTAGTTTGTAACATAGATTTCATTATAGGGGATATTCATGGAATGTAGGGCATATTACTTCATCCTATGTGTCTATTCTCTACTTTCAGTTGCTACCATTCTATTTTTTTAAAAATGGTATGACTCATATTTTAGTACAAAAACTATTCACTGAAAGATTTATCTAGCCTCAGAAAGTATTTACATTCTGCTTAATATTTATCTTTTTATCAATTAGTTCAACTCATTCTTAAATTTTTCCATCATCCTATTTCTTATGAGAAGTTACATTCAAGAACATCATATAATATTGGGAAAAAAGATTCTGTATTAACTAAGAAAATGTTGAAATAACCAGTAACACTTAAGGGTGTTTTTATCTCATCTGTAATGCCCTCTTGAAATTACGATTATTATTTTTTTGCAAATAAGAATTTCTTTTCTAAAGAGTGTTACCATTATGTGCCCTTGGATGACAGGTATTCTCTTTGATCTGTCTTTTCCAAAAGGTCATCTAGGTTGCTGTCTAGTAGTGCAAAGGAAATATAGAGTTGATTTAGTCTCTGTCATTACAGGTAGACTTGCTTAACAACTCTAATTGGGCCCAGAATTTCCATTGCTAAGCAAAGCAGTTACTAGGTGAAATATGTGACGGCATTGCTTGGCGATGGCAGTTTCAATAGCCCTGGTTGCATTTGTTAAGCGAAGACTGCATTTTCATTAGGCAAGGGTCTCATACTTCTACACACACACACACACACACACACACACACACACACACACGCTTCAACTTCACATGCCACAGTGGTCATCAATGCAACAAGCTGAGAAGCCTGAATTTTTATCATGTGACTGGTGAGCCACAGTGAACATAACTTCAAAGATTGGCTGCAACTACTATTTGTTCAGCAGCCTCATAACTTTGAAAGTTGGTGAATAAATGGTGAGTGAGGACCATAGATAGTCCTCAACTTATGACCACATTTGACTCCAAAATTTATGTTGCTTAGTAAGAAATTTCTCAAGTGAGTTTTCTCCCATTTTATGACTTTTCTTGCCATAGTTGCCAAGTGAAATCACCACACTTATTAAATTAGTAACATGGTTGTTAAGTGAATCTGGCTTCCCGGTTGACTTTGCTTGCCAGAAGGTTGCAAAAGGGTGATATTGGGACACTGCAACCATCATAAAGATGAACCAGTTGTCAAGCATCCAAATGTAAACTACGTGACTGTGGGGAAGCTGCAATGGTCATAAGTGTGAAAAGTAGTCATAAGTCACTTTTTCCAGTGCCATTGTAACGTTGAATAGTCACTAAATGAACTGATATAATTCGAGGACTATCTGTACCTGTACTATTTCAATATTAAACATGAAATCACTGAAAGGATTTATTTGGCTCCTTTATTTATTCTGTTTCCTTGTGATTTGTCCAAGTGGTTAAACTTTTTAATACAAATTTCTGCTGAATATACCCATTACAAATTAAATATTTTTTCTTTACTTCTGTATTATATCATATGACTCCCTTTATGCTCCCAATGTATTCTCATTGCATTTTTGTTTTGTTTGGTAATGTTTTGTCTGCTTTCTATTCAGATGGTCCCCACAGAATTAGTGGAGAAAGAGTTTTGGCGCCTTGTAAGTACAATTGAAGAGGATGTGACAGTGGAATATGGTGCCGATATCGCCTCAAAAGAATTTGGCAGTGGATTTCCTGTAAGAGATGGGAAAATTAAACTCCGACCAGAAGAGGAGGTAAGATTTTTTTTTCTTGATTAATTCAGAATGTAGGTTTCCCAGAAAGATGTGTGACATTTAAAAGAGAATAAGAAATTATCATTTAGGGCTGAACCTTTTTACTATTTTACTACCAGAAAAACTTGGAAGAAAGTAAAAGTTATCTTGATGCTAAAATATTACAGCAGAGAAAATATCAAGTAAACATGCAGTTTGGGGCATATTTTCACTGCTTCTTTAACTCAAACGAGTATTTTCCCGGTCCTAAGTCCAGAAAAGTTGCTGCTGACAGTGAAGCCAAATTGGTTTTGTCTGGTTGAATCCAAATCCTACATACCTCTAGATCTCTTAGTAGCCATCTGCTTCACTTCATTTGGTCTAAATAGTCAGAAATATCACTCTAAATATAATTTTAGAATACAGATAAATAAAGCATATGGGAGGCTTTAAAAGCTTTTTCAAGAATCCAAAGAATTTAAGATTGTAAGGGTTAATGCCACTTTCAGCCAGGATTAGAAACAATTGAAAGTTGGGATAATATTGACAACAATCTTGTTATCCAGTTTTGGACTGCATTAAGTTTCTGGACCATTTTTAAACTCAGCTTTATACTTTGCAGTATTTTCACATTGCTTTTGTAATACTAAAGCAGTGTTTATTAACACAAAACTATAAAAGTCATTAAAGTTAAAAGCATTCAACTATTTATTTCATCTTTACTTAAAATATTTATATTGTTCCATTTATAGCAAACTTTAGGCAGCTCCAAATCAAAAATTAGTTAGATCAAAACTAAAGAATACTGTAGTTCTCTATTTCTACTCCCCATCCAACTAACTCTGCTTTCTTACTTTGCTGACATGAAAATATTATAATTATTACGGTGCAAGTGAAGTAGAGTGAGGTTCATGTTTCACTACCCCAGATTGTTCAGAAAGAAATAAAACAATTGAGTGTTCTACAAAATTCTCTGAGAAGTTTCTGACTTCCAAGTTGTATTTAACACAGAGTTCTATCACGGTACACAGGAAAAGAAAATTTCTCTTCCCAGGCTTGATAAAGCTTTGAAATTAGGGGAAGGAGGAAAACAGAGAAATATTTCAAGATTTTGATTTTTTTGAGCATGTCAAAGTAAATGAAGATTCCCTTCTGTATCCCCTTTTCCTTGATATCCTTGGACATCTATCACTTTATCTATTGTTTTCCTCACATATTGAACCTTGATGGATGTTATCTGTGTTATTTTATAAAGTTTTAAGCATAAATCAGTGATTCTTTATTGTCAGATTAGAAAAATACAATCAGATTAAAAAGCTTCCTGCCTCTTCCGCTTGGATAGTTTATGGTTGGTTGGATTCTACTTTTTGCTTTACTTCTAGGAGTATCTTGATAGCGGATGGAATTTGAATAATATGCCTGTGATGGAACAGTCTGTACTTGCTCACATCACTGCAGATATATGTGGAATGAAGTTGCCCTGGCTGTATGTGGGGATGTGCTTTTCATCATTTTGCTGGCATATTGAAGATCACTGGAGTTACTCCATTAACTATTTGCACTGGTGAGCTTGTAAAGAATGATACTTAAAGATCCCTGACTTATATAGATTGTTAGACTAAGTATTTCCTTTTAATATTAATGTGCATTAATAATCTTTCATTTGTGTATACTTGTTTGTCTTCCTAATTATAATACATAATTATAATTCTAAATTTAAAACTGATCTATAACATATTTTTTTCGTTATTTGTAGGGGGGAACCTAAAACATGGTATGGAGCCCCAGGATATGCAGCTGAACAATTGGAAGATGTCATGAAGAAGCTGGCTCCCGAGCTGTTTGAATCTCAACCAGACCTTTTGCATCAGCTGGTTACAATTATGAATCCCAACACACTAATGTCTCATGGTGTGCCTGTATGTCACTGAGCTTTTGTTTTTGTCCTTCTGCTTCTAATGTAGGATACATATCTTAATGCATTTTTTATCACTTGGGAATTTTTACATATGTTTACATATCCGTATTGAGGTGTTTCTATAAATGGGTGTGATAGAACAGGAAATGTAACTACTTTTTATTGAACATGAGCAAAACCAATATTTACTCAGGTTTTCCCACAGAGCAAATGAGTTTAATGCTATCATGGAGGAATAGCAGATCCTTACTATTATGCATAGTTTGCTAAGTAAACTTTGGAGGACCAGTTCTAATGTAATTTTTTCTCTTTTAATATAATTTGTGCTAAAGATCTTTAAGATAAAACAAAAGAAAATGCAGGAAATGGAATTTAAAAGAAAGGAAAAACAGAAAAGTGCACAATATAAAAAAGAAGGAAGGAAAAGATTTTAAAAATGATCTAATTTATAACAAAGTTAAGCCTAATTAGTCCACATTGTGCATCACACAGTAGCCTACCAGATGCAAGTTTTCCTATGTATTAATAAATGTCTATTAAAATATGCATGTAGCATAAAAAAACTGATGACCCGTAGTCTCTCAAAATAACCCCAAACCCAAAACATATATTAAAGTCCGGTAAAGCCTTCAACTTAACTTCACTGTTTTATTAGGCACAGTTTAAAGTCACAAAAGTAAATAATGAGACAAACAGAAAACCAAAACAAACCGCATTGATGAGAGTTCCTAAGCAAGGCAAGATAACTAATCATAAACTCCAGGAAAAATAACCGAGAAAAGTCCATGGGAAGAACGCCAGCAACGATAAACCTCTTTCAAGGTGAACACTAAATTGACTCCTGCAAATTCTAACTGCGCAGTTGCAAACTTACTTAGCTCCCACCTGCAAGCCACAAGGAGGATCATGGTAATCTCCTCTTGAGTAGACCTCGCTTTTCCCTAATCCTCTCCTCTCTGCGTGACCTAGGATAGATAGGGGAAGGGCCTGGATCCTCCTCTGACTGCTCAGCCAGGCTCTGCCCTTCCCCAGCCTCCTCCACCACCTCTGGAGCCACACTCCCACTCCCTGTTCGCTGTTCCTCCTTTTCCTCAGAGTCAGTCTCCACCAGGGGCATGACACTATCCCCCCCCCTCCAAAACCCAGCACCACCAGAAAATGAGGCACTGCAGCAACGTAAAACACGGTTTCCTCCACGTGCTGCCCAATACGCATGCAAAGAGGTTTGGTTGCAGCAACCACAGGTCTCTAATGAAGGGGCTGACCATCAGTCGTCTCCACCATTACTGGTGGAGATACCTTTTGCTGAGGAATGAACCACTGCTTGACAAAATGAGCATCCATGGAATTGGCTGTGGCCCCTGAGTCAACCAAAGCTGGGATCTCCACCGCTCCCACACCAGGCATATATTCATATATTCATATAATATATATTCATATATTCAACATATATATTTATGAGGCACATAAATATTAAGGTTGGTGAAGATGGTGGGCCTATGGACTTTACACCCTGACCTGCAGACCCCCGTTGGCCGAGCGATGTTCGTTTCCCACCCCCGCAGGTGTCGCTGCTGTGGATGTCTTTACAGGACACTTGGCCGCAAAATGGCCTCGATTGCCACAATAGAGGCATAAACCATCACAACGACGCTGTTCTTTTCTACTTGAGTCAGGTGAGGGCAGCCAGCCCCCAACTGCATGGGTTCCTCCAAAGGCACTTCCACCAAGGGCACCATCTTGCTGGAAACAGACGTTGCACCCGTCGCTGCTGAAGTCTAGCATCGATACGAAGACACAAATGCATGAGCTCCTGAAGGGTATGAGGGCATTCAGTACGCGCCAACTCATCCAGGAGCTCTGATGACAAACCCACCTGGAACTGGTCTTGTAGTGCTGTCTCATTCCATTGTACATCCTAGCAACCACCCGAAAACTAGCAATATAATCCATAAGTGAGCCACGCCCCTGCTTCAGCTCTCTCAAATGTCTGTTTGCTGTTTGGCTTCGAACAGGGTCCTCAAGCATGGCCTGAAACTGACGGCAAAACTCGGCATAATTGTCCAACACCTGGTTGGGCTGGGTCAGCAGAGGCATCACCCAACGTGCTGCAGAGCCTGACAACAAACTAATAAAAAAACCCACCTTATCCTAGTTAGTGGGAAAGTCCTCAGGCCGAAGGCTCATGTAAAACTGGCACTGCCCAAAAAATGCTGGAAATTGGGCCGGCGAACCATCAAATTTATCTAGCACTGCCACTGGGCATTTTTGGCATGGCTGGGCAGCTTGCATTTGTGCCACCTGTGCAGTCAAAAGAGCCACTCACTGGGTTAACTGGGCAATCTCTGCTCTGAGATGATCCATGGTCACCCCACAAAAAGCAAAAATAAGTTGAAGGGGTGGCAGGAGTCTAAATGTGATGACCCGTAGTGTCTCAAAATAACCCAAAACATATATTAAAGTCCGGTAAAGCCTTCAACTTAACTTCACTGTTTTATTAGGCACAGTTTAAAGTCACAAAAGTAAATAATGAGACAAACAGAAAACCAAAACAAACCGCATTGATGAGAGTTCCGAAGCAAGGCAAGATAACTAATCATAAACTCCAGGAAAAATAACCGAGAAAAGTCCATGGGAAGAACGCCAGCAATGATAAACCTCTTTCAAGGTGAACACTAAATTGACTCCTGCAAATTCTAACTGCGCAGTTGCAAACTTACTTAGCTCCCACCTGCAAGCCACAAGGAGGATCATGGTAATCTCCTCTTGAGTAGACCTCGCTTTTCCGTGATTCTCTCCTCCCTGCGTGAGCTAGGATAGATAGGGGAAGGGCCTGGATCCTCCTCTGACTGCTCAGCCGGGCTCTGCCCTTCCCCAGCCTCCACCACCTCTGGAGCCACACTCCCACGCCCTGTTCGCTGTTCCTCCTCTTCCTCAGAGCCAGTCTCCACATGACAAAAACTAATAAATCTTAGTAACATATTTCTTTATTCTGACCGCAATGTAATGTGCTGTATCATACTTTTCTTACATTCTGAATTGACAAGCCATCTCAAATCCATAATTCTTGGTTTTTATCTTGGAAAATGAATTTCTTATTTGGTGTGTTGTAGTTGCTGTTGTTGCTGTTATTGTAATTGCTGTAGCTGATTTACAGTTCCTGTCATCACCAAGTGGTCACAAATACAGCAGAATTAAAATGTACAGAAAAGATTAGATATTCATCTCCTGTTATTTCTTATAACTAACAGCACATAAACTCTTTACAGGTCGTCCTAGACTTATGACCACAATTGAGCCCAAAATTTATGTAGCTAAGCAAGACAGTTGAGTGAGTTTTGCCCCCATTTTATGACCTTTCTTGCCTCAGTTAATTAATTGCATTAATTGCAATTAATAAGTTAGTAACACAGTTGTTGAGTCTGGCTTCCCCATTGACTTTGCTTGTTAGAAGGTCACAATAGATGACCACATGATCCCAGGACACTGCAACCCTCAGAAATGTGAGTCAGTTGCCAAGCATCTGAATTCTGATCACATGACCATGGGGATGCTTCAGTGGTCTTAAGTATGAAAAATGATCATAAGTCACTTTTTCAGTGATGTAACTTTGAACAGTCAGTAAATGAACTGTTGTAAATCGAGGACTACCTGTATTTTTGAATAATGCTGGAATCATTCGAATTTCCTGTCTTTTGGTTTGTTGGATGATTTTCATTGACAACTGTTGGCACCAGCATCTGAATAAAATGAATATTCTTTTTTATGAAAAGGAGCTCTTAATGTGTTCTTAAATGTAAAAGCAAGCCTCATTAAGTGGTAATAACTATATCCTGTGTTTGCTTTATTTTGTTCTAGATTTACCGAACTAATCAGTGTGCTGGTGAATTTGTGATTACATTTCCAAGAGCCTATCATAGTGGCTTTAACCAAGGTTTTAACTTTGCTGAAGCAGTTAATTTCTGCACTGTTGACTGGGTATGTTGCGAAGATAATGATCTGTTTATTTAGCAAATATAAAATGCTTGTGGCTAGCTTTTTTGATATGGATATAGTTATCTGATACAAATTTTGTTTACAATAAAAATACGCCGACTAGGTGTATATAAAATAAATGTACAGGTAATTTAATAACTGTACAAAATGAAATTTACTGGAAAAATCAGTTCAGATAAAAAATATTCAGTAAATTCAGAATTTTCTTTTTAATGAAATCAGTTTTTACAATGAACACTTTCTCAAGTAACAACAAAGCAGCAAAGGTGATTAGGGGACTGGAGACTAAAACATATAAAGAACGGTTGCTGGAATAGGGCATGTCTAATTTGATGAAAAGAAGGAGTAGGGGTGACGATAGCTGTGTTCCAATATCTCAGGGGTTGCCACAAAGAAGAGGGAGTCAAGCTATTCTCCAAAGCACATGAAGGCAGGACAAGAAGCAACGGATGGAAACTCATCAAGGAGAGAAGCAATCTAGAACTAAGGAAAAATTTCCTGACAGTTAGAACAATTAATCAGTAGAACAACTTGCCTCCAGAAGTTGTAAATGCTCCAACACTGGAAGTTTTTTTTTAAAGTTTTTTTTTAAATACATCTTTGTGAGAACAATGTGGTTCCAGGTGTTTTACATTTTAAATCAGTCATGCCCATAGTCTCTGATGCAGCTTTCTAACATCACATCATTATCTATTACCAAATTTTCTTTTTTATATTCTCATAAATTATTTTATATCAGTCAATCAATCTCTAGCTTCCTTGATCATATACTTATATTCAACATGTTTACAATTTATTCATATCATTTCATCAATCATTCAAAGTTTCACCTTAATTTGTACTATCCCCTATTAAATCCCCTTTCCAATATTATTACATATATTTTATTTTCTGTGTATCTCCTCTCTACGTTCTCAAATTTGCACAAATATATTTTTCATCTTATTTTCCTTAGTCAACAATATAACAACATACCTTCATTACTTTTTATAAGTGGATAACAAAATATTTAATTCATCCAAAACATTCTAATCAATCTCTAACTTCTTTAATCATGTATTTCTTATGTTCTTCATGTTTACAATTTAATTTATTCATACAATTCATTGACCATTTAAGATTTCACCTTAATTTATATTACCCCTATTCTGTCCCCCGCAATATTACATTTGCCACTATTACACATATTTTATTTTCTGTATAATCCCTTCCCTCTAACATTTTTATACAAATATATTTTCTTATAGCCAATAGTATCAACACTACAACCTCGCTACCTTATATATGTAAATAACAAAATATGTAATTCATTAAAATATCCTCCTATATGATTATGTCTATTCTCTGTCGGGCTCCACATAGTATTCCCTTTCATATTTTAAATATTGATTACTTTTATCGTCCATAAACATTTATCAGCCTTGCTTAATTAATCTATTATAAATTCTTGTTTTCATGTCTATTCAATTTTAATTATTCCTATTCTAGTTCTTAATCCAAACTCCTCAATCTATTTTATATATTTTACTGCTAAAATGTGGAGTCCCCTTTTCCATTTCTAACCATTGTCTCTTAAGTGTCTCTTTTATATTAATTTGTAGTTTCTTTGCTTGTTTACTATTTTCTATCATCTTTTGGCTTTTCCCTTTAATCCTTCCTCTATTCTAAATCAGTTTCTGATGTTTTCTCTTCCATTTCTTGAAGTTTATCCCCATCCTCTTCTGATCTCCTTTCTGTAATTTCCTAGCCATTTCATTTATCTGCTTTCTAATCTCAGTATAACCCCCCTTATTTATTACATCTGTCGTTAATATCTCAAATTCAATTTCTTTTTTCTTCTTTTGCATTATTTTTTGTTCCTTTTGTTCCATTTCACTGGTTTCTTTTTCTTCTGGCTTCTCTCCCTTCTTTGTTTTTTCTTCTTCTACTATCATCACCATTTCCAAATTTTGCTCTGTATTCTGTATTTTTGTGCATAAATCCAACATTCTGTCCCACATCTCAGTCATGGCTCAAAAGTCCATCTTTATTTCTTTACATAAGTCACTCATCTTTGTATTGCCTATTGTTCCAATTATCCAGTAAATTTTATTTTATTTAAACCAGTGTCTCTTTTTTAATGTCAATATTCTCAAATCTTTATTTCCAGTTAATCAATCCAAGTCACCAGTAAATCCAAGGGTAATGTCCTCTTATATTCTTTGCTCTTTAATTATAATATATTTCACCTTCCAAGGGGTCTTACTGTAGTGTCTTTCTTTTATTTTTAACTTCATTTAATTGAATTGTTAGTTTGAAGGGATCTGCAGGATTTTTCTTTCATCAGCAAGTGGCACTTTTAGTCCAGTTTCACTGCCACTCTTTTTTCGTTTCTTTAAATTAGCTTCACATTTTTTTAAAAAAATCAAATATTATTTCTCTTTTAGAACAGTTAGTTCCAGCATTCAAATTAATGCCTTCCAATGCCTCTCCAATCTCCAATTCCGAATTAGTGTTTTTCCAAACTTATTGCTATTAAAATTTTAAAATTTTAAGCTCTTTAGATTTTCCATTTCTTCTTTCTTCTTCCAAATTGCCACTAACTCAGTTCTTTAATCTTCTCTGTTGTAGTCTTTTTGGGATAGGCAAAAAATAAAATGATTTTTTTTCACCCTTCTCCGAACACCGTTCCCAGTCTCCACTCCAGTACTGTGCTTTAGATGTTCCTCCGCTGTCCCAACTCTGTAGCGGCCATCTTAGTTGCTCTTCTCTCCGTTGTGGCATAGAGAGCAAGCTCGGGGTTTCCACGGGGAAATTGCATTCTCCCTTGGAACCTCACTGGGCGCCTCTCCTTTGCTTCGCCACTCCTACAAGGCTGACAAACGGCAAGAAAGCCAGCACAGGAATGGAGACCTCTGTTTGCTGCTTCTGGTCTCGTTGTGATAAAAACTTCCAACACTGGAAGTTTTTAGGAGATTGGATAACCATTTGCCTGAAATGGTATAGGGTTTCCTGCCTAAGTAGGAGGTTGGACTAGAAGGCCTTCAAGGTCCCTTCCAACTCTATTCTATTCCTATCCTATTCTAGTGTAAGTGTAAAAATGATCCAGCAATTCTACAAGCAGTCTTTATTGTGCATATAAAACTTATTTTAAGGAAGATTGTCTTGATCCACTAAACTAACAACTCTATAGATATAAAGCTTGTTAATAGTTGGGAACGATTGTATTTCATTTTGAATTACATTTGCGTTTTCAAAATTGAAGCTTTAATACATTCTTCGTATACTAAATATATTTTGTTTATTTGTATATCATCTTAGAAGAGTTTATTAGTAGCTGTTTTTATTCTTAGTCTAAGGAACTGCATTAAATTAACATTTTCTTCAGTTAACAGCTTTCAACAATGGATATTATGTTGCTTACCTTAGAACATAGAAAAACTATATTTGCTCTCATTTTTTTCTTTAGTTGCCTTTGGGTCGTCAGTGTGTGGAGCACTACCGTTTATTAAACCGCTATTGTGTGTTTTCTCATGATGAGATGATATGTCGAATGGCAGCCAAAGCAGAAACTCTTGATGTGGTGGTAGCTTCTACAGTTGAAAAAGATATGGCTATTATGATCGAAGATGAAAAGACTTTACGGGAGGCTGTGCATAAGCTGGTAAATTTTTTGTGTATATACATGTTAAATTGTGAAATACTTTTAAGTTAAATAAACTGACAGATTTATTTATATTTGTATTCTGCTTTTATTATTTTTACAAACAATCCAAAGTGGTGGATGCTATACCATTTCATTTCATATATCCCAGCTAGTGAGAGGACAGAGGCAACCTTTGGAATCAGATTCTCCTAGAGATCCAGATATTCAGACCCTGGTGGGGTTCCAGAGAGCCTTAAATATCAGGCTGATATGTGCTCCCAGGCTTCGTGCTAAGATGTTTGGAGCTCCTTGTTTGGTGCATATGTTTGTTGTTGACTGAATTCACTATGTTGTTTATTGTTACATGTTTTAACTTTTTGTGGCATTTTGGTTTTTTTATACTGTGAGCTGCTCACAATCATGTGTTTATATTTATTTGATTAAATCCTGCCTTTATTATTTTTATAAATAAGAGGCAGAATTTTACAAATAAGAGGCAAAATCTAAATTGAATAAATCAATAAAAATAAATGCAGTACAAACTATTTTTGACTAGAGGTTTAAAATGTCTGGTAGATAATTATTTTTTAATGGTTTTTTATTTGTTTGCTAATTTGGGCATAAAGTTATCAGATAAATTCCCATGCATTATTAGGCTATTTCTACCTAGAACTAGCAACTTTGAAGAAAGTCAAGTCCCACTTCATTATAGAGCTTCATAAATAATCACCAAAACTGGAAACCAGTAAGAATCCTACAACAAAGATGTAATTTGACCTTCCCTTCCCACAACCTCAGACTGCCTGTTTAAGAACTGTAGAACCTTTGCAACCTTCTTCACTCTCTCCCAACAACTAAACTTGAATTTTAAGTTCCCTTCTTTTCCAGATCTTTATCTTCCTGCTTACCACCCCAGTGCTCTGAATTGCAGTTGCTTGGGCACCACAAGTCTGAATCCATCCCTATCGGATAGTTTTTATTTCCACATTCTCATGTCAACTATGTCAGTTTGAATCTTAGTCAGCTTGGCTACCAAACACCTCCTGATCTCTTTGGTTTATTTAGCTGGTCACCTCGCAATAACATTTCTTACACTTCCTTCTGTTTTGGAGTTCCAACTGAGTATCAGTGGCTGCTCTGTCTCTCTGCCATAATTTTGACTTTGCCTCATGTTCTTCTTGCTGATCTCTGATTGGAATCTCTGAATACATCTAATAGTCCTTAAGTGCTGTACATCATGACTCCCTTCTTCCAATGCAGCATGATTGTATGTATTTTGCCCATTTTTTCTTCACAACAAATGAATAGTTGTAAATCAGGGTCAACCTGCAATAGGGTTTTTAATCTATTTTTGCTCATAGCCCCCTTCTGAGTCTCATTTATTTAAATGACCTTATAGTCACTGTTGACTGAAAAATGGTAACTAGAAATTAGAAGTACGGTATGGTTCATATTAAGAACCATTGAGTTAGAAGGCAAGAGTTGAACCATCAATAAGTAAAAACTTAAGAAACCAGTTTTGGCTAACTATTAAACAAAATGTTTCTCATTGGGCCATAGAAAAAAACACCTTTTTAATATATTTGCTAATGTTGACAAAAATAAAATAATATCCTGTAATGAAAGTTCTGCAGTGAACAAGTTGTGGATTTTATTAAGAATGTCTGTTCCAACTCTGATTATATCATTCCTTGTTGACATAATGGCTATTCTGTGAATTGTCTGTTACAGGGTGTTACTGAATCAAAAAGAATGAATTTAGAAGTGTTGCCCGATGATGAACGACAGTGCATAAAATGTAAAACCACTTGCTATATGTCTGCAGTCTACTGTAGTTGTAACCCTGACTTATTGGCGTGCTTGTATCATGTGAAAGAACTCTGTACATGTCCCATATATCAATATAAAATGGGGTAAGTGCATTGCTTCATAATGACAACTAAGCATATTTTAAATATCCTTTTAAAAAAATTAAATGTTATGTGCACTAATCCCACATGCATCTTAGTAAAATCTCACGTGCATCTTAGATAAATCTCAGATGCATCTTTGATTAGCAGTCTTAATTAATCATTTAGAAAGGGAAGAGAAGATGTATTTCCAGTATACTATTCTGAAACTATATTTCTGTTTGACTCTGATAAGAAATTAACTGCTTTGTTTTGGGCTTATACCAAAATCTGTAGTTAATAAATAACCAGCTGGTTTTAGTAGAAAAGTAGAAAAAAAAAGAATTGTTATATTTACAGTATTATGATTTTTTTCATAATCTTATTTCTGTGTTTGGTCTCTGTATTCTTTTTCCAGGTCCTCTCTTTTTAACAGTACAATCTACTATAAATTACATATGATAATGAAAGAACCACCAGTTCACTGTTGTAATTTATTAGAAGAATATCTTTTAAAAATTCAGAATAAAAAAAACCACCAAGTCTTTCCTTTACCATTCTCCCAGGGATTGTTTCTCTAAAACTTTCTCTTGTTGTAAAAATAACTGTGATCTTTTTACTTGGAGTTATTGGGGGACACACAGTAAAGTCAGAAAATACAATACAGGCAAATATTGGATAGGATTCACTCCCTCAGCACAGTGTATGTCTGCAGCAGATATGTACGTCCTAATATAGCTTTGACCACCAGGCAACTTGTTACTTTATTTGAAATGGATCAAAACTGATATTGAGATCAACAGCAGGAATTTTGTACTTTGTCACATGATTTCCCAATCAGAAAGTTTTATAAATAATAAGCCTTAATAACCCTATAGGCTTATAATAGCCGAGGCAAGCAACCATGCCATTGTAGAACTAACCTAGGTGAAGGAATAATAGATTTGTTGTCCTTTGCAACAGCTACATAATTATTACTGTACCATAACAGTGTGTTTCATGCTGTTGTATGCACTGCAGCAGTATATTTTTTATTAAAGCCAGAATATTTAGGATTTATAAATTAATTGTTTGAACTCTATAATGCTTCCAGGTATCGATATACAGTGGATGAACTGTATCCAATGATGAATGCACTTAAATTGCGGGCAGAATCTTACAATGAATGGGCTTCTAACGTCAGTGAAGCTTTAGAGGCAAAAGTTAATAATAAAAAAAGTATGTATCCTTTGTATTTTTTGCATTGTAGTTAAACATTATGGAATTAATTATCCAATCATATTAATGTTTATTCTGGAGTCCTGTTGAATTTCAGCAACTTAGTCAAGAAAATGTACATAATATATCAGATTACAGCTAAATAACTAAGCAATCATAAATTTAATTTTTTGAATTTATGCCAACTGTATCTGTTAACTTTCAACTGGGTAATATATAATAATGGAGTAAAAACTAGATCATGTAAATAATAAAATAATACAGATGCAAGAAAAAAACTGGTGGCATATAAAACCAGTAAATAAACAAAATAAAAACTAACCAGACAGAGCTAAATGCTCATTAAAAAAGGGAGATCTCTGAACATAAGAAAACGAAGACATGTCTGGCCTCTAGTGATAACATTCCATAAACCAGGCCCTACTAGAGAGAAAGCCTGCTGCTTCAACCAGGAATCTTTCAAGAAGATACTCTCAGCAGACCTTCTCAAAATGGATGGATAGAACTGACTGTACAAAGATGATGCCTAATGTAACCCTGTGCTATAGGAATGTGCAATAATGTATTAATAAAAATTGACATCTCTTAACTAAAAATGGTTATCCTCCTAAAGGTCTCATGAATTTCAAAGCTTTAATTGAAGAATCAGAAATAAGAAAGTTTCCAGACAATGATTTATTGCGACATCTCCGATTAGTTACTCAGGATGCAGAGAAATGTGCCTCAGTTGCACAGCAACTTCTTAATGGCAAGAGGCAAACAAGGTAAGATTTGTGGGTAGTTTTACATTCCTATGGTGTTTGTTTGGAAACACTATATGTGTCACAGTTACTGTTGGTACTGAAACTTGGCTAAGTGCATACCTATTGTGCAGTTTCCTTTCAAAGTAAGTAATATTATGCAATGCACAAGAGTAAACAAACCAAAGAAATCAAGGCATAGTATATAAAAAAAGGAAATATTGTTTAATATAGGTTTTGCCAATAACATTCATTATATCTTCCCATTTTATTCTGCGTTTCCAAAAATCCTCTTTCCCACCAAATGCATACATAGCTTTATACTGTATATTACCTGGTTTTTAATTTTCTTACCTTTTTGGGGATTTCATTCATCTACAATGTTTTCAGTTTGTTATTCCTTTCTACCCATTCATTGTTCCTTCCTGCATTGCCACTTTGTTAGCATAACAGATGAATAAAATGTCTCAAATAGGCAAAAAACTCCACAGAAGTAATGTTTTAATGTAATCCAAAGTATTTAGTATTTAGGAGCCTCTGTGGCACAGTGGTTAGAGTACAGTACTGCAAGCTACTTCTGCAGCCAGCTGCCTACAATTTGTCAGTTCAAATCCCATCAGGCTCAAGGTTGACTCAGCCTTCCATCCTTCTGAAGTGGGTAAAATGAGGACCCAAATTGTTGGGGACAATATGCTGACACTAAACCGCTTATAGAGGGTTGTAAAGCACTATAAAGCGGTATATAAGTCTTAAGTGCTATTGCTATGTATACAACGTTAATGTTGCTTTTGCTGCTTCCAATTGTTAACACTGACCAAGACAACAAGACCCATTTAAAAATTGTTTCCCAAATGTAAACGACTTATTAAACTCCCAACAGGCAATAATGCAAAGCTTTCAGAAGTCTTCAGTGAATTCACTGAATTAATTTCACTCTCTTCTTCGTAGATTTAATAGCAACTTGGGAGAACATAAAAAATTGTAACTATGTATTTTGCTGCAAGTTATTTTAACTCTTATCTGCATGGTGGCATGCATGTGTGCTTCTGTACACCCATCTTCACACACACACACACACACACATACACACACACACACTGGTTTGGCCTTGGGAAAAAAAGTCCTTTTGCATTTGATAAAATGTTTCAATACTCTTAGATTTCTCTAATAGTTTTTTATCCAACTGTAATTAGGCTGATCAGAATTACTTCTTACATATCTCACATATCTCTTAAGTCTTCTACCATCTCAGATTCCCATCTTAAAGTAAGCTAAAGTGTTTTTCTGGTGAGACCGGTCTATCAGGACAACCTGGTCTACCCAACTAAGGGATGGAGCATACTGCTTCCACTCTCGCCTTTCAGCCCCAATCCAGGAGCCTTTGCAGGCAGTCATTTTCTCAACAAACTATATTACTATATATTTTAGCAACAAAGAAATAAAGGGATACTAGTATAGATCTATTTCAAGCTATTTAGCTCTCGTCAGCTAGCCATATCCTTTCTGGCTGGGTTTGGACCCCAGAAAGGCTAGAATAGCCCAGAATAGCTAGCTGAAGAGAGCTAAATAGCTTGAAATAGATCTATACCAGTCTCTCTTTATTTCTTTGTCGGTAAAATATAAATTCAACTTAAAGTAGAATAGTTTGTACATCCCTATCTGCCATTTAAGTTAACTGCATGTTAAATTTGGGTGGTTTATATCATAATCTTGGGTTTAGGATCTCAGGCTAGTGGACAGCAAGCCCTAACTGAACTGGTGCAGAGAGCTTGGTGGAAATACCTAAGTGTGGTCCTCAAAAGAGGCCATGATATTTGAGGAGTTGTAAGCAAAGTTTTCAGATGTTACATATTGTGCATTTCTGTTTTAATTGATGATCACATGACACCAGAATTGGATTGCTAGCACAAATAGCATGGTCGATAAAAATCTGTTCACATAATTATGGTTCTAATGATGTCTGGTTTGAGAAAAATATTTACATATTAACACATATTCTTTTAATAAATTAGTTGAATAAGGATGAAATAACAAGACGAATGTATTTAATGTACCCTTTAGTGGTATAAAACTTTTCTATGTAACCACAGATACCGGTCTGGTGGAGGAAAATCTCAAAATCAATTGACCGTGAATGAACTCCGCTTATTTGTTAGACAACTGCATGCTTTACCATGTGTCCTTAGCCAAACAACACTACTGAAGGTAACTTGGAATTATCAATGGAATAAACTAGAATTTTTTTCTCCAGATAAACAAAAATATACCTTCTTATATTTTCAAAGATTCGGGAATTTAAATAAGTAAATATTGTTGTAGAGCTAGTTGGTATAGACCAGTTAATAAACTATATGAACTAACAGGGATTCCATGGCCTTTATTTGCTGACTGATTTGATTTGAATGATTTAGGAGAACCCCAAGTGACAAATATTGCCTCAGGATCTCATGTGAGATCCTGTCCACAGCCAACATGAAGCCAGATTGTTTACATAACCTCTTTTAAAAATTGTTTTAGCATTTTATTTTCTCTTGACTTATCCCATCTGATCAGGCATAGGCCAGGATGCTCCACTGCAAATCTGATGAAGAATTGTTAAATCCTTAAATACTATTAATTTAGACTATGGTGTAAATAATTTACAGGGAAACATACCTTGCATTCTGTTTTTTTGTCATTTGTTTGCAGAAATAATCTACATTATTTGTCATCAAATGTGAAATGCTGTTCAAATAACTTTTAAAATAGCTACAGTTCTGGTTTGAGAATTTTGTTTTTTTACTTATTCTCACTGCTTCATATTTTAGGATCTTCTTAATCGTGTAGAAGACTTTCAGAAATACAGTGAAAAACTTCTCTCTGAAGAAATTCCCAGTGCTTCAAAACTACAAGAACTTTTAGAAGTCAGTTTTGACTTTGATGTTGACCTCCCTCAGCTTGTGGAATTAAGAATACGCTTAGAACAAGCACGCTGGTTGGAAGATGTACAAAATGTTTGCTTGGACCACACTTCTCTTACTCTTGATGATATGAGAAGACTCATAGACTCTGGTGTTGGGCTAGCACCTCATCCTGCAGTTGAGAAGGCAATGGCCAGGCTCCAAGAACTCTTAACAGTGTCTGAACACTGGGATGACAAGGCTAGAACTCTGATAAAAGCCAGGTAGAAAATGAGTCTTGTTTCAGAACTCTTAAAATTCACATTGCTTTTCAGTAATTAAGTTATTATTTTTCCTCAACCTATATGAAAAATGAAGAAAAATGTGTTGTGCCAGTGTAAAAAAAAAGCAACAACAAAATTGTATTTTTAGTACCAGAAATATTTCTTTGGTAACCAATACTTAATATTTCATTAGCAATTTCATTGCTGATTATTATTTTAAACATTGCCTTGAGAATGTAAGTTACTTAATAATGTTTAAAATAAAGGAAGATAAATAGTTTTACATAGTACAGGTAGCCCTCAACATACAACCATTCATTCAGAGACAGTTTGAAGTTATGATGGAAATGAACCAATGATGGTTACTACTGGTTCTTCCAGCTCTGGCTGTCCAGCACCCTGCAATCATATGATTGCAATCTGCTTGCCAACTGGTTCACATTTAAGACTGGTTGCAGTGCCTTGTGATTATGTGATTGCCATTTGCAACTTTACCTGCTAACTTCCCAGAATGCCAATGTTGAAGTGCTCCTCAGACATTCACATCATGCCAGACACTTGCATTGCCCTGTGATAGTGTCAGCTTGGTAGTTTAAAGTGATTTGGATTGCAGATCCAATAGTCTCTGTTGGCCATGCTGATGAGAGTTGAAGATAACCTGATATATCAGGTTGCCTATGCTTTTCCACAGGCCAACTATTTCCAGTACTGAATTGCTAATAAGCATGTCCAGTAATCAGTGATTGGAGCTGCAATCCAACATAACAAAAAATTTAATTTAGGGACTAAAGCAAGTCATACATATAGTTCTATGATTTCATTATAAGTTCACACTATAATATGCCACATTGAGGAATGCAATAAAGTTTTAACTCCTGTTTAACCTATAAATATACAATTCAAACTTTAATGTAGGGTGTTCTAGTGAATATTTTTAGAAACCTTTGAATTTGGGAGGCAAGTGTCTTCAACAGAGCCTTGGGCTTAATTGTCTCTACACGGAGAAACTTGTGCTTCATTAGTTTATAGACAAGGATTCTTACAATTCATATATTCTTCTATATATATCACAAAAACCTGGCATGTTTGGAGTCTTTATTTGTATATAGAATTTATCTTCTGAATCTTAGCAAGAACCTGTCCTTTTATTGTACTGAGGCATTATTTTTGGGGAGTGTTTGCTTCTTTATAGGAGAGATTTTTTGACTCTTACTAGTTTTTAAGTGATAACAGTATAGCACGACAAAATTCTGTGTTTTCTTTAAGGCCAAGACAGTCATTAAGCAGTCTTGAAGCAGCAGTGAAAGAAATAGATGTTATCCCTGCTTATCTTCCAAATGGAATAGCTCTGAAAGATGCTGTAAAGAAGGCCAAAGACTGGCTACAGGAAGTGGAGAACCTGCAGGTGGGGGTGGAAATTAATAATTGAAAGTAATGTTCTTGCTTTAATTTCACTATACTTTTATTTCTGAGATCTGTGTGATGTTTGATTGTAAGCAGTTGCAGTAATATAGACTGTAAATGATGTTTCCTTAAAAAGAGTAATGACTCCTCTAAAAAAAAAAAAAACTAGAAGACTTCTTGTATTTATAAAATGTATGATATAAAACCTCTGCAGCAATATAGATACACATTTTTTATTTTAAAAAAATTATATTTCTAATTGTTTGTATTGCTATAACAAATTATAAAAGCAGTAATAGTTGATTATTACTTACAATAAGTTGTACAAAACATTTATAAAAGCAAAAATGACGACTGTTATCTAATGTCTGGTTTCATTTTGTATATCTTCAACTTCATTATAATCTTCACTGAATATAACATTTCTGCATTATTAGGCTGGTGGGCGTGTGCCTGTGTTAGATATGCTTGCAGAACTTATCACAAGAAGTCGCTCTATTCCTGTTCATCTGGACTATCTGCCAAGGCTGGAGTCTTTAGTAGCTGAAGTTCAAGTTTGGAAAGAGTGTGCAAGCAATACTTTCTTGACAGAGGACTCTTCCTATTCTCTTTTGGAGGTAATTTATTTCCATACTTATTCTGAGTAGAGAATTTATGCAGGCAAATCATAGAAATTAAACAAATGATAATTAAGAATTAAGGTTTTGTCAAATGCTTGATTGGGATTTACAAGATGAACACTCATTCTGAGATCTCAGACTTGCCCTGGCCAATAACGGAACTAGAAGCCTTGCAAGGTTGTAAGTAACAGCTCCTTGGACTTTCTCTCTCTCTCTTCTTAATACAGATTAGAAATGACATCAAAGAAGAAAGCCAGCAACTTCTAAGTGCAAAATTCAAATCTTATTTAATAAAGTTCGGTTTTGTGCTATTTTCATCTGCCCATGCAGTGCAGGGTGTTAGTCTCACCCTTCGGACAGGGTGCTTATCATGAGTAGAGTGTTATTTTAACAGATCATCTGATCTTAGGCTAAGTCTTCTGCCCTTACATGAGGAATCTTTTATGCTTATTTTTGTGCGTGTTTGTGCTGGCAGGTCATGTAGGTGAGCCTAAAGAAAGCACTTTGGGTTGATGATTTGGAAGGATTATGCTGTGGAATATTTCTCTTTCAATTGTCATGTCTCATAGATGTATATGAGGAAGGAAAAAGACATGCTACAATCCAGGGTATTCAGTTACTGGTATTGTAGGCAAGCACTCCCCTCTCCCTGGCTTCTATTAATTATTTTGTAAAATTTTGGAAGTACCTACCAATCTTTAAATTGCATGTTGGCATTTTAATCTGGGTATGTTCAAATTTGCATGAAGGCTTTTAGAAATAGATATTATATACAGTATAATCATTGAATGATCCCTCATTCCTCCAGAGCAGGCTTAGTTGAACACATTGTTCTGTGAAACACAAGAAGAAAATATGACAATTTTAATTTTTACTAGGTGTTATGTCCAAGATGTGACATTGGGACATCAGGATTTAAAAGAAAAACAAAGAAAACAAAAGAATCAGTTCCAAATGGGAAAAAAAAGAGCACCAAAATTGAGAGTTTATGTGATTTAGAAAGAGCATTATCTGAGTGTAAGGAAACTGCAGCTGCGGTATGTATGTATTCTGAAATGTATTTAATGAACTTATGTGCTTAGAAATATATGTCTTATTTTAATGAAGCTTCTTTTTCCATTCTTTCAGAGACAGAATTGTGCCTTAGTACATTTTTTGCTTAGAATACCAATATATATTCTTGATGTTACTAAAGTAAAATCAGATTTTCTGTGCATTTAATTTGTATGTAGTCTGTAAAGAGAAAAGTAAAGCTTTTTCATTCGGCATCTAAGATTATATTAACAGTTGTCCAAATGGCAAATAGTGAACTGTATTTCAAAAAGATTTAAGAAATCAACAGAATTCATTTTTCTTAGAACTTTTTTTGCATGTTATAGAAAAATGTAACTGAACATTTTAGGGACTTTTTTAATGTCTGTAAATAATTTTAATGTAATTCGTTATCAGATGGCCATGCTTGGTGAAGCCCGTTTAAAAGAAATGGAAGCACTGCATTCTCTGAGAGCAATAAATGAAGAAAAAATCTTTTCTGATGAACAGAATGTAGAGATCAAAGTTTGCCTCTGTCAGAAAGAGCCGGCAGCACCAATGATACAGTGTGAGCTGTGCAGAGGAATGTTCCATACTAGCTGTGTTTCGGCGTCCAGCAATTTGCAGGGACCTTGGGTATGGCTTTGCCCTCACTGCCATAGATCTGAAAAGCCACCTTTAGAAAAGATTCTACCTTTAATGGCTTCTTTACAGCGAATTCGGGTGAGACTGCCTGAGGGAGATGCCTTACGGTATATGATAGAGAGAACCGTGAACTGGCAACATAGAGCACAACAAATGTTATCCTCAGGGAATATAAAACTTTTAGCAGACAAAGTGGACTCAGGGATATTGTACAGCAAATGGCAAAACGTGGCAGGCCAATTGCAGGAGACCAATAAGGTAAGGTTCTAATTATATCCTAGTAAAGTGCTATATGAAAACCAGCATGAATGCTTCTGTATTTTACTTTTTAGATAAATAGTAGCAAAAAAATCAATTTAATGGATATGGGGCCTGCAGAGTATAAACATTTATAGAGTGATTTTCCAAAGGAAGGAAGGAAGGATCTGTTGTATCACTTTTTCTGCTTCAGCTAGATATAGAGTCCTGTACGGATATAGATTTGAAGCAGAAAAAGTGATACAACATATCCTTCCTTCCTTCCTTCCTTCCTTCCTTCCTTCCTTCCTTCCTCCCTCTGCTAAACTAGTAACTCATGGCAGCTCATAGCACCAGTGATAACATAAAAAATAATAGTTAAGAATATCTTAACTATTGGAAAAAGTCAACTGCCAGTACTCTTAAACCAACATTCTTCAATACATGAGAAACCACAATCACTAGGCTCCGAGCTCACCCTATCTCAACACTTGGGAGGAAAATCATCTTTATAAGGCTTTCCAGACAGCTAAAAGGGAGGGGGCTTGCCAGATTTCAGGTGGGAGAATTTTCCAAAGGGCAAGAGTTACTATTTAGACAATATGCTTTTGCGGTTTCACTTGAAGACAGTATTTGAGAGAAGAAACCTGGAATGTGTGCTCCCTGTCTAGTGGAGCAGGCAGATAACTATGCCAGTGTAGATTTTTAACTGTGATAAGCAACATCTTGAATTGTACCTGGAAAGAAAAGGAAAGTTTGTGCAGTTCAAACAGCAGCGGTATGATAATGGGCAAACTGAGGGGCAGCTGTAAACACCACTGAGTTCTGGACCAGTTGTAATTTCTAGTTGGCTTTCAAGGGCAGCCAACAGAATTTAGTGCAGTAATTGAACAGAGAAATGATCAAGACACGAGTGACTTAGAGCAAAGCTTCTCAATTCATCAATGAGCACAATTGATGCATAAGATGGATTCATTTCATCTAGAGCCCTCTGAAACTGAATTTGTATTATCAATGCAACCTTTCCTAGGTAGGTAAGATTGGAGACTGGATGACAGTTGCTTGAAGATTCAAAAAGGACCTCTTGAGAATAGGTTGCACAACCATGTCTTTCAGTGTATATAGCTTCATTCAGTCTTGCAATTAACCACAGCTTGGACCCAACTGCATGTCACCTTCTGGAGGCCTTAACCAGAAGAAGTGTAGGTCCTGAACACAAGTTGCTGAACTGACAGCTGTGAGGATTCTGTCCATTTCTTCAGAATGGACAGGGGCCAATAATTTATCATGTTTCTGGGATGATAAAAGTCTCATTAACTCAACAGTGACAGTATACATGGAGGAATATAGTGTGTATATAAATGGATGCACATGCCTGATCCAATAATAAACATAGCTGCACAATATTACATTTTGAGCAATTGCTGTTCATTGTCCATGAATATTGCCTTTACCAGTTTTACCTACAGATTTCAGCTACTTGATGTCACTATCAAAAAACTTCCCACACAGAAGTGAATAGATAATTTTTCCTTGGATTCTTCTTTCCAATTTGCTTGGTTGTTATAATGAAGTTGTATATAACAATCCCTTTGCTTTGGACTTTCAAGTACTCTTTAATCAGCTACTCTGATATTACTTGAGACAGTCAGTCTCAAACTCAGACAATTTTGGACCAAATCTGCTGACTGTCTTAGAGTGGGAGGGAATGGGAATTTGGAAAAAGGAGGAAAAGAATAATAATATAAGAAAAAGAGCAAATTCAGAGCAAAGTCTACCTAGTATTTTTTTCTAGTGATCTCCGGTGTTATCCATGAAGAAGATGCAGAAGCAATTTATGCTACTCCCTTGAGTAACTGGTTTTTATTAACTATGTCCTGTTTATTATCCTTGGTAATAGCTATTGATAGATGTTTTCTCAGTTTAATTATCCTTTAATGTAATATAAGCCTATGGCTATTTATGCAATTGATTCCATAAAAGTAATTATTCATAGTGTAAAGCAGACCTGTACAACTTGTAGAGAGGAAAGGATCACATTGATAAATTAAAAATCATTGCAGGCTGCAAAAGAATAACTGATGTGCCAGTCATCTGTACTATGATTAAGAGATGAGCAACATCTGGTGGCAGCAATGAGGCGTGGAGATGCTTGGTAGCATATCTCAGTAGTGATGAATTTATTTCCTTGTTAAAAAAAAGGCTGGAGGACTACAAAAGTTTGCTTGGTGAACTATATGTTGTCCAGGCTTGGTCTAAAGTAATTTTTTTATGTCTGTCCTGAATGCATAATTAATAGAGTTGTTAAATAATATCAAGTTTTGATATTTCTGTAAAAAAATGATACTCCTCTTTCCACACCATTCATATAATTATAAACCTGTACTGCATCTCTGTTTAGGCAGGGCCCAAACTATTCAATATAATGGGGAATGTGGTTTATTTCTGCTAATTATGGATTTGATTGTTGTTCATTGTAGCTTTCTCTGGACTATATCTTTTGATGGGACAAAGACATTTTCTTCAAACTTGCACCAGTCATAATCCCTCTTACAACTTGTCTTTGTTTTAGAAGCTTAATCTTATTTTGTGAAATATTCAGACAGTATGAAAGAATTGGATATATCTATCTACTGATTAGGGTCTGGCAACTGAAGCAGCTTAAAAGCATTTGTCACACTTAAATAAATACCCCCTTTTATATATAATACACACACACACACACACTCTTAAGCATTAAACAATATAGGTAATCCAAACTCTCTTTCTCTCCCTCCCTCCCCTATATTGCTTATTTTTAGAATGATTTGTTCTATTCCCAATTTAATAATTTATGCTTTACATCAAACTACTTAGAAATAGTAATTACATTGGTTAAATTCCTGGCTTCTTAATGAAATGTGCTTGTACTAATTTCCTTGTAAATATATTATTTTCTTTTAAGATTGAATTGCATGTTTTCCACAAAATAAACGGGAACAAAAATGTAACTTTCTAAAGATAAAGTAGACAATTCTCATTTAATCAGTAATGCATATCAATGTGTTAGCCATTTATGTTTATAGATTATTACAAGAAAAATGTGTTAATTTTTTTTTGAAATCAGGTTTCGCAGACAATTTGTGCCACATCTTTCTCATTGCCTCATGAGTGGAATAACAGATCAATACATTTACATTCACCTTTTTCTACGGGACAAAATTGTATCCCCCTTCATAGTAAGTATTTTTACTTCGTGGTGTTGAAGTATAAAATCCTAAATACATATGGTATCTCTCATGTCTCTTACCACCCTATGAGATCTGATAGGATGCATGTGTCCCAGGCCCTCTCAGTTAAATAACCCCATCTGATGGAGACTAGGAAATATACACTTTTGTCACAGCATCTGCCCTTCAAATACTATCCCTGCCAAGATATATCTGGTTCCCACCCTAGTAAAAATAGTCAGAAAACCTGACTGCATCCCTGGTTAAAGAAGCTGGAGGCTCTTGCGTATATGCTTGCATTTAAATTGTTGGGATTTTTATGGCACATGGATTTTAAAAATGCATTATATGATTAATTATCTTGTACACTGTCCAGAGTTGTTTAGAGCAGGACAATCTTATTCAGTTTTAAAATAAATCAACACATCTTGTGGGATCTCAAGAGGCAGGCCTTCTCTGTTGCTATTCCTGCTTTCCAGAGTACTGTTTCTCCAGAGGTACATTGGCTGCCTTGCTGCTCTATCTTACAAAAGCATTTAAAACCTAGCTTTTTGGAACGGAATGGGATAATACACCATGGCCAACTTACTTTAGTCATCTTGCCATGGCCATGGGACAACTTGCTGAGGCCAATTCACCATGAGACAACCTGCCTCAGGACAATTCCATATGGGATAACTCAGTGTGTTAAATATTATCCACCAGTGATTCTTTGACATTACTTCCATTTTTATGGAAATAGACAAAAATGAAAATAATGTTGAAGAAACAATGACAGATCATATTTATCGCATTGAATTTGTCCCCTGGTGAGTTTTCCCTTGATGGAAATGGCCATGGAAAGTTGTCCTGTGCAAGTTGGCCACAACGAGATGGCTGTGGTGAGTTGGTAACAACGAGTTCTACTAGACTCTTTTTGAATAGGCCACGGCCTGTTTCATGACCTTGCTGAATGATGATGAGCCATGTCTGGAACTGTTTCTTAGCATTGTTTAATTTTTCCATCTTTTGTGTTCCATTTTTATATTCAATCTTTAATGCAGATTGATTTGAATCTTTCTGATTTTGTGGTTATAAATCAAATATTTATTTGTGGATAAGATATAAATGTGTGTGTGTATACACACCATTATACAAATATATGGAGTGTTTGTAAAATGAATTTCCTTTGTCACCTCTGGAATATTAAAAAAATCCATCTTGGATTTGTTATAGCCATAAGTAGAGAATTGAATGAGCTAATGATGGAAGCCCAGTTACTACAAGTATCACTACCGGAAATACAAGAGCTATATGAGATCTTATTTGCAAAGGAAAAGTCAGTAGGACCAACAAATGAAAAAGTAAGTACTGAACTCTTAGAAACTGCAGCATTGCCTGGGCACAGTTTCTAGAGCAGTAGATTTTTAAAAAATATTTTTTTTTGTAAGTTTTATTTGAGTTTTCACAAAAAGAAAAGAAATACAAGTAAAACATCTTTTTTGAAAGCAGCATAATCCCGGGTTACATCTCTTTGTACAGACACAAATTCAAGTTCATGCTCATTTTTAGATTCCATTCTATATCTTATTACTATTCTACATTTTCTACATAGCTTCTCCCCTCTTTTAACTTTCTTAATTTTATTTTATTTATTTCATCTCAATTCAAATCATTGTAGTTATATTCTTTGTCTGTCCTGTTTCAACTGTCTACTATCTTTTCTCATTAAACCAAATTTTTCCTGTAATCACTGATTGGAGTATGACGCCTTTATACCTTTCCCCTAAAATTATAACACTTAATATAATACATAACTTCCATTCGGATTCTGCTTGGCACATTCTAAAACTACACACTGTATTCTTGAAAAAAGAAAAAAAATTATAAATATATAATATAATTAAAACAACAATCCATTCCAATTCAATTCTATCATCAATATTAATATTCATTTAAATCTTAACATTTTGCACATTACTCCTCAAATAAATATCATACTTCTATGGGAACAATTATAAACTTTCCATAGTTAATTCCCCCCCCTTCACTTATATTTTATAAAACATTGACTAATTAAAATGTTCCCGTTCCTTCCTAATTCAATTTTCTCATTTATTTTATTTCATTTATTTTATTCACAATTTCCCCAAACCACACCAACTACTTTATCCCTCTTTTTAATCATATGTTGTTTCCAATTTTCTAAAATTATTTCTATTACAAATATAACAATACAATCTTATGTACCTTCAGAGAATCCCTTTTTCAGTTAGATTTTCACCCATTATCTCTAAATAGGTCCTGTTTCTTTACATCTTGCTCCAAACCTTTGTAACTTCTCTTCCTTTCCTTCTTCCCTCTCTTCTTCCCTCTCCCCTTTTTACCCCCGTCTCTCCACCTCCATTTCCCTCTTCTGTATTCCCCTTTTCTGTTGCTTTCCAACATTATATCCACTTTTCAAATTATTTTTCCCTTCTTTGGCTGTTTTTTTAAGTCTTCAATTCTCCATTCTCTTTCCCCCCTTTCCCCTTTCTTCCCCACATAGAGTTACTTGTTCATTAAGGGTGGCTTCTTCTTTGTCCCAGTCTTCTTGTTTTACAGTCTTTTTTTGTTGTTTCTCGTAGTTGCAAATCTCCATTTCTAAGAATTGAAAAACGAAACCAAAAGAGCCCTTCCCTTCTTGTGCATCTTCTTTGTATTTTTTAAGTTCCATTTTCAATTCATCCAGAAGTGATGTAAGAAAAATTAAACAACCACCCAATTGATTTTAGTCATTCAAATATAATAACCAAAAATCACCAGACAATCCAAATACACACAAGCTGTTTCTTTTTACACTTTTTTTTTCACTTTCTCTTCCTGGGGTTACTATTTAGTTGCAAAATCTCAGTTAAAATGTATATTTTAGAAGTCTTGTTGAAGTTTTACTTTAGATTCTTTTGAAGTCCAGGCAGTCTCCTGCCAGATCCTGCCCTTATTCTTTTCCTCTCCCTTCCTGCTTATAAAAGAAAAAGGTTTTAATGTCCAGAAATCTTTATTGACCCTTTGGCATTTAGTTGTATTTTCAGCTTAATTGCCTATTGATGCCAAAGCGGATTTTTCCAATTTCTTATTCCGATCTCTTAGTTGTCAATGTAAGTAAGGAGAGAGAAGAAGAAAAAACCTTTCCCTTTTCACTTTCTTTCGCTGCTTCCGACCTTCTTTGGGAGCGATGTTATCTTTTGTAAAATTTAAGTTCCAGGGTACCTTAATTGTTGTTTTTTCAGCCAAAACTTTCACTTCTTATCTTCCAACTGCACTTTCTTTTCCGGTTGAGTTCTTCTTTGAGGCGGCCATTTCTGACCGCCGCTCTTACCGCCTTCGGGAAAGGGAGTTTGGCCAGCTGAGGAGAGATGCAGCTCTTCTCGACCCTGCTGGTGATCTCCCCCCTCTTCACCACCTCTACGGGGTGGCTTACCCTGAAACCAGCCGGCTCAGGGCGCTCCAGCGGCGAGCCCAGGCAGAAACCGCGCATGATCGCGGATTCCCATCTGTCACCAAAGCCCTGCAAACCGGAACTCCAGATTTTTAAAAAATATTTTAATTGCTATAGAAGAGTAATCAAGAGCATTTTCAGAATGTTAAAAATTGACACAAGCATTGTAGACGTGGCTAATCAGTGTATACACATCAGTGTATCCATGGTGATTTTCCTGCTGTACCAGTTGTACATTTCTATTCTCAGCTCATTCCTCAGCTTGACATGGGTGCAGTGGGATCCACAGATGAATCTTTAAGAATATGAGTATTCTTATGAAGATTTAACAAAATCAATGCAGTCGCTGTTCTGAATTTTCTCTTTTTATCATGCTTACCAACCACCAGGAAGACTCCACTAGACATTCATGTCACTCTTCTTTTATATCCCTCCTAAACAGCACCATTGTGCTTCCTGACCTTCTGTCAAGATGGCTATAATGAAGAGGGGCCATCAAGTTTTCCTGTAGAATTTAGAAGATGCCATCCAATTTTTTCCTGTTCAGTGTAGGGATTAAAATTAAAGGAGCTTTCATAATAGCTATCTATTCTTTTTTGGAACATATCCAATGAAGGAAACCTACAGCTTTTAAATTTTAAATCTCTGGATAATCTACTCTATTTCTGAAATTCTTCTTCTATTAGGAAATTTATTCTAACATTTAGTGGACTCCACTTTTGTATATAACTTAAATCCATTGTTCCGCATCTTGAATGTTAGAGAATAGTTTTTGATTACCTATTTGGCCTTCCATACTCTATTTTCTAATACCTGGGCAGCAAGCACTATGACGGTAGAGGAGAAATGGGAAGGGGTGGCTGGTGATATGAACAAGATAGACCACTATTAGGAGATATTGAAAAAAGTTAAAATACCATTTGTGGCCCCCAGAGCTTTCCACGAGACATAAACTTTGCCTATAGTGAAGGCACATTTCTCGCCAAAAGAAGATTGTAGGCTTTGATACCAATGCAAGAGTGGAAATACTGGTTAAAAGGAGAATCCATGCTGACCAGATAATATGCTATCTCTTTCCCAAATTTTTAAAATTTTATTAATTTTTATTCAAGCCTAGATAAGCACTAAGAAAAAGACATTCCAAAGCTATACAGCAGGACAACATACAGATTATTTTTATAATTATCCAAAGTACATTGCTACAAATATGCTTTTTATATTGTACAGAGAATTGCTGCATGAAAAAATAATTATAAGAAATGGTTATGTAGTGCTTAATTTAAAATATGTTTCTTGTAGAATGATTGTCAAGGGAAGAGAGATGGAATTTGTTCTATGGAAAAGAAGCTGAAGAGACGCTTTGAAAGAGAGAAATTCTGCAGTGAGATGAGAGCAAGAGTAAGAAAAATAGCTCCAAACAAGAAAAAAATGAAATTGACTCATTTGAGGGAGCTGAGCAAGTTAGAAAGAGAGGGGCTGTTTGACATTCAGCACACTGGCGAAAGTCAGTTGCTTTTTTCAGAAATGTCATTCTCTGAACAGGAAGACTCTGAAGATGAGAATGCCATTTGTCCAGCTGACAACTGTCTACAGCCTGAAGGTGATGAGGTAAATTGAACTTGTGAAATAAATGGAATAAAAAATACAGGACATAATAGAAGGATAATATTAACAGGCTCTTGTAGGTTATCTATTCCATTGCCCTACTTAATTAAGAGAATTCAGAGTTAAGGTATTTTTTAACAACTGCCTCGTCTGCTCACAAATTTTCATTGAAGGGCAAACCAGCTATCCTGATAGCTACCTTGTTAAGCTGCTTTTATCATCAACAAATTTCTTCTCGCATTCACCTGTAATATTTCATATTTTAAGACCATTAGAATGATTTAAGTTTCTTAAATAATAATATTCCCACATGGTTCATTTTATATCTATAGCAAATTAGCATTTTGTTTTCTGTACTGTTGCAGGATTTTAGTTATCTACCTTTTTCTTAAGGCTTCTTATTCAGAACTAGGCCTGGTGGGTAGTATGACATATATTGTTGAAATGTTGACAGTAAACAGACATATAATAATACATATATAATAATGCTATATATTGAGTTTCCTGGATTTTTTTTGTCTAGGTAGACTGGGTCCAGTGTGATGGCTGCTGCAACCAGTGGTTTCATCAAGTGTGTGTGGGTGTTTCTCCAGAGATGGCAGAAAAAGAAGACTATATTTGTACAAGCTGTACCAGAAAGGATTCTCCATATCGAAAGTAAAACATTTGATGATCATTCAGGACTGTAGAAGAGAGAGATTTTTCTCCATAAATCCACTGGGCTGGTTTTAGAGCCACATTGCAAATGGTGCTACTTCTGTCCTCATGGGATCATTTTTTTCAGACTTAAAAAAAATTGACACTTTTGTATTTTTATTCTTTAAACTGTTTGTGGTTATTAAGGTTTAAAATGCTGACTCTTTTGGTCTGGGGGTTTTCGCCAGTTTGGAAGGCATCAAGATGATGTGCACCTTTTCATGTATAGCATTCAATTACCTCTTTGGAATTTACCAGCACACTTAAATCAGTCTGTTTAAGTGCAAAGCAGTGCACTAAGCATCCCCATAATTCTCTTTTTGAAGAAATCCCTGTTTACTCTTGAACATTTTTAAAAATGTTAGATTTCCCTCATTTTGATTTTGTAGACTAGATTTATTTATCTGAAGCAATAACTTCTGTGTCTGCTTTCAGTGACTGGAATTATAATTCCAAACAGCGTGTTGGTGCTTTTAGCATTGGTTAATGTACAGAAAGCAAATGTTTAGGTTCTAGTATCACTGATGACACTAGCTATGTAGGAGACAGGAAAGCTCTGTAAAGTACTGGCCACAGCTGTATTTTGGCTTTTTCTTTTTTGGTAGCTTGTATCAAATGTTGCAGTTTATATTGTGGAATAAACAAATGGTTATGTTACAAAATTCAACACTGGTGTCCTTACAGAGGTTGAATTGAAGCCACTTTTATGGCACTTTTTCACACAATATTTTTAAAGGATCGATGCTACATATTCAGATTAATTACTTTTTCATTCTGGAAAACCTTATTTTTTAAAAAAGCAAACAGACAAAAGATTCCTTATAGGTCATCTATGGGACAAACCTGGTAGTTTGTTATTTTGTTACAAATATGTGGACAATCTTCTGCAATTATTATGGTTCTTACCTATAGTAGACACATATATGACTAAGACCAGGTAAATGATTCTTAGAAACAGGCTGCGTTAGATCAGTAGTCCTATCTGAATATAATGTGGAAGAAGAAAAATTGATTCATTGGTCATTAAGAAAAACATTTGAGATGTAAGGAACAAGATAAGGAATTCAGGTATTGTTGCATTATATGATACAGATTCAAGTCCTTACATATTTTTATTGCTTACTTGGTGCCTTTAGGCCATTCATTCACTGTCAGCCCAAACTAGCTTTTGGGTTTTTTAGGGATCATTTTATTATATATAGTTGGGAACTTTCAAAGGAAAGGTGGGATATAAGTGAAATGGAAGAAGAAGAAAAACTTTCAAGATTGTTTCAGTGCTTGGAGGCTGTTGTATTTGGGCTACCCAAATCTTAGCAAGTTCCACCTTTAATCTTGGATGCACAATCTGGGGCCCTTCCTGGACTCACATCACCTGCTTAACTAGTAAGTTGTAGCTGTGGCCAGGGAAGCTTTTGCACCTGGTACACCAATTTTATTGTATCCAAATTAGGATGCTGTTCAGATGGCCACTTGTGCCCTGGTTATCCTATGGCTTGATTATTACAATGTGTTCTACATGGGGCTGTCTTTGAAGACCATCCAGAAGCTTCACTTGGTCCAGAATGCAGAAGCACAGGCAATAATCAGCATACTTCAATATGCCTTTGTAACATTGTTTCTGGGTGCAATTGAAAATGCTGATTGTTATCTATAAAGAGCTGTGTGGCATATGATTTAATTACATGTGGGACCATCTATCTCTTCTAATATCTGTCTGGCTGCAGTGTCAATCAGCAGTGTTGATGTTCTCCAGGTTCCTTCTATTAAACAATTCCACCTATGAGATCTGGAAACCTGCCTTCTGTCGCATTATCTGTCCTTTGGAATGAGGATCCCTCCCAAGAGCAGGGTGACTTTTCACACTACTGGTATTTCATGGAGGGCTTTGAAGACTTAATTCCTCACCCAGACATTTGGCTAAGATGGGTAGAGCTACTTTTAAGGAGTAGGTGCATTTGTTTCTACTGTTGTCATCTATTTTATTTCTGTGTTTTATTGTTTTATGCATGTTATTGTGACCGTCCTAGAGTCATTGGAAATTGGGTATATAAAAATTAAAAGAGTAATGTCTAAGCAAAACCAAGGAGCAAAGATAAAAATGGATACTTGCACATAACTAAAAAGCTTTGATGTTTGAAACAACAAAAGGGCTTGCATGATTTCAACTTGTGAAAATAAATCCCATTTTAAGTTTGTTTGTCCTTTGAAAGCTTTGGACTATAATTTGGGAGAAAAGATTTTTACTAGTAGGTGAGTGCATTTGTCATCGATAATATTTATAATCCAGTTAAAAAGTTTTTTTTTAAAGCAAGATTTAAATTTTTGAATTCTTAAAACAACATACAAGAAAATACACGTACAACAGGATCAAATTTATAAGTGTTAAATCCAAAACCTAAGATGAATGCACTTTTCTAAGGAAAGAAGTCTCATCAGAAGTCATTCCCAATTATATTAAAGGCTTTGTATTTCTTTGCAGCATTTTAGAGCTCAAGTTCTTCTGCTTATATTGGATTATGTTCTTTTCTACATCCCTCTGTATGAAATATGCTTGCCTTCTTTCTCTTATTTGGTGTCTTAGCAATCAGTATCTCAGTACTGACCTATAAGTAAGCAGCTTCTACCCAATTGGAACAGAAAGTATTCAAGGAGCACCTGTGATCCATTCAGCTGAGGAAAAAAAGCAGGCATATAACTGTCACTTAAGAAATCTGAGTTACAAGAATGTTGAGAGAAGGAACTTTCCAACAATGAAAGAAATATAGACTTAGAATAACTTTATTGTCACTTTAAATGTATACTAATCATCATACATTAAAATGAAATTTCATTGCATACAGCTCTCAAAAGGGTCACCACCTCCAATATACACTACACAAACATGACAAAATAAATGTGAATATACTAAAAAAAAATCAAACAATGGAAAAGAGAAAGGGTTAAAATCTCTGTACTATTATTGCCACACAGGAATACTGATCTCAGTTAGGTCCTCAGGGACATCTTTTTGAAAAAACATTGTAATTCCTAATGTTGAGATTTGTTCCTTCCACAAATTCTATGCACCTTGAAGTAATAATATTTATGAAAGTGGCTATTAAATATTTTAGAGGATTCAGCACTTTGAAAACCAAGGTAGTCACTGTTCAATTCTATAAATATCTTAGTTCTCAAGCAATACTATTTTTAAGCTGTGAAGACAGCTTAATTTTTTCAGGGGAAGAAAATTGCTCCTAGTCCAGGGTGAAGGGTCCTGGCAAAGGAAGACAACCCATTGTGTCAATAAAGAAAAGAATAAAAATGTACAAGCAACATTAGAAAATTTCATTTTACCAAGTACTTGATACTCCCAAGGCCTTCCAGAATAGCAATATTTCAAAAGGGAACCATTAACTTTGTGATAGCTACGAAGAAATGTTTGCTCACTTGAGGCAGGATAATACAGCACAGTAATAGTCTCCCTGATTTTCTGGATAAAAATGGTATATGTGTAAGGGGACACTATAATAATGCAGAATTCTAAACGAACTGCTTGAGGTTTTTTTTTTACTATAAGGATGCTGATAAAACTGTCTTCCAAGGAAATACATTTAAAGGAACTGTTCTTTCATTGTATTAGGCTGCAGAAGGTGTTCTACTCTTCTGCCTTTGACTCAGCTGTGGTCCTATAAGTTCTCCTTATCATAGCTCTCTGCCAATTAGGTTGGGGAAAGTAAATGTTAATAATATGAATCACTGCTAATAAAATTGAATCAGAACAAATACTCATTAAGGGCCACATTCAATATGTCTTTATTAACACTTAATATTTTTAACTTTGTTATAAAATGAATTATGTACATAATTGTCTGTTCATTGGTACCCGTTGAATTTGAAAGAAATGCACATTTTGCCCATTGGATTAGATCAAGTGCGTCTAACTCATGGCGTCATGTGACATATCGGGCCTTCCCCCCCACCTGTGCTAAACCAGGCATGGGCTGGTCAGCGTGTGATGATCCTGCCCATGTGCCGGGAGTTTGACAGCCCTGGATTAGATAATTGAAAGTATCACCCAACTGATTTGTAGTTTTACTATAAAATCCTTTCAGTTGCTTAGTCATATCTTCCTGAAATATGGAAAAGAATTGGTAAAACAATCTTTCTTGAATGAGGAGAGGGAGGGGGGCATTGCTATTTTTACTTTTTTTGTAGGCAATTTTATTTTCTTCAGATTGCTACATAATCTATCAACAAGAAAATTTAAATGTTAAGCATCCATACACCACATACACTTTACATTCCTTTATGGTGTGCTCTCATTTTTCACTTTAAAAAAAATCAGGGCAAATCAAGAAATGTATCTATTGATCGTTGAAATTATTTGCCATCTATATATCTAGCTATATAATATTTCTTCTATACCAGCTCTGCTGGCTGGAGAATTCTGGGAGTTGAAGTCCACAAGTCTTAAAGTTGCCAAGGTTGGAGACCTCTGTTCTATACCATGCCAATCATCAGGCATTTGGCTACAGCTATCTTTTTGTATTAACAGTGTTTGGGACCTAGTGTGTGTTAAGCTTTTCAGCTTTCACTTTTCAAACATTAGGGGTGCTCAAAAGTTGTGGCATGCCTTGGGGATTGTAAAGGTATCTGTTACTTTAATATAATTTAATGTGCTTGGTAAGTAACTACATAAATATCATAACTTAAAATTTGGTTTGTTTCATTGGGACACTCCATTTATAGAAGAAAAGCAAGCTCTGATGCTCAAGGAATACGAGGTGTAGCTTTTATTTTTATTTTTCAAGCGCACAACATGTTAGAGCAGACCTATTCGTTTTCCCACCATCATCATACATATGCCATGTTACTTTGTGAAATGGGCAACAGGCAGATGCCAACCTGCAGCCCAACACATAGCATCATCTTTCTGTCTTCAACTCAACTCTGGTCCTATCAGTATTCTACTGCAGCTCAGTGCCAATTAGGATGAGGAAAGGTAAAACTGGAAAGGACATTTTTTAAAAAGTACCAAGTAATTCAGGCTGAAATAGTTTCATTGCTTATAAAGAGTGATTTTACTGTGTATGTATTCAATTCTTCAAGTTGCAAATAGCATAAAGAAAAGGAACCCAATAGTTTCACCAATTTTGGCAGGACTGACCAATATTCAAATTGACAACTCATGCTTTACTTTCTGGAAAAAAATATTAAGATTTCCAGGTGTAGTAATGTCTTTTTTACTTTGTCAGACCTAGCCAGCAAGAGCATCACAAATGATAATTTTAGTGCCCAAATGATTAAAGGTTTGAAATAAAAGAACATTTCTTTATCATACCAATACCTAAGTTTACCCTTATATTGTAAACCATAACTATTAAATTAGAAATCATACTAGCAGGAATACATAACACCCAAACTATCACCAAATTATACCATGGTTTGTAGCAATGTTCAATCTGGACTCTATGTTTTACTGCTAGTCAGTTGACGTTCAAAGTTTTGAAATGGGCTTTTAAAACAGGACTTGGGAATTAGCACTGACATTTTGTATAACTGTATATAACCGCTTTGGAACAGGGCCATGTGAGGTGCCATCCTGTCTGAAAAGCTGTTGCATGCCTGGTTTTTGTTTGTCTTCAGGCCAGTTTGTAAGCAAAGGAGGACATTTCCCTGTATTTAAAACACAATTTAAGTCTACTTTGTTCAGGGTTGAAATATAGTTCCATTAAATCAGTGTAATATTAATTGGGACAATGGGAGTTACAATTGATCTAAGGAGAGAACTTCATGTTATGGAATTCTTCTGTAAACAAATTGTCAATTTTTTCAATGGGCTGCCTTAAGTTTCACCAGACCAAAGTAGTTGGATCCCGCAAAGCTTCTTAGATTTTAGTTTTGGACAATTGATTTAAGGAATTGTTAGACTGACATCAAGTAGGGGTCCTCGGAATAAGAATGCTTTTAAATCTCTGCCTACTGCCAACAACGGGGCCAGCATTCCCAGGTGATCACTTCTAACCACAAAGGAAGTTCTGATTAGCCTACCAGATCAATCAAAACAGGTTGGCTAAATGGATCTGCAATTCACTTCTCGTACACATACAGAGCAGCTTTACTATAAGCAATGTCTTTTCCAGGTAGTCCTTGACTTATGACCACCACTGAGATCAAAATTTATGGTGAAACATTTGTTAAATGAGTTTTACCCCATTTTATGAGTTTTCTTGCCACAGTTGGTAAGTGAATCACTGCAGTTGTAAAGTTAGTAACATGGTTGTTAAGTGAATCTGGCTTCCCTTTTTAGTCTGCTTGTCAGAAAGTTGTAAAAGTCAATGGCATGATGCCGGGACACTACAAGAGCCATAAATATGAACCAGTTGCGAAGCATCTTAATTTTGGTCACTTGACCACAAGGATGCTACAATGGTCTTAAGTGTAAAAATTGTCATCCAGTCCCTTTTTTTTAGTGCTCTTCTAACTTTGAAGTCACTAAATGCACTCTCATAATTCGAGGACTACCTGTATTTCCGAGTAAAGGTGCATAAATTCAGCCTCCTGTCTGACAAGACCGCCTTTACGATATTTTGCTTGGCTTCTTTCTGTCAGCAATGACATCAGATATTCCCGATTCTACATGTATTGGTCAAAGTAAAGATCGGCAATACGGTACAGCTAGTATACAGTATTAACATGCAATAGAGAGAAAGGAAAGCCGTTTTCGGGGCAGAATTAAAAACAAAACAAAACTCAAGGCGGTTTTTAAAAGCTCATTTTAACGCCTTAAGAGCCTCAAGGGGCGCTCTTCAGGAATCTTCCCGGCTCTGATTTTCGCAGTCGTCGCTCTCGGAGAGCGCGTCGTTGCGGGCGCGTTTGGCGCGTGGCGGCACCACCCGCGACCCTCCGGTGCCGCCTCTTTCTCTCTTCCCACCCTCGCTCCCTTTCTCTCCTAGCCCGCGCGCTCTTCCACGGGGCTTCCTTGCGTGCCTTTCCTCCCGCCCAGCGCGGCGCTGCCTGACGGATACCGCGGGATGTCGGGAGCGGTGTCGGGCGGCGGGCCTGGACTCGTGGCTCAGGGACTGAAAGAAGCGCTGGTGGAGACCCTGAACGGGATCCTCTGTCCGGTGCAGGGCGTTCGTGCTGCAGCTGAGGAGCAGGTGAAGGTGCTGGAGGTGACGGAGGGTAAGTATACCGGAGCTGGAGGTACTTGCCTGGGCTGTAGGACCGAAGGCCGTAGGGTCCTGCTGTGGCCTCCTGAGCCTCCAGTCTTTGCAGTCGTCGCTGCCCTCCCCTTTTTACATCGGCGAGGGGAAAAGCTGTCGCCGCAAGCGAGGGTGGAGCGAGAGATCCTCGTTCGGGGCGCGAGTGATTCCTGAAAAGGAAAGTGAAGAGAGGAAAACCTCGCCTCCCTTTTTTTTGTCCTCTTTTTTTTTTTTGGTTCCGGGTTCATTTCAGGATCTGCTAGCCAATCATTTCTTGTTCCCACAATGTTGAAGGTACCAGATTCCTATTTCGGGGTGTTTTTTTTCCTGAAGAGAGACTGAAAAACAATGTCTTCGATATTAATGCAACATGTTAAGGAATTAGACCCTTTTCTGGCTTTGCACAATATCTTGAACCATAATCTAAATAGATCTGGTTTGCAGGACACACAAAAAAGAAACCAGCTAAGGTTTACACTAACCAGATCTCTCATATAACTTGCATTTTTATAATCAAGATGTCTTTTTTCCTGTTTATTCATCCCAATTTATATCCTTGATCATTCTACTTCATTTGCATCTGATAAAGTGTGATGTAAAAAGTTAGCTCATGAAACCTTTGTCTCTTAATAAAATTTCTTAAGACAGAAAAGCTGTTGCCTTCCAATTCCCAAGCTAAAGTATTGTAAATAATTAAACAGGAAAAAAAAATCTTAAAATTGCAACATGATATGCTCTGTGCAGGCACATGGACACATATAATGAAAGTAGGTGGACCCATAATGAAGTTAAATAGTGTCCCTTTCATGAATACTGCACAGATTGTTATTTTAAAGACAACTCATGCTTTCATTTTTATTAGCAATCACTGATAATATAGTATGGTGTGTTTATGTAATGGCATAGCACAATCACAAAATATTAGATATATCTAATTTTTATGTTCATAACAGCTATCAAATGGTTCTGCTATTTCTAACCAACTAATTTATTTTTTTGCGTTGTATGTTAAATACACTGTATTCTTTACCAAATTTACATTTGTATTATACTAAAACTAGAAATACAAATATAAATACATTATTGATCACTTGTTCCAGCAATCACTTGTTTCAGAATGCATGGTATTATCTTATTGATAACAGATTGGCTTACAGTGGGATAAAAATGGGAATATCCACTACAAGAGTCCAATAATGGAATTCATTCTCCTCCAAATGCTTCCTGAAAGAATCCAGTTTTACAACCATTTGGAAATACTGTATGACAGTAGTATGTGAGGGTTTGGCTGCAGACACATTGGCTGCAATTGAAAACATTATGTACTATCCCATGCTTCCTTAACCTCACAAAAATGGAGAACTGCTAGTCATTTCTTTCAGGTGGCACCTACTAAGCCAATTTTACTCAGAGAAGGCAAGCCTGAAGGAGCCAAGTGAAGATTGACAAGGCTTGTATAAATGCAGACCATGGTGATAAAATTTTCCATGACATACAAAAAATTTATATTGTGTTGTTTTACCTTACTCATCTTATTACTTGGTATATTTAACAAAAAATGGAGTAAATTAGAAGTAGTACTGTAGTAGTAATTATGTATCAGACCTATGTATCAGAATTAAGTATATGGTTTGCTTTTCATTATTCAGTATGAGTATTCCTGAAAATATGATTCTTGAGAAAATTTGCTCAACAAAACTTGTGTCTTCAGTGATTCATGCATGCAGTTGTTATCCTTATTATCTCCTGATTCTTTTTAAAGAACTGCAATTATAGAACTGAGTTATTCTGTCAGTTTTGTGAATAAAATTGATAACATACTTGTGAAAATTGTAATATACTTAGCAATAAAACAATCAAATTCAAAATAGTTGATTTTACATACAGTAGTCCTGCTGGCCTCATGACCATGGAAGTATCTTTGGACAAGGCTGGCTCCCTTGACTAAGAAATGGAGATGAGCACTACCTACTAAAGTCAGACATGACTAGACAGGGGAAATATTTACCTTTATTTATTTGAACTATCTTTAATATTAGTTGCAGTGGAGAAATGAGAAGCATCAGAGTAGAGCAATTTGGTTGTAGACTTTAGAGCTTTACTACTTTGTCAATAATATGTTCCTATGATAGGAACTACATGGCTACCCGTTAGCTATTATAAAATCTAAAAACCATAGGATAATTACTGATAACTATATTCATAATTCTGACATGAATTGCAGCAGACTGTTCCAAACACTTTCAACCAGGAAATAATCCACTTTGATTTGTTTTGATTTGGACTTTTCTGTCTTCTATGATGTATAAGAATGTAGCAATAGAATTTGAAAATTGGAGGAATCATTTACTAATTATGTGCTTTTGTTCTTCAGTTAAAATTTTACTAATTTATACTATTTAAAAAAAAATCTTTGGCAAAAGATCTACCCTTGAAAGTTGGGGTACACACTGAATAAATGAAATGTATTCAGAATTATATTCCCAATGAATATATGTACTTACCCATGAAATTCATTTCCCCCCTTTTTTCTAAAGTATATAATTTAAATATAGACCCTTAATATGCCCTAAAGATACAAGTAGTCCAATACAATCAGAGAACATCCAACTGGGAAAGACTGGGTAACAAAATTCATTACTGCTGCTGTTCCATCCTAAGGACTGATTATACAGTCCTAATGTATTATATTAGTTTTTTTAGTTAATAACTGTGGAAGTTATATCATTGAATATATTTTTTCTTTCATATATTTGTTCAGCATTGAAGAATATTTTTCGAATGGGAAAACATTACTTTCTTTAATTCATAGACACTGCTTCTATTCTGTTTTCTGTAAACTTTCTTTATTGTCTGCGAGGTGAAAAAATGTCATAAGAACAATAGGGAACAGTCATAACGTCAAACAAAAACTGTAGGGAATGAATTGCTTAAATAATAAAGAGTGGGTTGTGAATAAAGTTATTATACTACAGTTTCTTCATATGACCCTTGAGTCGATGGTGCTTAGGCTGATGATCATTGGTCTTTTGGCTGATGATTGTTATTTTGTTTCCATTTCAGAATTTGGTGTTCACTTGGCAGAGTTAACTGTAGATCCCCAAGGAGCACTGGCTATTCGTCAGGTCAGTCATTCCAAGCAATCAGTTCAAAAGATTTAAACTATATAATGAACAATTCTGTACCTGTCAACAGTGGTGTTCCCCAAGGCAGTGTTCTCGGACCAACTCTTTTCATACTCTACATAAATGACCTCTGTGATCATATTAAGAGCAACTGCGTTCTCTTCGCTGATGATGTAAAGCTATTCAACACCACAGACAATACTGCTACCCTTCAAAAAGACCTTGACTATGTATCAGAATAGTCAAACAAATGGCAACTTCAAATCTCAACAAATAAATGCTCTGTCCTACATATTGGTAAAAAAAATCAGAAAATAAAATACAGGCTGAATAGTCAAGACCTTGTTGATGATCCAAACTCTGTCAAGGATCTTGGAGTACTCATCTCTAATGACCTAAGTGCTAGAGCCCACTGTAACTATATAGCCAAAAAGGCGTTAAGAGTTCTTACGTAGCTTTTTCTCTGGTAATATTACACAAATAACTAGAGCAAACAAAACATTTGATAATACTCGAATACAGCTCATCAGTCTGGAACCCACATTACGTATCTGATATTAACACAGTTGAGAAAGTCCAGAACTATTTCACAAGAAGAGTTCTCCACTCCTCTACTCGTTGCAGAATACCTTATGCCACCAGACTTGAAATTCTAGACGTAGAAAACCTAGAACTACGCCACCTTCGGTCCAATCTAAGTATAGTATATAAAATCATACATTGCAATGTCCTATCTGTCAATGAATACTTCAGCTTCAACCATAACAACACAAGAGCAAACAATAGATACAAACTCAAGGTTAACCGCACCAAACTTGAATGCAGGAAATACGACTTCAGCAACAGAGTGGTCAATGTCTGGAATACTCGACCTGACTGTGGTTTCTTCCCCAAATCCCAAAAACTTTAACCTTAGACTGTCTACTATTGACCTCACCCCTTTCCTAAGAGGTCTTTAGGGGGTGTGCATAAGCACACCAACGTGCCTACCGTCCCTGTCCTATTGTTTCTTTTATTTTTTTTATTTTTCTTATATGTTTCCATGTATTCATAACTATGTTTTTACTTATACCTATTATCTTGTAAGCAATTGACAAAAATGAATAAATAAAAAATAAAAAGAATGGCACTGTTGATGGAAGAGACCTGGAATTTTCCCTGCTAAATCTGGTGGGGTGAGCAGAAACAATGGGAGATAGGCAGTCCCACAAATAGTCTGGCCCAGAATATGCTGCTATTGCTCTGGAGTCAATTTCCGGAAAGCTTTGTTTAGACTTAGTTTAACTCACAGTTATGTGTCATACTTAAGACTTTATTGAATTAGAATTGGCAGGTCGAATGAATACTTCAGTTCACATTTAAATGGTGAAAGTAAAATAGACTAGCCTTAAGTATGTAGTTACATTTCAGTACAATTAAAAAATATTAATGTCAAGTAGATCATATTAAAATACAGATGTGAGACAATAGATGAGGGCTGTCAAACTCCCAGTCTGTGGACCGGATGCATCACATGATGGCCACACCCACACCCAGTTTAGCGAAGGGGGAAAAATCCCAATATGTCACGTGATGCAACCGTGATGACATGAATTTGACACCTTACAATAGGTAATTGCTATCAATAGAATTCAAGGATAGGAATATTCTTGCATTTAAAATATGTACTGAAGAATTTTAAAAAGCATAATTTTAATCTATTGCATGTATTCATAAACTTCTTGTCTCTGTCAGCTTCAAATTATATCTTGCTTCATGATATAATGTGATGCAGTCTTTTGGGCAGATATAATTTGTTAAATAATGACTAATATTTACTTTAGAACTTTAAAAACAGCATTCCTCTATAACTGAAACTAGTTGTGTCCTTTGAATTTTTGAAGAGATGAAAGATCATATGAAATGATAAATCTGAGAATCTTCTTTTTTTATTCATAGCTAGCATCTGTGATTTTGAAACAATATGTGGAAACTCACTGGTGTTCCCAATCAGACAAGTTTAGACCTCCTGAAACTACAGAAAGGGTAATGCCTGTTTTTAAACTCTATTATATGATGCACAAGTTTAGAATAAGAAATAAAACTGTATTTTCTTTTTATGCAATTTTAAAGGACCTTTAAAGTCAGAGAGCAATATTTCCTTAGGACACCTTTTTCCAGATATTTAATAGTCTTTGATTATTAATGAGATGGCACCTGTAGATATAGCTGTTCTGTGTAGACAAAGATTGTTTCTAAGTTCATCTCTTTTTTTCTCCATAGGCAAAAGCTGCCATTAGGGAACTGCTACCCAATGGATTGAGGGAATCAATTAGCAAAGTTCGTTCAAGCGTTGCTTATGCAGTTTCAGCAATAGCACATTGGGACTGGCCTGAAGCTTGGCCTGAGCTTTTTAATCTCTTGATGGAAATGTTGGTCAGTGGAGATCTAAATGCAGTGCATGGAGCTATGCGAGTGCTTACAGGTATTTGTGTCTTATATGCTATTAACTGGATAATTCTATTACCTTAGCTTGGCTTTTTGCTTTGATTTTTAAGATAGAAAATATTTTCTACTTTAATATAGTTATAGTAAAAGTACACAATACACAGTGTTTTAATATAAACGAAGATTTTGACCCTCTAGGGTTTTGTGAAAGTTGTGCAATATTGGGATATACTATTCAACAAAATATCATTCCATTAAATCAATAGAAAAGATTGTTTTCTTTAATAGACAATCACTAATTCATCATTAGATATCCAGTGTGACATGATCTTTATTTCTATAATTTTTTTACAAAAAAAATGCACTAGAATACTAGAAAACTTAAACCCTTAAAAATAGTGATTTGGAGCAAGTTGTTAAGGATAGGTGAGAATGGAGAGCCTCCTATTTTTCCTTAATTTAGGAAGGAAGAAACAAAAAACAATCTGCCTATAAAATTTAACTATATTTTATCCATGTGTTCTCAGGTGTTAATGGACTATATGAGGTTTGCAATGGTTTTTTTTGAAACAATGTCTCAGATTATATTAGTAGAAGTTTTACATGTTAAAAATTGTATCTTAAGAATCCAGGTGAATAACAACTACTGATGATAGTGGTTCATAGACTGTAGCTCCTAGACCTGAGAATGTTCATATCAAATATACTAGTCTGTAAATCTGTTTTACTTTAACCAGGAAGCTGAGGGCTATAAGAGAATAGTTTTAATGCCCCTTATGGATACATGTCTAGTTCTCATGAGGCAGATGATGAATCAGTTCAGTTAGAATTCTTTAACCTGGCTACTCCTAAAACTAAAATCTTATGGTACCTCTGGACACCTGCATAACTGGATAGAAGCATTCCTGTCAAACAGACAACAAATGGTCAGAATTGGGAGTGTCCTATCAAATTCTGTACCTGTCAATAGTGGTGTCCCCCAAGGCAGTGTTCTAGGACCAACTCTCTTCATACTCTACATAAATGACCCCTGTGATCACATTAAGAGCAACTGTGTTGTCTTCACTGATGATGTAAAGCTGTTCAATACCACAGACAACACTGCTACCCTTCAAAAAGGTGACTATGTATCAGAATGGTCAAACAAATGGCAACTTCAAATCTCAACAAATAAATGCTCTGTCTTACATATCGGCAAAAAAAAATCAGAAAATAAAATACAAGCTGAATAGTCAAGACCTTGTTGATGATCCAATCTCTGTAAAGGACCTTGGAATACTCATCTCTAATGATCTAAGTGCTAGAGCCCACTGTAACTACATAGGCATTAAGGCATTAAGAGTTGTTAAACTAATACTACGTAGCTTTTTCTCTGGTAATATCACACTACTAACTAGAGCATACAAAACATTTGCTAGACCAGTACTCGAATACAGCTCATCAGTCTGGAACCCACATTACGTATCTGATACTAGCACAGTTGAGAAAGTCCAGAAATATTTCACAAGAAGAGTTCTCCACTGCTGTACTCGTTGCAGAATACCTTATGCCACCAGACTTGAAATTCTAGACCTAGAAAACCTTGAATTACGCCGTCTTTGGTCTGATTTAAGTATGGTATATAAAATCATACATTGCAATTACTTACCTGTCAATGAATACTTCAGCTTCCACCATAACAACATAAGAGCACACAATAGATACAAACTCAAGGTTAACCGCATCAAGCTTGATTGCAGGAAATACGATTCAGCAACAGAGTGGTCAATGTCTGGAGTATTCTACCTGACTCTGTGGTTTCTTCCCCAAACCCCCAAAACTTTAACCTTAGACTGTCTACTATTGACCTCACCCCTTTCCTAAGAGGTCTGTGGGGGAGTGCATAAGCGCACCAACATGCCTACCGTCCCTATCCCATTGTTTCTTTTATTTTTCTTATATGTACCCATTTCATGTGTTCATAACTATGTATATACTTATATCTATTATCTTGTAAGCGATTGACAAATAAAAATAAAATAAATGATTTTCATTGTACAAAGAATGTATATATGTATGAAGATAGATTTGAACCATATGAGGCTCCATCTGTAATTTTAAATAATGAAGCCTAGAAATATGATAGATTTGTTATTTAGAAGAGCTAGACTACAAGCAATTACGAGGGAAACGTTTATTCTTTTCTTTGTCCATTTGGTCAGTACACTGTTAAAATGGATAAACAGCATAGAAATAAGGTATATTCCTTGAATATATATTTGGGAAACCATAATTTAGCTATGTTATATGCATATGTATAATATCTTGCAGAGTTCACTCGAGAGGTAACTGACACACAGATGCCCCTTGTAGCTCCAGTTATTCTTCCAGAGATGTACAAGATTTTTACAATGGCTGAGGTATGGATGAAAATTGTTTTCTTCTATGTCATGAGTGCCCAACTTGATCACATAAATCATGACGTATCACGATGTTTTTTGCCTTTGAGGACCTGGGCGTGGCCTGCACATGATGCATCCGGTCCACGGGGCTACCAGTTTGACAGGCCTGTTCTATGTCATAGGGATAACATAAAATATTAGCATGTTTGGATTTACTTTACTTTTAGTGATACTTCCTTTGAGGGTTCTTTTCGTCTTCAGATCCAAATACAGAATACCTCCAGTAAGTATGGAAGGAACAGGGCTGTGAGAACACATCATTGACCAGGCTTGACTAATCATTCCAACAACCATTAAATGCCATTGAACTTGTTGATACTGTTCTGAGGATGATCAGTTTAGTCCAATGTATACTGTAAAAATGAGGAAGTGATAAATGGATCACTGAAATGATTTTTCCTGTTTCCAACAATAAAATGGGTTGATAGAGGCCTTTATGCTAAGGTTCAAGCAGAAGGAAGTCTGTATGTGCTTAGACTGTGATCAAATCCAGTGAACCCAGCTAGTCTTGATCTTGGGTAAATATGTTTGGATTACAGGTAGTTCTCAACTTGCAATCACAATTAAGCCCAATATTTCTGTTGTTAAGCAAGACATTTGTTAAGTGTGTTTTGTCCCATTTTATGACCTTTCTTCCACACTTGCTAAGTGAATCACTGCATTTGTTACGTTAGTAACATGGATGTTAAGTGAGCCTGGCTTCCCCATTGACTTTGCTTGTCAGAAAGTTGCAAAAGTTAATCACATGGCCCTGGTCAGAGAAACCGTCATAAATCTGAGTCAGTTGTCAAGCATCTGAATTTTGATCATATGACCATGGGGATGCTACAATGGTCTTAAATGTGAAAAATGGTTATAAGTCACTTTTTTCAGTGCTATTGTAACTTAAAATGGTCACTGAATGAAATGTTGTAAATTGAGGACTAATTATATTTCACTTTCTTATTCTCCATGTGTAAATGGTGATTAGAGAGCATCACTATCCATGGAGACTTTACTGATTAGGATTAGAAGGATTTCCATGAATACTCATTCATATGGATGAGTATGGATATCCTAATTAAGGTTTTGAGAGGCCAAAAATCTCTCAGAACTTTAAAGCACCCAGTAGAATCCACCTGCCTTTGTGATAAATCATTTAGTAGATCCCTTTCCTTTGTGTGGGAAAAAAGCTGCAGGAACTAAAAGCTGCAACAAAATGTCTTTTCTGTCATTCTCGAATGATAGAAGAAGATCTCAAGTTATAGGATAGCGTATATATAATATGTTATATGATGCACAATATTAATTTGCCACAGAATGCTGTAAACATTTTTCATTGAATCAGGATATGAATTCTTCAGTAAAATCTGGAATAATTTAACATTTCTGATTAACTTAATAAATCAAATCTTTTTAGCTGGGTATATTATATTGTTTGGTGGTCTTTATGAAAATAAAACATTATTTTATACTTAAATAATTATCTTTTAATGAGGTATATTTTATTTAGGTTTTGAACAGAAAAAATTTAAAACAAAGTGTTTTTGTTAGAAAACATTCTGATAGGTATTTAAGGGATAACAGAAATGTAAAAAGGAATATTAAGTAACAGTCAATATTGGGAACACAATTCCCAGCTTTTTCACAATTATAGTTAATTGTTTTTCTTAGGTGTATGGTATTCGTACAAGATCACGTGCTGTAGAAATCTTCACCACTTGTGCACAGATGATTTGCAATATGGAAGAGTTGGAAAAGGTAAATTATTAATTTCCTTATATGTTACATTGTGATACCACAAAAACTGGTAACATGATCAAGAGTGCTAATAAGTGTTATGACTGAAAAGCATTTATATCTTAATCTATATCACTAAGTCACTCAGATTCTTCGGTGTTGTATAAATCAGCTTCGGTAAAACATATTTCTGAAACATTCAACCAAAGAAAACTTACGTTTAGGTACTGGCAGTTTTTATTGTTGTTAAATGTTATTTTTTTATTTACCATTAAATTTAGCCATTAAGGAACCAAGTTACAAGCCAAGAGACTATGAGTTCTAGTCCCACTTTAGGCATGAAAGCCTGGTGGGTGACTTTGGAACACTCTCTCAGCCCAGCTTATCTCATAGGGTTGCTATTTGGGAGGATATAGGAGGAGGTGTGTATTCGTTGTCTTGAATTAATTTATAAAAATAATAAAATATAAAAAGTATAAAATCTGACAATAATAAAAAGAGGACATAGCTAAATATAAATATAAAACAAACTTCTCAATTATAATTTCTAAGATAGGCAGCTATATGCTGGCTGAAACCTATTTATTAAACTGTTTATAAATGTATCAACTGATGCACAATGTAAAAGAAAATAGCTATATAAAATTTCAAACAAATTATTACATTAATGCAGGGGTCTTCAAACTTGACAGCTTTAAGACTTGTGGACTTCAACTCCCAGAATTCCTCCTCCAGTCATGTTAGCTCAGGAATTCTGGGAGTTGAAGTCTACAAGTCTTAAGCTTGCCAAGTTTGAAGACCCTTGCGCTAATGTAAATAATAGATTAAAATGTTTGGGATTACTATGGCCAGATTTACTTGAATGCAGCTGCTATGATATTTTGTCATGGTTTAAGTAAGTGATTTGAACCGTTGTTTGAAATTGTATTTATTTGAATTCGATAGCCTCCTGATTCTGATGGAGTCTAGACAGAGTACAAAGCTAGAAAAACAACAACAACAAAAATAAAAACACCAAGCTAAGAGATAACCCAAACTGAAATAATATTATAGACAACAAAAATGGGCCCTAAACAACCCATAATACAATGTATAATGAATACATAAGCCCTAGGTTTGGAACCAAACTCAGGTTTTCAGAGCTTTTAGGAACTTTAGGAGAGAGAGGGTAGTCCTTATCTCTGGGGGATGCTGTTCCAGAGGGGGACCACAACAGAAAAGATACATGTTGTGGATCGAAGTAATGAGAGGCTCAGACCAGAGCATAAGTGGAACAGGCTTTATTCAGGGAATAAAGGGTCGTCGCGTCTGCTTACTAACAGGCAGACCTGGCTAGCGAACGACAACTGGCTCAGCCCGACAGCCGGCTTTTATAGCCGACTGTCAAACGGAGCCAGCCAATGGGAGCTGCTCGTGCTCCCGCTTAAAGAACGGACCTGGTTGGAAACCCCAACCGGTCCCCAAGACATAACACCCCTTCCCCCTAGATGGGAACACGTATAGTCCTTGAGATACGCCGGTGGTCTGTGTTGGCGACCGGAGCGACGTAACTCGGGAGAGTCATTGGGTGATGACAAGTTCGTGGAGTCCTGGTCAGAGTACATAGGGTGGCGAGCTTGGCTCGGTGCAGGATCTGGACCCCGGGGAAAGTCTCTGCCTTCGGGCTGGGTTGGAGAATAGTCTTTGCCCGAATGGCGGATGCCATCGCTGGGGGGAAACGGTGGCGTCTCCGGCTGGCAGTCCCGGTCTACTGCCTGCTCCCTCTGCTCCGTTGGAGGCGGCTGGTCTCCCTGGGAGTTCTCGGCTGGACCTGGGTGCTGAACCTGAGGGCCGTCCGGTGGAGACGGATCTGGGGTGGTCAGGCTGCTTCGTCGTCTCCGCAGCTGGTCCAGGTGCCTCCGCCATACACGACCGTCTTCTAGCTGGACCCGATAAGATCTCGGACCTGTGACAGCTACGACCTTCCCCGGCACCCACAGTGGGTCCCCCGCGTAGTTCCTGGCAAACACCAGGTCCTGTAATGCGAAATCCCTGGCCAGACTATCAGACCCCAAAGGGGTGCCCGGGCAGTAGTGGGGGTGTAGCCTGTCTGAAGTGGTCCTCAGGCGTCTCCCCATTAGCAGTTCGGCCGGGGATTTGTTCGTAACCGTGCACGGTGTGGTATGCTGGCTCAGGAGGAAACGAGACAGTTTAGAGTGCCAATCCTCTTGGCCGAACCGGGCCAGAGCCTCCTTAGCTGATCTGACTGCCCTCTCCACCAGCCCGTTGCTAGAAGGGTGAAAGGGGGCCGTGAGGACGTGTCTGATGCCCAGATTGGTGACATACCTGCTAAATTCACTTGAAGTGAACTGGGGGCCGTTGTCGGAGACCAGGGTGTCAGGAAGTCCATGGGTCACGAAAAAACGAGTCAGTGCTTTGGTCGTCGGAAGTAATGCCACATCGATCTACTTAGTGTACGAGTCTACGACCACTAAGAAGGTCTTGCCATGCATTGGCCCAGCTAGGTCGATGTGAAGCCTTGACCATGGGGCATTGGCACTTTCCCACCTGGTGGGAGTGGCAGCTGGCGGGGCTGCCCTGGATTCCTGACAGGGACGACACGAGCTTACCCACTTGGCGATCTGGTCGTCCATGCCTGGCCACCAGACGTAACTGCGAGCCAACGCCTTCATCCGCACAATGCCTGGGTGGCCCTCGTGCAGCACCTTCAGGATGGAAGTGCGAAGGGTGGTTGGGATGACGACTCTGGTACCCCACAACAGGCATCCCTGCAGCTTGGATAGCTCCTGCTGGCGAGTTTTAAATGGGGTGAAATCAACTGAATAGTTAGTTTCCGGCCACCCACTCCCCACCCAGTCTAGAACCTGGGCGATTGTTTTGTCCGCTTTTGAATGGGCAGCGATGTCATCGGCAGTCACTGGCAGTTTGAGCTCGTTGATCTCGAAAATAGCATGTACGGGAGCTGGGTCCTCGACTGGTGCTGGCAAAGGGCAGCGGCTGAGGGCATCTGCATGGCTCAGATTTTTCCCAGGACGATAGACCAGTTTGTACGAGTAAGCCGCCAGGAACAAGGTCCATCTGGTCATCCTGGGGGACAACACCTGGGGGGTTTGCTTGTCCCCGGATAACAGGCCCAGAAGAGGCTTGTGGTCTGTTACTAGTTCGAAATGGTGTCCGAACAAAAATTCGTGGAATTTTTTGACTGCTGCTACTGCAGCCAGGGCCTCCTTATCAATTTGGCCGTAATTACGCTCAGTCGCCGAGAGGGTTCGTGAAAAGAAGGCAATTGGAGCTTCGGAGCCATTGGGAAGTCTGTGGCTTAAGACAGCTCCTATCCCAAAAGGGGATGCGTCTGCAGCAAGTACGAGGGGGAGGCGCTGGTCAAATTGAATTAAGACAGCCTTAGAGGTGAGTAGGGACTTTACTGCTTCGAATGCATGGTTTTCCTTATGTCCCCAGTGCCATGGTGAGTTTTTATCTAAAAGCCTGTGCAGTGGTTCCGCGACTGAGGCTTTGTGTGGGAGGAACGAAGCATAGAAGTTCAATAAATCCAGGAAGGCTTGCAACTCGGCTTTGTTGGTGGGCGTGGGCGCCTCATGGATTGCCTTGACTTTAGATTCCACCGGGTGGATGCCTGAGGCGTCTAGCCTGTATCCTAGAAAGTCCACCTGTCTAGTGGCGATGGCACACTTCTCCCGTTTTAGTTTGAGGCCATGCTGCCTGAACTTCTCTAACACTGCTCTGACCCTCTGGATGAGCTGGGGTCTGTCTCTGGCTGAGACCAAAATGTCATCGAAGTATGGCACTACACCAGGGAGGCCTTGGAGTATACGCTCCATCAGCGATTGAAAAATACCTGGGGCTACACTTACGCCAAACTGGAGGCGTTTACACCTGAATGCTCCTCTGTGTGTTACTATTGTCTGCAAGTCAGCTGTTTGATTGTCAACAGGAAACTGTTGGTACGCTTGTGACATGTCCAGTTTGGCGAAAATGTTGCCGGGTTCGAATGTGTGCAATAGGTGCTGAATAACTGGAACAGGATATGCGCTAACCTGTAAATAACGGTTTATTGATGTCTTGTAATCAGCACAAATTCTCAAATTACCGTCTTTTTTAAGTGGGGTGACTATGGGGGTCTCCCATTTGGCGAAATCAGTGGGTTCAATCACCCCCTGTTCGAGGAGTTTGTCTAGTTCTGCGTCCAATTTTGGGCGGATGGTGAATGGTACCCTACGTGGTTTTAGGCGGATGGGAGTTGCCTGGGGGTCTACTGAGAAGGAAATGGGCGTGCCATTATAACAGCCTAACTTGCTACTAAAAACGTCAGCGTAGTCTGAGAATAAGGAGTCAGTATCGGAAGTTGAGACAGCATGGACCCCCGTTACACTAAGGCCAAGAGAGGGGAACCAATCCAACCCCAAAAGACTAGGGAGGGCACCTTTAACAACCACCAAAGGCAGATGGCCTTTAAAGGTTTTGAATTGGACTAGGAACTTGCCTTTCCCGAGGACAGGGATGTTCTTTCCTTGGTAGTCTCTCAGGGTGAGGCTGCACCTTTGTAGTTGCTTCCTAGCCAGCCTGGGCTGGATCTCCTTAAGCGTGTCCCAAGAGATGATTGAGAGCGCTGACCCCGTGTCCACCTCCATGCGGCAGGGTTTACCTTCTAAGGAGACAGAAAGTGTTATTTTATTGGGGGTATGAAACGTGTGATTAGCGTAGTAGCAAGTATAGCAGCTCTCTACTTGCCTTTGGGAACCAGGAGAAGGAGGAGATTTTTGTGGAAAAACGCGCGCTGCTAGGCAGACTCTTGCGAGGTGGCCTTTCTTGTGACAGTTGTGGCAGCTGGCGTTTTTGAACCTGCAAGATGCCCGGGCATGGGAACCTCCACAGGTCAGGCACAGAAGAGTCTGTTTCGGGCTGCTGTTGTTTCTCTGCCTGGTTCCTACCTGTGACTGTCTCACCGGCTTGAGGCGATGGATGTCAGAGTATTCAGTAGGGTCATCTTCGCTCACCACTTCTTCAGAGTGTATGGAGGAAGTGCTGGGCTTGGGTGCGGTGCCCTGGATCTCAGCTGCGGACTGGGCTGAGAGTTCAGCAGCTAAAGCTTCCTCAACGGCCTGGGGCAGGTTCAAATCTTTCCTGGCCAACAGCCGTCTTTGGAGCCTAAGATCTCTTACCCCACAGACGAGTTGATCGAGCAGCATGTCGTCCAGATAGTTCTTAAACTCACAGTGAAGAGCTGCTGTCCTCAGGGCGGCCATGTATTGGTTGATGGTTTCCCCCTCGGCTTGCTTCCTCATTCTGAATGCGAAACGTCTAGCGATCTGGGATGGTTTCGGTGAATAGTGGTTGGAAAGTGTTTCCAACAGCTCAGACCATGGGACGTTCTTGATCTCTCGAGGTGCCAATAGTGCTGTGGCGGTATCGTAGACTGCAGCCCCGCAGTAGCTGAGGAAGTAGGATTTCTTCCTCTGCTCTGTAGCATCAGCCAATCCGATGGCATCGATAAAGTGGTTGAAGCGATTCCTGTACGAATCCCATTTTTCTTCATCAGGTTTGAACGGTGGGAATGCCAAATTGACATTCATTATGGATCACTCAGTCTCTTGGCAGACTGGTTTGTCTCACTGGGTGTGCGTGGCCCTGTCTTATTGCTAACCGGGAGCGTTGGCGGCTGTGGCTGCAGCGCCCTTAACTTGCTCAGTGACTCCAGCCTCGAGGAGGCAGTTCGTATTTCGCGCTCTCTGCGAGCGTTTGGCGGCTGTGGCTACAGCACCGTAACTGACAGTAGTTCAAATTTCGCGCTCCCTAGAGAGCGTTGGCGACTGTGGGCTACAGTGCCGAACTTCGCTTGAGTGGCTGAATTCAAACGACAGCGGTTTGAATTTGGCGCTCCTTTGCGAGCGTGGGTGGCTGCAGCTTCAGCGCCCGACTTTCACTAGCTGTAGCGTTTTAACTCGAGCGGCTACAACGCTCGTGACTTTCTCTCTGGGGCGGCAGCGATCTGAGCCTGAGCTCCTTGTGAGCGATACGGCTGTGATTCAGCGCTTGTTATTCCGTGACTTCAGCTCTCTTTGAGTGCTTCTGGCTAGCCTTCCGATCCCATCCTCGTCACCAGTGTTGTGGATCAAAGTAATGAGAGGCTCAGACCAGAGCATAAGTGGAACAGGCTTTATTCAGGGAATAAAGGGTCGTCGCGTCTGCTTACTAACAGGCAGACCTGGCTAGCGAACGACAACTGGCTCAGCCCGACAGCCGGCTTTTATAGCCGACTGTCAAACGGAGCCAGCCAATGGGAGCTGCTCGTGCTCCCGCTTAAAGAACGGACCTGGTTGGAAACCCCAACCGGTCCCCAAGACATAACAATACACTTTCTCAGTCCCATAAGATTACATGTTTAATAGATGGGACATGGAGGGCACCTCATGTATCGGAATTACAGAGCATGGGCAGATATGATTAGAGACAAAAAGTCCCTCAGATATCTACAATCTCATCTACATTATGTAGAGATTTCCGATACTCAATTTCTTCCAAAATAAAACAAATTCAGTAAAGATTTCATTAAAAGCTATTTGAGTCAGTGTTTTTTATTTTAACCATGTATTATTTGGACTAAGCTGATTGTAAACAGTTATCATTTTTGTTTAGCTACTAGCATTTGTTGAATGAGATCATCCAGTTTCTGTAGATATAAGGCTTTTGCAAGAACTGTTTCTCCTGGTTTGTTAATATTTTATCAGCATAATTCTGATTTTTCAGAATGACTTTCCAAAATCTTGTTTAGTCCCTAATAGTTATTGCTTGGAGGCTTGGAGTTTATGTAAGATACTTAAATGTCAAGTAAGGAAAATTGATGGAATTATGTGTGAAAATCATACTAATTATATCCAGTTAGTTTTTTCTATAGTAGAGGTATAAAAATGGAATTAATAAATAGTGAATCTTCTCTTTTTTTCCTAATTTTTGAGCTAATTATACTTTTTTTCTTTTGAAAGGGAGCAGCCAAAGTTCTGATTTTCCCTGTGGTGCAGCAGTTTACTGAAGCCTTTGTTCAGGCTTTGCAAATGCCCGATGGCCCTACATCAGATAGTGGACTTAAAATGGAGGTTTTAAAGGCAAGTACAATATCTGATTGTATTTGAGTTTGGGGTTGCCATGAGCAACATAAATGAGAATTTTGCATATTCTCATCAGTGTAATATGAGATGTAACAGCAATATTGGGGTTTATGTAATATAATATAAGCAAATATTAAATAATAACCAAGATAGCATTGATTTGTCACAAAAAGAATTCACTATAAGAAAAATCAGAGGAAACCCTTTCATGGCATGAACATATTTCTTTTGGGATCAAACATGAATATCTTATTAATAATATTAATGGCAAATGGCATGAATTAAATAAATATGTAGACATATAGTCCAGGATATTTATTGTACAATAAAGATAAAAGCATAAGAACAGATCATGTCAATCAAGAAGCCTGTATATTCTAAACCTCCTCTTGTGTAGTAAGAATTATTAATGCATAAGAATTGTTAGAGCTTTTATGGATACTGCTTTCAATAGGGTTGTCTAGAATTAATAAAATCTTCTAAACCTAACAAGAACTTAGTTGTGCTCAGAGTGTTAACAACAAACTATGTTAGATCAAAATGACAAGTACACATGGTAACATCATGATGCAAATCCTGACCTTAGGTACTTGCATCCTGATACCTAATGTAAATAAGTAATTTACAATATTCATCATTTGCGTTCACCCCAATGTGGTCACTTGCTACTTGTAATGTAGCATACGTATGAATATGTATATCTGCATTCATTTATGTAACAGGTTGGTTATTAGTAATGTGCAAAATACTTTGAATTTGTAACACTCTTGTTTGATTTTAAAACAGTTTCAAATTCAAAACAAGTTGCTGTGATAATTCCTGAAGTGTGCTTACTTTTGCATGCATCCAATGGCTACTAAATGGCAGAGGATTTTTCTGGAGAGGAAGAAGTATAAATATAATGTTAGAGTTGTGCTTAAAGAAAAATAGTAATATTATAAATGAAAGCATGTTATTAATTTTAATGCTCTGTTTTTCTTCCTGCAGGCAGTGACAGCATTAGTGAAAAACTACCCAAGACACATGATTTCCTCTATGCAACAGATTCTTCCTATTGTTTGGAATACGCTTACAGAAAGTGCAGCCTTATACCCTTTTTGCTTTGGTGTGCAATAAGCAAGAATTTCCTTGAAAGGAAGTTGGGTGGGGTAAGGGAGACAAGTTGATAGATACTAATTTACAATAAAATATTTCAGCAATATAGTTTAGAGATTATAATCAAGATCTGTTTAAAATATTTTCCAACAGGCTTTCAAACGGTTTTTTCTGCACCAAATTCCTTGTGACTTAGTGAATGCTGCCTTTGGACAGAGCAATTTTTTCCCCATTAGTTCAGTTGATATTCTTTTTTTATTAGATTTTTTTTCTAATAAACGATAGTCTTTGAATTTTTCATTATCTAGTTCTCATCCATAGATGAAATAATTTCATTGCAATGTAATTGTATGGAAGCTATATTTATTTTCCTTAATTTACTCAACTACCTATGTGAGAACAGAAGTAAATTATACAGAAGAAGTGGAAGATCCAGTGGATTCTGATGGTAGGAAAACTCTTTATTAGAGGTGTAATGAAAATTGATATTTTAAAATATGCTCCTTGTATCAAGTTTTTAATCAGTGATGCTTTAAGTTGTCATACAGAGAATAAATTGGCTATAGGTATTTTGAATGTCAAATGGACTCTAATAAAACAAATTTAGATTGCTTTAATAAGTTTTCTTCTTACATATATATTTGGATATTTTTTATATTTTAAACATGAGTAAAACAGTGAAAGCTATTGGGAATAGTATTATCAAATCTGAATTGTGTAAAATAATATAATTGTCAAATACTAAAGTAATAATTTGAAAGATCTTTAATATTTTTCATATAATTTTTAAAATTTAGGTGAAGTTTTGGGCTTTGAAAACCTAGTTTTCAGCATATTCGAGTTTGTTCATGCTCTATTAGAAAACCACAAGTTTAAAAGCACAGTGAAGAAAGCATTGCCTGAATTAATATATTACATCATTCTCTATATGCAGATAACAGAAGAACAGGTAAGCACATTTTTCATGCTTGTAAATTGTAGACAATGTCTAGAAGCTTATTACTTTTCAGATATTGATGAAATACAACTCCAAGCAGTCTCATTCATCTTGGGCTTGAAGTTAGCATTTAGCACCATCTGCAGGGACCCAGGCTTTCTATTCAAAGTAAAAATGTTTTTCAAACCTCATTTCATATTTTAATGTTTGCAAGAATATATGTACTTCAAAATTATGTATCTCAGATCTTGTGTGAACACAGAGTCTCTCTGCAAGTCATTACAGCATCTCTTCCTTTTGCAAATTGATCCTTTTGCAAACATAGTATCAATGATTTAACCTGTTGTTGTTTAATTGTCTGAATTACACAGGGTGTACCACATGGCAAAATGCTGATTTATTCTCTTTAAAAGCTTAAATGAGTAATGAGTATTTACCTAAACAGTTTATTACTAGATAAATATCTTAACCACACATTCTGCTTGCCGTGATATGAAGATGCCCCATTATTTTTAGAAATCATAGTCTTAAGACACTCTCTACATCTTGTTACTACTCTACAGCTAATCTGCAACTAAGACAAACAGAAAAGTTGACTTGCAATGTTTTGGTATGAAACCACCCCCCACAAAAGCTCCAAAGCAAACAGTCTGGAGCATTGGTCCCCAGCCTTTGCAGTTTGGTGGCCTGCCTGCAGGGCCACACGAGTGATGGGCTAATGCACCTGTTGCCGTCATTAATCGAATCCCACCTGGTTGTCAAGCAGGTTATGGAAGGTTGGATACCCTGATCCAAACCGTGAGGGTGAGCTGTGAAGAGCCTGAATTTTGATTTCATGACCATAGGGACACTGCAATAGCTGTAACTTCAGGAACCTGATGTAATTACCGTTCATGCAGCACTGCTGTAATTTTGAATGGTCACAAACAATGGTCATTAACTGAGGACTACCTATATGTGGTAGTTTAATTATGTGTCGTCTTGAATAAGAAAATGTATTTCTATAAATTATTGAAGTGCTATGATTACTTTTCAGATAAAAGTCTGGACTGCTAATCCGCAACAATTTGTTGAGGATGAAGATGATGATACATTTTCCTATACAGTTAGAATTGCTGCACAGGACTTGCTGCTGGTAAGATTTTACAGTGGTCCAAATTTACAATGTTTTGAAAAATATAAACCAAGAGTGGGGAATGTCTGGTTCTTCAAATGTTGAAATATGTTTCATCGTCCTTGACCAATGACTATAATAGCCTCTGCTGATAGAAGTTGGAAACCAGTAATAAGTGGAGGACTATAGGTTTATTTCTTTTGATCTACACAATAGTGGCAAATGGAAGTTGTTTTTCATAAGTAACTTACTGTATGTCACTATGTACATACTTTTAATGCTTGCTGCCTAAGAATGTGTGACTTTTATACTATTTTATAAGAGCTACTGTGCTCTCATGTTTTAAGTTGAAAGTAGAATGAAGCAATCAATGGATAGTTTAAAAGAAGATACGTAAGTGTAATGAGATCAGAAAGGCTATTTCATAAAATTATAGAACTATTTTTATTTAGCATTTATTTTTTAAATTTATTTCTCACCCTTTTGGAAACAAGATACACATGAGTGGTATTAGATTGCTTTCAAACCCTTCTGGTGTTTGCTGTGTTGAGCTTTATTCTCTCCCCATCCCTGACATCACTGTATTTCATGTGAATATCTAAAATATTTCAAGATGTTAAAAAGAAGACAATTTTGTTAGTAATTTTTTCTTGACTAAATTGTTTTGAAGCTATTCACTACTGCTAACTTCATTATCAACAAAGAATAGTGATATGAAGGTTCCCTTTACCTTTTCTAGAAAATGTGAGCTATTGTCATACTTCTGTATAGGCTGTGGCAGCTGATTTCCAGAATGAAAGTGCAACAGCTTTGGCTGCTGCAGCTACAAGACACTTGCAGGAAGCAGAGCAAGCCAAAAATACTGGTGCTGAACATTGGTAAGAAAGCAGTTTCTATAAGTGACAGTATCAAAATATTTAATCCATAATGAAACAAACTAGTATTATATACCTTATAATCAAGTTAGAAATGAAAAAACTAGAATTAGAGTAGTTGCCTTCTTGTTGTCCATTATAAGTTATTTGGGGACATTAATAAATAAATTAGGATTGTTCATAAGGCAGAACAAATGCTAGTTTTCTAGGCACTTTTTGCTTAAATTACAGGAGAATAAATCACCTGATTTATTATCATTTTTAATATTGCTTAAAAGTTAACCTTTCTTCAATAGAATGCTGAAGGACATTGGCAATAGGGGATCATATAAATGCGGCTGGAAGTATCGATAATGTTGTGATACAAGATTCCATAATACTCAGCTCTGTTTGTTTAACAAAATAATTACATGGATTTTATTACATAACAATCAGTAAAAATGCAATCTATAAGATAAATAATATCTTATATAAGATATATTATAAATAAGATTAGGCATTGATTAACTGCCAGTTTACTACATGTTTTGGTAATGCTGTCAGTTTTTATGAAATGAAATTGGATTTTGCTTTGTTTTTCCTACAAAATAGTGAATTCTGTAAGCAGTTCCTGTTGTGACATCCACTTACTGATTCGCTCTGCAAGAACTAACAGAAACATAGATCTATGCCAATAGATCTCATTTAGTTAAAGCCTGTTCTCAGTTGTCTGTCCTCTCCTTTCTCTTAGTCATGTACTAGATTTGAAAGCATGCATATCAGAATAGAAAATTTTAAGATGAAAATGAAAACAAATGAACTTTTATTATTATCATAGTGATCCATACAATATAATAAAAGCCACCAAATCTATAGTATATCTGTTATATTTACTGTTCCTAAAATAATCACAGGATATGATATGTATATACAATATATAAGATATGTAAGATATAGAACATGTAAAGTTTGGCCTAGGGTCAGTACTTGTCCTCTTGCTACAGATAATAAATGGTGTTCCCTGGTTCAATGCCATTGAGAATAATTCCAAAGAATATTATACATTAGTTTCTTTAAATAAGAAGTTACTTTCAATAAATATTTTTATTTCAAATTTCTAGACATAAATATTCTATCTGTATTCCAGTATTGATCAGATAATCCAAAATACTTTTAAATCTTAAGCATTTGACAGTGGCTATCAGCTTGGCTAGTTTCAGAAAAAGGTTGGACTAATACTAATACTCTAAGATAAATAGTAAAACTAATTCATATAAAAATAGTATTTATACTAATCTAATATACAATTTTCCCTGTTATAATACAAACAGATTAGGTTACCCTTACTAAACTACATCTGTAACAAACTCTGTCTCAAATATCCAGCACAATTGTTAAATAACATTCTTCAAGTATATAATAGCTCATAATTTGCAAATAAAGTTGTACAACCACAGTATTATTTATGTTATATATGGCAGCCCAACTACTGTATTATTTTCTTAGTTTGCCATTGGTTGTCTACTACTTTTTAGTTATCAAGAATTGAATATTAGAATATTTAAGTAATTTATTCTTTGCAGGTGGAAGATACACGAAGCTTGCATGCTGGCTCTAGGCTCAGTCAAGTCTCTTATCACAGACTCCGTAAAAAATGGAAGTATACATTTTGATATGCATGGATTTCTAACCAATGTTCTTCTTGCTGATCTCAACCTCTCAGGTACTTATGGTTGCCTAAAAATAATAAAAAAGAGAAATTCAAAAATATTTTCAGAATAATGTATAGTTTTTGGATAAATTTTAAGAGAATGTTTGTGGTTATAGATAAAATGTATAGCAGTTAAGTAAGTATGAGTCCATTTATTTATATACAGGATGAGATTAATTCAGAAACATTCTTCCAAACATAAAATCAAATTTACAATTATGTCATTTAATGAAAATTTCAAAGCAGAAAAGGAAGTCATTTCAACTCTGGTCTGCAAACAGAAGCTTGTTTTGATTCATTCAAAGCCCTGGTAACATTACCTATGTCTGTTCTTTGTCAACAGTCAAAAAGTAAGGAATACGAACACATTCTTTTTTTAAAAAAAAGTTTTATTAATTTAAAAAAAAAAACAGTACACAAACAAAACATGAGACATAAGAACATAAGACATCTTTTCCGACAACTACTTAACAAACAAATAAAACATCTCATTTAAGTACAATATAATTCTAAATTATCACATTTCCACACATAACTTAATAAGCATCTTATATATTCAACTTCATATCTTATTATTGTTTTCCACCTTCTTACTATTTCTTCCTTTATTTCTATTCAGTTTTATTCATTCATATATTTCATCTTACTATATTTCATATTGTTACTATTTCATATGTTCTTATCCAGTATTACTCAATAAACAAATATAAACTAACAAACACATAACAAAAAATATAAAACTTCTTTTTAGAAAGCGGCTTAACCCCGGGTTATAACTTTTGGTACAGACTTAAATTAAATTCATGCTCAGCTTATATACTATTTCATATCCTGTTAAAGATTCTACATTTTACAGATATCTTCTCCCCTCTTTTCACTCTCTTAATTCTACTTTATTTATTTAATCTCAATTTAAATCATTTCACTTGTATTTTTTGTCCGTTCTTTTTCAATCATCCATTTATCTTTCTCTTGAACACAATCTTGTCCCTGTAATAACTGGTTGAAGTATGACACCTTTCTATTTTCCCCCCAAATTCAACACTTAAAATTAAACATTATTTCTATTCTGATTCTGCTTAGTACATTCTAAATAACATTTTTTTTAAAAAAACAAACGTAATATTCTTATAGATATTAAAAATAGTATTCCCTAAACAAATTAGTTAAATACACATCAATTACACAGTCCCTACAATATTTTATTAACACATATTTCAAATACAAATATAAAATGCAGTCTTGTGTACCTTTACAGAATCTCTATTAAAACTTTATTTTACCCTTTGTCTCTGAAAAAAAGTTGCTTATAAACAAAACAAACAACATCTTGTTTAAAGCCCTTTGCTTTGTCTCTTCCTTCCTTATCAATTCTAGCCTTTTTACCCCCCCCCTCAATCTCCCACTTTTTAATCTCCCCTCTCTGTTGCATTCCTCTTTTCCATTGCTTTCTATCATTATATCAATTTTTCACCTTTCTTTTCCCTTTCTTAATTGTTTTTTTAGAGCTTAAATTCTTGATTTTCTTCTCCTTTTTACCCTTTTTTGAAATCATATGTCCATTAAAGATGGCTTCTTCTTCATCGTCCCAGCCTCTTTCTTGTTGCATTTCCTGGTAAGCACAAATCGCCATTTCTAAAAAGCCAAAAATAGATCCAAAAGAGCCGCCTTCCTCCTGTCTTAATTTTTCAAACTGCATTTTCAATTCTTCAAAAGACACCATTGTGAACAGAAAAGGATTTATTTTATTTTTTTAAGCAGTCCAAATGTTTTCTTAGTCTTTCAAAAGATAGTTAAAGTCCCAAAGTCATTTGCTCTTCCTGGGGGAGAATTCAATTACAAAATTCCAAGACATTTTTTGGAAGTTTTATTACAGTTTAGTCTCTAGTCTTATAAAACTCCAAGCAGTCTCCTTCAACAAACGTTAGTATAAATCATTTATCTCTCTTCCTTCCCCCTTAAAGCAAAAAGATTTAAGTTTTAAAGAATCAATATTTGAAAATATAATTTCCCCTTGGCTTCAATTTTGAAAATTAATACCTTCTATTGCCAATACGGGTGTTTCAGGCTTCCATCTGCTGCCTCCGTGGGAAGGAAAGTGAGGAAAAAGGTTTTCCCTTACTCATCCACCGCAGCTTAACGATCCTTTGGAAAAGCAATAAATCACTTGAAAAGCCAAAGTTCCAGGGTATTCAGATGTTAATTGTTGTCCCGGCTCAGCCAAAAGCTTTCTCTGTTTTTTTTTTCCTCCTTCAGCACCCCTCCTGCGCAATCTTATCCCGGATGCCAGCCTCTTCATGGCGGCCATAAGGCCGTCGCTACAGCGTCCTGAGAGAAGGAGGTTTAAACTGGGTGCGGGGGGGGGGTCTGCGGCACCCCCATACCCTTCCCCAGCTCCTCCCTATCTTCGGCTGTCCCTACAAGGCAGCCTTATCCTCCAAATCCATCTGGATCGGAGGCACCAAGACGGTGAGCACAGCAGGGATCGCGAAGAAACGCAAATCCCTGCTGTCACCAAGGCTGGCAAGCGGAAGTGTCCCGGAATACGAACACATTCTTGTTAACACAATGGCTTCTTGTCCTTTCTGTTATAATCCTTAGAATAAAAGTGATCAGGTACATTCATTTATTTGCTTCAATTTGCACTTGGAGAATTAAAGAAGTATGCTGTATTACAGTGTAAATCAGGTGTGCACAGTTCGTACCACTAGACCACTAGACTAGAACATCTATTATGTTCATGTGTAAAAAAATAACTTCTTTTTTTATTGTCTCCAAGTATGTAAATTGTCTCACTAATATATTTAGGGCCATAAGGCCTGTTACCGAATGGTAGTTTTGAGAGAGAACTACAATAGCAATAACACTATGATTTGCCTTTTTTCTTATAGTTTCGCCTTTTCTTCTTGGCCGTGCTCTTTGGGCGGCCAGTCGGTTCACAGTTGCAATGTCTCCAGAGCTCATCCAGCAATTTCTACAAGCAACAGTCAGTGGCCTTCATGAAACACAACCTCCTTCTGTGCGAATTTCTGCAGTAAGAGCTATCTGGGGGTATGTAGCTGAAGACCTGTATTAGTTGATCAGTAGCATAAACCATGATTTAATTTTGAGAATGTATAATACTTAGAATGGTGAAGATGTCGAATGTATGATGGTGAGAAATGTTGTGCTGTGTTACAATCTTATTGGCAAATATAATTTTATATTTTTTCTTCTTAAAATGTTTTTTCCCCCTAGCTACTGTGACCAGCTGAAGATTTCTGAAAGCACCCATGTCCTACAGCCTTTTCTTCCTAGTATCCTTGATGGATTAATCCATTTGGCAGCTCAGTTTAGTTCAGAGGTTCTCAATCTTGTGATGGAAACCCTTTGCATTGTCTGCACAGTAGACGCAGCCTTTACAGCAAGTGTGGAGAACAAGATTTGTCCCTTCACCATTGCAATATTTCTCAAATATAGTAATGGTACGTGCTCAGACTTGCTCTTGATTACGATTACAGATGATTCTATTCAAAGAACACTGCTGATTTCAAATATTTTTAAATAAAGAAATTTGATTACACTGGTGTTGGATTTTTTTCAGTATTGTATTAAAAGGCCATGGTAACTATCTTAGTTTAAAAAATATCCAAAATATTATTATAGAAAATAGCTGTTTTTTGTTATGCTTGTTTCCAACTGTGACAGGTAGCATTTTAGCCCTCAGAAAATTTCTTGAATGGTGAGTATGGCCAGTTACAGAACACCCATTTATTAGAAGGAGAACTGATAAAACTGCTCATTCCTTGGTCCTCAGAATGCCTTCTATTTTGTATCTTTGCATTTTTTTCTGAATACTGCTTGAACAAAACACTTGACTGAAACTACCGAGCAGTGTAATATTCTAAGAATACATATGAGTTGTGAGTTGGCTAGAATACTTGTTAGTAGATAGGTTCATGCTAGAGGCTGCTTTTTCTTATTATGACATTATGATTTTATTAGGGTATTTCTCCTTAGTAATTGATATTATTTCTTTATTTAGATCCAGTTGTCGCTTCTCTTGCCCAGGATATTTTTAAAGAACTAGCACAAATAGAAACTTGTCAGGATGCAATGCAGATGAGATTAATTCCAACTCTTGTCAGTATCATGCAAGCTCCTGTTGATAAAATTCCAGCAGGACTTTGTGCAGTAAGTATACAGACATTTTTTTTCAAAATATAGAAACATTTATATAGTCTGACTTGCTGATTAAAAAAAAGAAATATTTGTTTTTAAATTCCTAATGAAAAATACATTAAAGCTGAGATTCTCTGCAAAGCCAAACAATATAACTACTAAACAAGCTTATATATTCCAGAGGTCTAAAAATGAAAGTATAATTAAAGCAATTGATATAATAATAGTATAATAGTTAAATTCATAGTGAACAGGACAATGAGGTAATAATTCGGCATCTCATAGTTAAAATTAGCAATTTAAACATAGTTTTAGGTAATTTCTTGGAAATGTAAAGGAACAAAAAGTGGAGAAGGTTTTAAAAGTTATTCTGTTTAATGTAATTTCCAGATTTTAGCTATAGATGTCGAAAGCAGAAAAAATATTTTATTTAGTTACTTAAAATATTTATACAGCCACCTGTTTTTTAACAACTCTGGGCAGCTCCCAAAATAAAGAGAGAGATTCAGTATTCCTCAAGATTTCTCAATAAGGCCAGGGAGGAAGACATTCAGAGAAAAGCTGAAAACAATATGAATTTTCTTACCAACCAATGGTCGGAAGGTTGTAGAAGTATCATCTTGAACAAGTTGGTTCTAAGTTTTAGAAAACAAAACCACGCTTGCTCATTAGTTTGACTACTGTTGAATAAACTAATCCTATTGCATCATGTCATCTCTCTACCCCCACCCCCAGCTGGTTAGTTCCCACCTCTGATTTCTTTTCTTTTTCAGACTTCAATAGACATATTAACAACTGTTGTAAGAAATACTAAACCACCCCTTTCGGACCTCTTAATCTTCCAAGGTTTTCCTGCTGTGGCTCAGTGTACCCTGCACACAGATGACAATGCTACCATGCAGGTAATGTTTTGTGAGTGGCTGTTCAGTCATTTGTATAAACTTTCTGTATTTAGACCAACCAGATTCATAATGATTAACATGCAGGAATAAGTTGACTGCAAATGGCAATTGATTCCATTAATGAAATTTAAATGGCTTTTTTATTTCTATTATTATTCAAAGACGAAGCATATCTTTCACAACTGAAATTTAGTTTTCTCTAAATTTTGCTAATAGCAGAAAAGGCTTCTATGCTATGAGACTGACAAAAAAGGCATTGCAACTGCACAACACAAGCCCCAGCCTCTTGTACTTGCATCTTTACAATGGGTGCAAATATATAAAATATAGATATCATGATGTAATTTTCATTATTTCTCACTCTTACATTTAGGAATGTTACCAAATTTTACTTGTTTTGCTCTTCCTTTTTTGGTAAGTGGTTTGCTACAGTATCTGCCTGAGCAGATATACAGAAAGTAGAAAATTAAAGATTGATATATGGCTGATAAATACTATTTAGAGACAGGCTATTTAATTTCAGATAGTTGATATACTTTGAACAAGCTTCACTAATCTTACTTTCAGGGGGAAAATAACACTTGTTCAAGCAAGTTGATAAAATATACTTGTTTAAATGCAACAAGCATTCTGGAAAACAGCAATTTTGGCTTTATTTCTTTTGTATCTGTTTCTACCATGCCAGCACTTAAATTTAACTAATGCATATGAATAACATTAGACATTCATGCATGAAGAAATGAATAATATTTTATAAGGTTATACCTTTGATCCACCTGTTTGGATCAACATATGGTCAATTTCGTTCTCTAGATATTTAGATTAGGAGTCTAAACATTGTAATATTCCAAAAATTGTACCAAATAGAGTTTATTTTATTTCTTTCAGACTTAGTACCTAGATCTTTAAAGGGGTTTTGTGAAAAAGTGAAGCAGAGTAAGGTCATCTGAAAATATTTCTTGTCGAGTTTTATTTTTCCTTTGATCACCAGTTACTATTTCATCCTGTATTGAAAGAAGATGTTTGGTTGTAATATCTGAATTCTTTCTAGAATGAAAGATTTTGTGCCTTATTATCATTTATACAGAATGGTGGCGAGTGTTTACGTGCATACATCTCAGTCGCTCTGGAACAAATTGCACAGTGGCATGATGAGCAAGGCCACAATGGACTGTGGTATGTGATGCAGGTAGTGAGTCAACTTCTGGATCCACGCACCTCAGAATTCACAGCTGCCTTCGTAGGCAGGCTAGTTTCTACATTGATTTCCAAAGTTGGGAGTGAATTGGGAGAAAATCTGGATCAGATTCTCAGAGCAATTCTTAGTAAAATGCAGCAAGCAGAAACTCTCACTGTAATGCAGGTAAGAACTTTGTAAAGTAGATGAAAACTGTAATTATTGGAATATTTATTTAATGATAATTATCAGAATAATTGTTTGCAAGCACTATATATATAAAATTGATATCGATATTTTATTCATGAGATTGTTTTTTAGAAATTGAAGCTATCATTATCTTCTTTTAATTCCTTTTACAGTCTTTGATCATGGTATTTGCTCATCTAGTTCATTCTCAACTGGAACCATTACTAGAATTTCTTTGTAGTTTACCTGGACCAACAGGCAAGCCTGCTCTGGAATTTGTAATGTCGGAGTGGATGAGTCGACAACATTTGTTCTATGGACAGTATGAAGGGAAGGTCAGGTAAGGTTTTCTGTTATTGCAGTGTATATTTCTTCAGATTAGAACAAGTATTTAATTGTTTTTTAAAGAATGTAAGAAGTAAGTGTAAGAAGCAATGATTTTATCTTAATTTTATTATGATGAATTGTTTAAGACAAATTGACCTTATACGTAACATACAGTCCTTTATATACTGTACAAGGATTTGTGCCTTGTTTAGAACACAAACATCTCTTATATAAAGGAGTGGGAATATACCCATCAACAGTTGTAGAGGGCTGGATTTTGTTAAGCATCCTGCCCACCCATTCAAAAAGAAACTAGAAGTGTTGTCCTGTGTTGGCTAGTAAACTTGGTAGTACGGATTTCAAATTGGTGGAAAGGAAGAAACACTTGGGGCTATGGAAAAGCATATTGGAGAGAAAAGCCAGAAGGTACCCAGAGAATACCACATATACAGTAATATAGACAAATACCTTAAACTCTTGCCTAGTATTTCTGTTTTTAAATTGCTGTAAAATAAATTATGTGATTATTAAAATAATGATATAGACGTTCATGACATAGGTCCTATTAAATATTTGGTTACACACCCAAATGAAATAAAATATTGTAAATCTTTGCTTATGCTTTTACATATATGTCTTATAGGTAGAATGAAATGAAATGAAATATATTATTTTTAAAAATTTCAGTTCTGTAGCTCTGTGTAAGTTACTCCAGTATGGTATCAATACAGATGACAAGCGCCTCCAAGATATCAGGGTAAAAGGGGAAGAAATATTTAATATGGAAGAAGGTATACGTACACGATCAAAAGCAGCCAAAAGTGAGTATTTGTATCTGAATCAACAGGATGTATCCTTAAAAGTAATTTTAATTCTTTATTACCTTTATTAAACAATTAACATTAGGTCTATTTTGTAACTGGTACCAAACTTATTTTTTTCATGATAAATGCATCTATTGAAATTTTGGATATTGATACAATCTTCAGTGAAAATTGAGATCTTTTGTTCCGTATTCCATTCAGTTTTTGAAATTTGCATACCAACTGCACTTACCAATAAACAAATATTTATAAACAAATATTTTATATATTTAAAATACATTATAAACAAATACTTATAAAAGCTAGTGAATTTTTAATTTTATAAGAATAAATAATTCTGAACATTTAAAAATAGGTTCAGAATATATGTCCAAATTTCATGAAAAGCAGTGTAACTTTGACTGGGAAAAAATATTTTGCCATGTGTGTAACTGACTATTCTTCTGAACCAATTAAACTATTGTGTACTAAATATCTTATATAAAATATTTATTATCATTTTTTTAAAAAAATTATACCCTGCTATGTCCTGAAATATGTAGCCTGCAAAAGGTTAACTTAGAGACAGATGGTTATTGACAATGTTTGTTCAAACAGAGTAAATATTAACTTTTAATAATAAATATAAGAATGAGTGTATAAAGAATCTGCGTCAACAGATAATCCTAATTTAGCAACTATCTCATATAGCAATAGCACTTAGACTTATATATCGCTTCACAGTTCTTTACAGCCCTCTCTAAGTGGTTTTACAGAATCAGCATATTGCCCCCAACAATCTGGGTCCTCATTTTACCAATCTCAGAAGGATGGAAGGCTGAGTCAATCTTGAGCCTAGTGAGATTTGAACTGCCAAATTGCAGGCAGCTGGCAGTCAGCAGAAGTAGCCTGCAGTAGTGCACTCTAACTGCTGGATCACCATGGCTCATATGGAAACCATTTGCAGTTATCCCAGTGATGAAGAATTAACTTGATGACCAATCCTCACATTTACAGCCATTGCAGATTTGTAAAACAAAGGAAAGCTGAAGTAACTTTCTGAGAACAGTTTCTCTTAGCGACCACTTCATTTAACAACAGTTGCCAGCCCCACTTGTGGTCACTAAATGAGGACTACCTATAGCCAGGCAGGGTCTCAAAACAATAGGTTTTCTGATCCTGCTCTATTTTTGTGTTTGTGTGTGTGCATGTGCGCGTGCCCGTGCATGCATGCATGCATGCATGCATGCCAAGTGGAGTTAAACTACTGCTGGCCTTTTATAAAACATGTACCGTATTTATCAGACTATAAGATGCACTTTCTCCCAACCCCCCCCAAAGTGTGTCTTATAGAGTAAATATGGGCCTGTTTTTGGTCTCCCAAACCATCTGTGTATCCCATTTTCAGCCTTCCCAGCGTCCAGAAGTACTGCAGGCCAAAAGCAGGCCTGTTTTTGGCCTGCAGAGTGCTTCTGGGGACCGGGGAGGCTGAAAATGGGACATGCAAAGGCCAAAAACTATTTTTTTTCTTGTTTTTCTTCTCTAAATCTTGGTGTGTCTTATGGTCTGGTGCTTCTTATAGTCCAAAAAATACGGTATTTCAAAACATACTGCGGGGACTAATAAAACATGAAGCACTTCTCCAGCTGGTTTTGTATTGTGGTTTCTCAGAGTTCTTAATTTCTTAAAAAATCCACAATTTTTGGTGTCTTTTAGATCCTGAGCGCTGGACCAACATTCCTTTGTTAGTTAAAATATTAAAGCTGATAATAAATGAGCTTTCTAATGCAATAGAAGCAAATGCTTCTCGACAGACTGCTGCAGAATGGAGCCAAGGTACTATTTGCTAGGTATCTTATGATCCAACTTGCATGGAATATGGGTTTGGAAGTACTTAGGTCCAAATATACTTAGCCATGTCTTTAGATTAATCACTGTTGCATTGATAATTTTCAAGACTAGTGGTTATGGGTTATTTCTCTTGATTACAGGAGAAAAAGAACTGGTTATAGTGGTAGTGGGAGAAAAAGCTATAATATAAATTTAATAAAATATATAAATATGTGACATGCTGCTGTAGTACATAATGTAAACAATGTTCACCGCATTGCATGAGTACAACAGCATGTGAGCAAGGTTGCAAAAAAATTACTGTATTGGGCATTTCGATCAGTATTAATGTGTTCATAATGTGAGTTCTTTCACAGTCTCTTTTTTAAAAGTTTGCCTTATGTTCTATGTCAATTTACTGACTTAATGACCACAAATGTTTACAATAAAAGAATCAGTTTTCAGTGGGATAACAGATTACAATGCTTAAATAAAATTTACTTGGAGACAAAAATGTTAACATTGGTTTTCCAGAGAATATTACAGCAGACAGTCAATAAAATTAAATAAATCTGTTCTGCTAGTTTAATTTCTTATTTCAATTAATAGAGGAGTCCAATGACATGTGGGAAGATCAAGAAGATGAGGAGGAAGAAGAAAACGAAGGGTTAACAGGCCAGCTATTGTCAGATATTCTTGCCACCAATAAATATGGTAAGTGAAGCAGTTTTAAATTTGTGAAAAAGCATAAAAAGCTTATTAATTTTTTTTAAATCAAAGCAACAATAATGTATATGACTAAACTGTTAGGATTTCTTTATTCCATAGTTCAATAAAACAATTTTCAGTATTAGTTCCATTTCTAAATCAGTCTCGAGAAACACACAAATTGATGCAACTCTCCCACAATGCCTACACAAACATACATTCTTTGAAATTAAAAAAAAATGCATATGTTCAAAAGATAAATAGTAAGTGAAGCGGATGCCCTATATCTAGAAAATGAAGACTTTCATGATTCAGTGGTTCTGCTTGCAAAAAAGATTTCTATTTAGCATGTTAAACAGAAGGTTTGGCTAGGATTGTTGTTACACTTGATATTTGATTCCTGAATGTAGGAATTCATTTTTTTGTATTAAAAGTAAAAAACACTAAATCATGTTTGTTTCTTATTTTATCTACTATTTCTGAGAAATAAGCTTTAGAAGTAGATTGAAAGTTGGACTGGAGAAAAGAGTTCTCAAAAATGAGTATATTCATTGTCTGTTCTTACTTTTGTATTGTTTTAGGAATGGAAATTAAAAAAAATTATGATACCATAGAAATAGTGGTATGTTTATGCCACTTTTAGAAACATATTGTTGCTGTTAAATAATAGATGGTTAAATAAATAGAAGAAATAGAAGAAACATTCATTGTATAGTGTGGAAATATGATTATTATTCTGGTTTGTTTTGTTATTTACTGATTCGTTCAATGTCTAAAAAGAAAACAGTTTATTGTAGTGCAAAGAAAGTATAAGACGTTCAAGACTTCAGTTCTTTAAGTGCATCAACTTTACTTTGAAACATTTGTTTGACAGATGAAGATTATTATGAAGATGATGATGAGGATGATCCAGATGCATTGAAGGATCCTCTGTATCAGATAGATTTACAGGTGGTGTAACTTGCTATCTAATTTTGTTGTGGTGTAACTTGCTATCTAATTTTGTTGTATATTTATTTGTACTTTGAACCTTCACTGTCTAGAATAATATCATTATATATATTATTTATCATATCTGTTTTTAAAATGCTATCACAAATTGTTTTTTTTTAAAGTAGCACCATGATAAGGAGCAGTATCATTAATGAATCTAAAGATATTTTACAGTATATACAGTAAAAGCAAGAGACAGAACTGAAAACAGTGCTCAATTTTTCTTTAAAAGCAAAGCAATTTAGATCTTGTAGCAGAAAGCAATTGGAAATCCCATTCTGATGGTTGTATTAACTAAGTCAAGAAAAAGTGTTATTCTGAATGCAGAGAGTCTATATTTTTTAGGCCTCAGAATTGCTTAAAATTGGGTATTGTAAGGCCCCTGAGTTTTACCTGTTATTCTTAGATAAGGGAGTTAAACAAGAATCAAACAGCCTAGTTTGAAGAGGCTCATTTGCAAAATAGAAAGATGTAGCCATATAATTAAAAAATCATATGTAAATCTTTATCTTTGCAGCTAATGAGAAATAGACTTTAGTTAGAAGAGAATTTAAATAACCTTGAGGATAATTCAGTTGAGCTTCTTTGACTTCTTTAGGATTAAGAAGTTATATACAGAATCTCCTCCCATTTTAGGCATGGGAAACCTCAGATAATCTTCTACCTTTCCCTTCTCTATATTCTCTTTCATTCCATTGTTTGTTTAATTCTGGCAAGTGTCTTAATAATTTCACATCCAGTTTGAGAACCAGTTTCATCTAGTGGGTACGGCTCCAGGATAGAAAGCAGGAGACTATGAATTCAAATCTCATGTTAATCATGAAAACCAGCTGGGTGACTTTGGGCCAGCCACTTTCTCTCAGCCCAATTCACCTCACAAAATTGATTGTTGCGGGAAATATAGGAGGAGGAAAGTATATTGGATGTATTCGCCACCTTGAGGTATTTGTAAACATAATAAAGGTGGGATACAAGAAATCTTAATATTGGACCTATTGCAGATAAGAAAATTTACATTTATTAGCATCAAAAGCTTTCCAAATGGAAGTTAGTTAATTCTAGTGTGTTGAATTTTAAGAAATGAATAAAATATTGAAATAGCTTACAGATAGGTCTCGGTTTATAACCATAATTATGACTATAAGTAAGTCTGGAATTACAGTTGTAAATCATGGCAGTTGTTAATAAGATCACCCAATTTTATGATTTTTTGTGGTGATCCTTAAGTGAATGCCATGATCATTAAACTAATCCATTTTATCCAGTGGCCCATTTTTTGCTGGAAACCGGCAAAAAACACCAAAAATTGCAATCATATGACTCTGGTATGTTGTGTATGGCCATAAAGGTGAGCCAGTTGCCAGGTACCCAAAATGTGATCAAATGACCTGTGTGTGTGTGTGTATGTGTGTAGCTGTCAGGACTTTGGAACTGGGTCATAAATACCTTCTATCATAACTTAAATGAGTACTATCTATATTGAAGAAGAAAATGCACACAATAAAGGAGCAAAGAAATTAAAGACAGAGAACATTGAAAACATTTTTTACATTTCTGGAAAAAAAACCCTAAGACATCATTGCAGTGTTCTGGTAATAATTTGGATAATTATTATTCCAATAATTTGGAAAGAGAAGCCAGGAAAAAAAACCACCTGAACAAGAAAATACCTTGTTATTCATGACTTGCCTCCAAGATCAAATACCATAGAGAATTTTCCATTCTCTATATAAGTTAATCAGAAATAAGTGTTCTTTTGAAATATAATTTTTATTTGAGTTACAACAGGAAATAGACCAACAATATTATTCTAAAGCTGATGAAATTGTTCTCTTGACACCACTCATAGTTTTCAAATACACGGGACTGAAATTAAAGCTATAATCCTGGACATAGTTTGAATTGAATCTCTGATGCAATTCAAAATAAATATGTTCTGCATTACTGGTAGTCCTCAACTTACAGCAGTTTGTTTAGTGATGGTTTAAAGTTACAATAGCGCTGAAAAAAGTGACTATGGCTGTTTTTCACACTAATGACAGTTGCAACGTCCCCATGGTGAAAGCCAAATCTGGCTCTAGGTTCTGCCTCAGTTTACCTTTCCAATAAGCAACTGAGTTGGAAGATTATTTAAAAGCAATTTAATAGGGTACCCTGATAAAGTGGGTTCTTTCTATGTAAAGGAAGAGAGAACTTCGAGCCCCATGTTTCCCTCCTTTCTATAGTTATCACAACAAACAAAATGCAAGAGAAAAGTTGATTGGACAGAATAAAAGTAACCTCCCCTTTGCATAGGAAATCAGTTACATGTAATCAAACATGTTACATATTTGTATCCCATAACATCACACGTGTTCATTAAAATGAAGTCTGATGTCAGAAGGGGCGTTGAAAGAGAAAAGACAAGTACAAAAAATGGAAAGAAGGACATACAACTAAGATAGAAAGAAGGACATACAACTTCAGATAGCCAGAATCTGCAAAGACGAAGTCAGGATAGCAAAGGCTCAGAACGAACAAAGACTTGCAACAAAAGTCAAAAATAATAAAAAAAAAGTTTCTTCCAACATATAAATAACAAGAAAAAAATCAAGGAAACAGTCAGTCCACTAAAGAGAGAAGACGGCAAGGAAGTAACAGGGAACAGAGAGAAAGCAGAACTGCTTAACTCATTCTTTGCATCGGTCTTCACGCAAAAAGAAACTATAGCTCAACCCACCAAAAACATAACTGTAAAAGACAGACCAGAAATAAAAGTTAAAATAAGCAAAAAAAATAGTAAGAGAACACCTGTCTGATCTTGATGAAAACAAATCACCGGAGCCTGATGGATTACATCCCAGAGTTTTAAAGGAGCTGGCAGAGGTCATCTCAGAACCACTGCACCATATCTTTCAAAAATCCTGGAGCACCAGGGAACTACCAGAGGACTGGAAAAGAGCTGATATGGTTCCCATCTTCAAAAAAGGAAAAAAAACAGACCCAGGAAACTATAGACAAATCAGCCTAACATACCCAGGAAGATACTGGAAAAGATAATAAAAAAAAACATCTGCCAACATCTAGAAACAAGTAAAATAATAACTAGCAGTCAGCACAGGTTTGTTAAGAACAGATCATGCCAAACCAATCTTATTTCATTCTTCAACACAGTGACTAAATTAGTAGACCAGCAAAATACTGTGGACATAATATATTTAGATTTCAGCAAGGCATTCGACAAAGTAGACCACAACCTACTTCTTAGTAAGCTAGAAAAAAGTGGAATAGATAGCACCACCACTAGATGGACTTGCAACTGGCTGACATACCATGCTCAACAAGTAGTCCTTAATGGGTCTAAGTCTACATGGAGGGAAGTAAACAGTGGGGTGCCACAAGGCTTAGACCCAGTACTCTTCAATATCTTCATTAACAACTTAGATGAGGGAATAGAAGGGGAACTTATCAAATTTGCCGATGATACTAAGCTGGCAGGAATAGCTAACACCCAAGAAGATAGGCTCAAGATCCAGATGGATCTTGACAGACTAGAATACTGGGCCATATTTAACAAAATGAAATTCAATGTAGAGAAAAGTAAAGCCCTACACTTAGGCAAGAAAAACCAAAAGTACACATATAGACTGGGTGAAACCAGGCTCAATAGCAGTAACTGTGAGAGGGATCTTGGAGTCTTAGCGGACAACCAGCTAAATATGAGCCAGCAGTGTGCAGCAGCAGCCAAAAAAGCTAATGCAATTCAAAATTGCATTAACAGAGGGATACAGTTGAGATCAAGTGAGGTACTAATACCACTCTATAAACCCTTAGTAAAACCACACCTAGAGACTGCATCCAGTTTTTGTTACCACAGTATAAAAATATGTTGAGACTCTGGTGCTTGGCAACTGACTCATATTTATGATGTTTGCAGTGTCCCAGGGTCATGTGATCAACTTTTGCTACCTTCTGACAAAGCAAAGTCAATGGGGAAACCAAATTCACTTAACAAGCGGGTTTCTAATTTAACAACTGCAGTGATTCACTTAACAACTGTGGCAAGAAAGGTTGTAAAGTGGGGCAAAACTCACTTAACAAATGTCTCACTTAGCAACAGAAATGTTGGGCTCAGTTGTGGCCATAAGTCAAGGACTACTTGTATTGAATAAGCAGGTGTGCTGCCATTTACTGTAGGTGATTGAGATTAATGCCTTAATCCCAAATTTTAAAAAAGTTTGTTTCAGAAATTCTATACTCATTCTTGAACAAATATTAAACCCATATTTTGATTCTGGTTTCTAAGTTACTTCACAAATTCTTTGACAACTTTAATTAAAAACTATGACACCATTACCCTGGGTTAATTATGTTTTTTTCCATCAAGTATTAACTATGTACTTCTTTTCTATTCAGGTATTAACAATGTATTTTTCTTTCTCCTAGGCTTATCTTACACAATTCTTATGCCAGTTTGCCCAGCAGCCTTGCTATGCAATGTTCTCAGACCATCTCAATGAAAATGAAAGAAGAGTTCTTCAGACCATTGGCATATAAATCCAGAGTATCCGTGATAATATCAAGGCAACATTTTCTGGTTTAGTTCATGTTTTTTAACCTAAACAGAGAACACTTCCTTTATTCACAAAATATTACAAATATGATTAATTTTTATTTGGAAGTACTGCTGGTGATTTAGAAGGCAACAAAAGGCAAATATGTATGGAGTTTTGCATACTGAATTTGCACAATGGGAACACTATTCTTCCGATAAACTTTCCAGTTTGGCTCGAAACATTTTTTCCGCTACTGAAAAAGCACTTCACTGACTTCTTACAGCACAGTTTAATGAAATGAGGAAGGAACTGTTGTCACTAGCTTGTTTATCTACCATAGAAACTTGGAAGTGCTTCACACTTTTGTTACGCAGGATATATTATCTTGATCTAACCAGATGACATTTTTTATATAGACATTTGGAATGAAATGGAATCTGCTTCCAATCCAATACTTTGAATTAAAATCTGAAAAATAAAAATGCTAAATTGTTTCCTTTTTTAGAAAACCTTTGGGGCTCTACCATTTCATAATTCTGTACTAAAACCATCATGCACCCTTATTGAGCAGACTTGCTACATTAAAACTCAGTTCCTGTGGTTACTGATAACTTTTGTTTAGAAACCAAACTTTTTTTATATGAAATTGATTGTATTTAACTTGTTTATTTGCTTCATGAATCCATTTCTCCAAAACTGTTTGCTTTGTTCACACAGAGGATTATATAACTGACTAAACCATAGTTCACAAATTAGTACAAGTATTTTTATAGGATAGTAAAATTAATATTGCTGGTTACTCTAAAAATCAGTACACCAATGCATCTCCCAACACCTTTTTGCCTTTTTCTCCCTTTTTGGGAAATGAAATAAAACTATTCAAACATAAATTGGTATTGTTCTTTTTAAAATTCAGAAAAGAAAATTGTACCCTTTGCTTTTAATTACTACTTAGAGTACTATATTCCTGTATAGATTTGGAAAGCAACTTTCCGTTTAATGTGTACTACTACATTAATTAATCTGTGTTGATTTCAAACTGTTTGAAGTGTATACTATAAGAAATTTATTTCTGTGAAATGCCTATTACATGAGTATTTCTGGCTCATGAAAAAGCTAGGGCTTACACAGAGTTACAGATATACCAGTTAGATCCAGAGTATATCCCTGACTTCCTTAAGAAAGATAATATGTATGAAGGTAACTATGTATTTCCCTCCTATGAATGAAGTAAATCTAATGGAAGGTAAATTTTAGCATACCACAAATTTACCCTAAGAAAGTGTCTTTAATGATTTCTGCTTTAGGATGTTTAATATAATTAAATTACTAATATATTTTTATGTGGACACTGAAAGATAATTCTTGTCCATTATCACTGGAATTAGAACCCTTTTAGCTTAATTGGAAATGTTAGTTATGATGATAGTGATAATTTAGAAATTTCTTTTAACTTGAAAGTGAATTTGGAATATAATAATTTGTTTGATGTGTTGACACTATTTTTATAGGACATTTCCAAAAACCTATGACACAACTTACTAATTTTTTGTTTCTATTCTCTCAACAAAATATTTGGGCAAATAGATAAAATAGATGCCTTAAGCTTTTTTTCCTCTCAATGTGGACAGCTTGGGAAATTGTAATGCAAAAGTCCAAGTATTATAAATTTTTTTCCATTTAAAATCGTCTGCTCTCTTATTTCCTAACTTTCAGGATTTCAAAAGCGTATTCATAAATAACAACTATTTTAAATAAAAGAATAGCAAAAATAACTTTTCACCTTGGATCTGATGTGCATAAAAGTATTACTTTAAGGGTACCAGAAAAAGCTTCATATTTATCATTTAACCTTACTAATATAAAAATTACATATTTATTAAGTTTACCTTTATTTACTAAGATTGACATAAGACTACCTCATTATTATTGCTATAATGAATACTGGATACTTGAATAACTTTAATCAAGAAAATGCAAGTAGCTTCCCCTTTTTAAAAATTAGTAAACTTGATTTCATATACATAAAGCAAATGTTTCATAAGATCAAAAGTAATTTTAGAATGGGTTATTATTATTTATAAGTATTTTGTCTTGCCCTTTATTCTACAGTATATGCATAGATCATACATGTACATTTATGTATTTAAATAATGAGAAAAATTTGCTGCTCCATTCATAAGACAGCGATTTAGCTGAACAAGAAACAACTAAAGTTCAGCTTCTGTTTCAACATACTCAGTAAAATGAAACTCTCCAGCTCTTTGAGTATTTGGTTGTCTTTTACATGTACTTTGTAACTTGATGCCTTGTCAATTTCCTATGCTGCTACCATAATTGATTTAATTGTCATATTAAAACAATTTGTGGATCAATACATTTATCCCTTTTGAGTTCTATAGTGCTTCTGAGTGAGAAGTCTGACATTTTTGTCCCATCGGTTGTTTCATACATAGACTTTTAAGGATAGTTGTGTACAAAGTCTTTGTATAAAATAAAAGTATCTACAGAATGTATACTTGAAATAAGATGATTTGATAGCTATAGTAAGGATCAAGACTAACTTGCAGACCTTTATAGAAATATATAAGTTAAGTATATAAACGAACAACATAATAGTGATAGAAATGTATAGTGTCTACTTGTTTTTTTATCATTTTCTGCCATATCCTATTCAAAACAAACAGTTTTACTTTGCTACTGTTTAGATGAAAAACATGTTATTCCATTCCTGGGAAGAAATGTTTTTTGGCATAGTTTATTGATACAAAATATGAAATTCTTGAATATACCTTTTTTGAGTATTATCAATGGTTCTAGCAAGTCCCTCTTTCTTGTTTTCTTGACAAAAGTTACACAAACAATACACTTAAGTGCATTTCCATGCTGAATACATTCACCAAACTTTTTATGTAGTGAAAATAGTAGGCATTTACTTTTGTGTCCTAAAAATGTATCAAGGGAGACAGAGCAGTCAAGACTAATAGACAAATTAATTTTCTTAATTTTCATCATTCCCTTTGATTAAATTCTGTTCAACTGATTCTTTCATTGCCTTCATTTGAAAAGGCAAACAATAGTTGCTTAACTAAGTTTGATGTCTTTTCACATTTGGTGTGGTATTTGACATCTTTTCAAAAAAAGTTAGGAAAGTGAACTGTTTCTAAAAGTTTATAGATTGTTCTCATGTTTAACAAAATATTATGTCTTAATTCATATTGGAATTACTGATCATTATGCTACTACATTTATCCTGGGCTGCCTGAATATATAGTTCACAAGCTGGTTTTTTTTTCTGTCTTGAACTTTTGGCTGCCATTGCCACGTTATAGCATAATTGAAACACCGTACTTCGAGTGTATGCGACTCAGTGACCAGAACCACGTCTAAATTAGAATACAAACTACTATAAAATCACCCTTGAAAATGCTTCTGTAGGAAGTGTGTGGCATGCTGGGAATTGTAGTCGAATTTCCAAATAAGAAACGGTGTGGGCGGGGCCGTGGGATGTCGGGAGTTGTAGTTGACGTTCGGTCTTGGTCGATGCCGTCTCGCGGATTTTCTTCACGGCAGCAAAAGCCGGGCCATGGCGGCTGCGGCCAACTCGGGCGGGCGGTCCAAGGTGGCGCCCAGCGTAGATTTTGATCATAGTTGCTCTGACAGCGTCGAATACCTGACTCTGAATTTCGGGCCTTTCGAGACGGTGCACCGGTGGCGCCGCCTCCCGCCCTGCGATGAGTTCGTCGGGGCTCGGTGAGGTGTCTCTGGGGTCTGTGGGGGGTGGGACGCGGCTCGGTGTTGGCCTGAACAGGAGCCACAGACGAAATACCGGACCGGAGGGCGGATTTAGGGAAGGGATGTAAACCAAGGTTGTCTTGTCTTTTCCTTCCAGCCGTAGTAAACACACCGTGGTGGCTTATCGAGATGCCATCTACGTCTTTGGTGGGGATAACGGGTGAGTCTCCCTACCTTCCTTCGCTTGGTTGTATTCCTTCCTGTCCCCCCCAAGCAATACAAATGCTGGCTCCTCTTTGCCCTTCTCCGCTCCTTAACATGGTTCACTTTAACAATGGCACACAAAACGTTTGTTCCGGAGAAGGTTTTCAAGATGAGGATACAGAGATTGGGATGGGAGTGAGAGGGATTTTTTTTTCTTTTATCTTTAGGAAATAATGACTGAAATGCACAACCATGTGAAAGAAAAAAAAGAATGGAAACTGGAATGTTTACAGCGATGGGGGCTCCTCTTAAAATATTGCCTGTCATGAAAATATTGCTAGGCAGAGCACCTTTTTTCTCCCTGCATATTAAGAAAAAGTGCGGGCATAAAAAGGCAAACTGGACTTGAGTACTTCTTCGCAAGAGTATTTCTAAATACTTTAAAACTGGGATGGGAATCTCTGGATCCTCTGGCTGCAGAGATTTCTCTCCCCAGTTTGAGGTGGGTTATCTCTATTTTGGCTGCTCCATTACTTTCTCTTTAGGAAAACATATAAGGGGCAAAAGACAGTAAGGATGGCCTTGGAGTGCCTAACACTCTTCCCTTGAAGAATGCCATGGAGTACCAAAAGTGATGAGTGCATCTATAGGCCTCTGGCCTTTCCACCCAAGACCTAACCCCCCCAATCTTTCTCCTAAAGAGAAAGTTGGACAAACCATCCCACTTTTATGTGACTCTAAGCAGCTCGCAATAAAATACATCAAATACAAAAACCACACAATATAAAAAATAAACCAGTCATCCACACAGCCACTAGACAGGCTCTATTTCATGCCCAGAGTCCCAGACTCGGGGCACAGGAACAAAGTTTTCAAGGTCTTGACAAAATGTAAATATTATTCAACTGATTGAAAATTGTGATCATATGCAATACATTTACATAAGATGTAAGCTGAAAATTATGACAGGAATATCCAAGATGGTCAGGCAGTCTAGAATATGAACACTTATCTATCCTATCTATCTATCAATCAATCTATCTATCTCTAATTTGGAAATATCTCTATTCAACCTGACAGTAATAGATCTTATCTAGAATGTTTATATCATTTCAGAAAATGCATGATTAAGGATTTATCAACATATATAAAATTTCTAAATTCATCTCTGTGGGAAGGGACAATGCAATAGCAATTTTATTTGCATCTACTTTGTAATAGTTGGGAATATGCTTTACTTTGTCTAGTGCACAGTGGTTGTTTTATGATGGTTGATGTAAAAATAATTCCTGTGTAATTTGGAAATGAAAGAACATTTGCTATCCCTGAAAATATAAGAGATTTGAAGATACTAAATTTTACTAAACAGGGGTGTATGTGATCATACCATTACAGCTTTCAAAGAAAGGAATAGTAGTGTTATTACCAAAAATGTGCAGTCTTTACTTAATCAGTACTGTGTCATTTGTAAGGCAAATTATTAAAATAAGTCATTTGCTTGAGGCATTTAGAAAACAAGCAAAATTTAAATTTATAAATATCTGTTCTGTTTCCATTAATTATACTGTAAAATTTATCCTAATATAATTGTTGAAGAAATTACTGTTTTTCTCCCATTTGATTTAAAAATATTTAGGTAAATTTAATAGGTAAATTAAATAATAGGTAAAATTTAGCTGAGTAAATTACTTTCACTTATGAAACTTCTTTAACAATATTTTTGTGGCTTCTGAATATATATTTATGTATTGTTTCCTTTACTTTGAAGGAAAACTATGTTGAATGACCTGTTAAGATTTGATGTGAAGGACTGCTCTTGGTGCAGGTACATTTCTATTTCTAATAAATGTCCCATATTATCAATATTTGAGTGAATTAGAACTTCTGAATATTATTGTCTGTTCTGATTTGGTGTCAAAATAAGTTAAATTATTGGTAAACCATGTTAGGAAGAAAAAGCAGTTTTGAACCTTTTTAAAGAAGATTAACATAATGAGCTAAAATTTTAAAATACATTATAAACTTTGTTGTAACTAAATATATTCAAGATAGTAGGTTTTATAACAATAACAAGATAAATTATACCACAGAATTTTGGGAGGTGTGATAGGCCCAAATTCCTTCTGAACAAACATGCAAAGTTTTCATAGGTTATATACGGGAGCAATAGCATATAATTGGCAAATATGTAAGAATATTACTAATTTAAATATGAAATACAATTCTCTACCTACCTACCTACTATCTACATCTCATACTCTAGACTAGTAAAATTGGAGGTAGCTTCCAAAAGAGCCACAGACATTTTGAAAAAGGCACAGTAGCTTTAGTATTTTTAAAATATCTGCTTCATACATGCTGCCATGCATTTTGAAGCATTCCTTTCAAAGAAAGTCTATGTATCTTATTTTTA